AGACCAAGCGTGAACTTCTTGCCATAGTCGGCACCTTGGGCTTCGGGAGCAGTGAAAGAGGGCTTTGAAGCTCAGATCTTGAAAGTAAAGTCTGGGACTGCTTCGAAAAATGTTCTGTAAGCGGATGAAGGCCGCAAGCAGGACTGATGACTGATGAAAGTGAATCAGCATCGCATCCTGTGATTCATCCGATCCAAGTTGCTGGTTGCATTTTCTCTCTTTGCGGCTCTCGCAATGCAGTCCTGCAAATTTGGCGGCTTGGGCCCCCTCAACAAGCCAATGTATGAAGCAAGCCTGCACAAAGTGGATGCCGCACCTGCTGCAACTCGCTTGCTTTTGCTGCCTGTGCAGGACCAAAGAACTGCACCAGGACGTCGCCCAGCATGTCCTTGCCAGCTGAAATTTTGAAGCGGCTGGATGTGAACCAGGTTCGTGCCACAACCACTTCAGGCTGCATCAAGACCAAGTCAGGCTGACATGTTGGGCCTTCTGCCTTCTTATCCTTCTTATTTATGTTCTGATTGGCACTGTCTTGCATCATGATGTGGCACCCTTCCGAGCAACTCATGCTCGACTGCAGGCAAACGGCGGCAGGCAGGAGGTTGGAGCCTTCCCTTCTCCGCCTGAAGGAAACCAAATGGACAGGTCGGCTCGGACAGTGTGTTCATGAAAGACAACCATTCCTGCTGCAGTCAAGGCTCGCAACTTGCTCAATCACATCCGTAAAAATCGCAGATAGCGTCCTTACATCCAGCTCAGTCGCATGCAGCTCCGCTGCATCGCAACGTTCTTTCAGCAAGTTTGGGTCTCCACCGTGGCCTTTGAGGCCTACCTGCCTACCTTGCACCTGTCGCCTGCCCTCCGCGTTGCCGTGTGCCTGGACTTCTTGCTGCCCTGCGTCTGCAGCTCTTCCACAGTAAAGCCCTCCGTGTGCCGGTAGCAGTGCATGAGCAGAACCTGTCACCCCACAAAGGACATGATGGATGTCTAGAAAGCGGCAGCTCTTCGGCATCTCCCAGCTAAGATCCGTGCAACCTCTTCGAAATCCAGCAGGCCTTGGCTGGGGGTTGACAGGCTGTTAGGGGCAAAGCATTCTGCACACGACGAGGTGCCATTCCGATCCAAGTCGACCAAGTTGAGGGCCTCCTTCACCATGCCTGGCTTCGACTTCTCGTAGAACTCACGGCTTGGGTATTTCAGCCGAGGCTTCTAAGCTCAGAATTTTCTCGCATATCTTCTCGCAGCCCCTCCACCCCCCCCCCCCACCCCCCCACCCCAAAGAATGAAATCATCAAGGAGGTGCTGTGCTTCAAAGCTTGCGACCTGAAAAGCTAGCCCTCAGGTAAGGCTCCCCCTTCCGGTGGCCGAGAGGCTTCGAAGCGGTGTGAAGCCCAAAGACGAGATGAAGGTCATCAGCTCCGTGGTATCAAGGAAGCCACTTCCATCCTAAGCAGCTTCCGCGCGTGCCCTTTGGGAAAAAGACGCCTGGGAGTTCCATTACACAAGCCAAATACCCACCTCCACGGAGGAACCTGGGATCAAATGAACTCCAAGCCACCTCATCATAGCTCGAGAAGATTTCCTGCACACCCGGATTTGCTGCAGTGGTTCTGGATGTAGGCGGCACAGGGGTCAGCTTTAGGTGCAAGTAACATCCACTGCGGCTTGCGAAGATGCTGGCTCGGCCCCACCAATGTGGTGACAGGGCAATGCCCACAAGGAGGAATCGACTTTGCAGAGGTGTGCCGCTACATGTAAACAAAGGAACCATCAAGCCTAAACCTGCAGGCCCCGGAGGGCGCATACTTGGCAGGGCAAGGGGAAGGCCTCAGCCCGAATGATGATTTCATGTCACAGGCCTTGTAACGCTGAAGCTCCCAGTCCAGGTAGCGCTCCATGAACGTTCTGAGGTCGACATTAATGGTACCAAAGGCTCACGCGGAAAATGAAGCAGTATCAAGATCACCATACGCCGTGGCAAGCAAGGGCCCCAAGAACAGGGAGACAGGGAGGCTGCCAAGTCGCATGAAATCGACCTTCTCGAGCGTTTCGTATTCCGCACACTCATCCTTAGCAGATGAGGACACGCCGAAACCAAGATTCTGCCTCACCTCGAACCCTTGTTCTGCCAAGACTCTCTGAACCCCCCCTTAAAACCCCTAATCAAGAATAGACCCGAAGCCTGTAAACCCTCAAACACGCCCTTGAAACCCTAAACCCTAAACCCTAAACCCTAAATCCTAAACCCTAAACCCAAACCCTCCCAAGTCCTGAACCCGAAACCCCATACCCAAACCATGTCCGGGCAACCGCGATCTGACGGCACTGGACCGCGTCAGGCAAAGGAAAGCCCAAGAACTCCAGCACTTGCGGGAGCTCATCCTGCACGTAGAGGGTGGCTTAGGGTTTAGGGTTGCCTTTGGCCCCCGCATGGCTGGACGAACCACCCCACAGGGACTCTGGTGCGATAATTGTCTGCTTGACTGAAATCCAGGGAAAGCTTCGATTCTTGCAAGCCGTTGGAGTTTAGGGTTGAGGGTTTAGGGTGTTTTTTTAGGGTTTAGGGTTTCGGGCACAGATTCGATGCTCACACGCCCGCACGACAGGCAAGAGCTTCGGGCTCGTACACGCGTCATCAACCGCGTTACTGCCTCCGCGCGCCTTGGTGCTAGTCTTCAGGGCATTCGCGCTTAGAAGTTTGAACTTCCTATGCTTGTCAGTAACTTCGTACCGAGTCGGAGCGACGGTAAGGATGATCCTCTAAGGGGCCTACCTACAAAACACGCCCGACTTCCCTGCGCTTGCTTGCGGTGACCCTGGGACCCTCATGGACCTGGGCTTTCATCTTCCTGTTCACCGGCCCCCCCCAAGAACCCCGAACTTCCACAAGTTTGCCGAACGATCGATTCGACGAGACCCCGCACAAACGTGCTGCTTGCGTCTTTGCAGCCCCTGCTCAGAACTTCACATACGACACTTCCCAAAACGCCTTGTGCATCTCCGGCCCGTCGGGATCTTTGAAACGGAAGAAGGCCACGTTGTAGCGCTCCAGCTCGGATTCCGAGAGGCCTCTGCAAGAACTTTCCGTCTGCTTTGCTTTTTGTCACTCCCGCATAGCTGGCCGAACCGCAAAGCAGGGATTTGAATCTCATTACGTGGCAAAGCAGTTGTCAGATTACCGACCCCCGCCCCGCCCAAGGCAACCGTCAAACAAAACACATCGCAACCGCAACCGGGCATTCATCTGAGTGCGTAAATTTGGGCACGCCGCCCTGTCAATCAGTTGGCATGCGTGCCTATTTGACAGGTGCCTGAGTCTGCTTTCAGGGCGGGCTCCTAGGAAATTTAGGAAGCGGTCTAACTTTTAGCAAGCTGAACCCTTTTGCCCTAAACTAAACCACGGGGAGAGAGACGACAACGCCCGTCCCCCTAGGGCTGATCAACCCGAGCTCATCCCACGCAACGGTTCTGCGTAGACGGGGAGGCTCACAATAATCCACTTTACTTCTCTAATGATCCACGTTCGCGTGAAATGTTTCCACATGTTTCAATGGTCTGGGCCGCTGAACTCCAAACTCTAAACCCTGAGCCTTCGGCACCACTGCGCAGTCGTTCCAGCACCAGCTGCAGGTCTGGCAGAAGGCTCTGCGTCTTCTTTTTGAGCATCTCATCGACACCTTACATCGCAGCAAAGGAAAGCCGCACGAAGGATCGAAGGATTGAGGGCTTGTACTCTCGAGGCCGGCGGCTTCGGGGAGGTTTGGAGAGAGCTGAGTTTCGGGGTCTGTTCGGGTTTGCGCAATACAGCTTCAGCCAAGGTGCTATGCCGGGAAAACTTAGACAACCGGCGAGGACCACGCCTTAATACAGGGAAGGTCTCGAAACGGCCGCTGCATCTTCTGGCACGTGTGGCTTATGAGCAAACACAGATGCTGGAGATCAAGTGCAGCCTCCGGACGGCATTGGGAATGCCTCTTCAGATCCATTCCCGAATGAGGACTCGCTACTGCTGTCGTCCTGCCAGGTGCCAGTGCTCAAAGATCTCGCAACGTCGGCAGCTGCGAGGGCTTCCATGAAAGCAAAAGTACCCTGGTGACGTGATTGTGCCGTCTTGCAGCTGTACTTCAAATTCCAGAGTTGCACAAACAGAAGTGCCAGCAATGTTCTACTCAAAAAAGCTGACATTTGTATCTGATCTAGATTTTGTGAAATGTCGCAGCCATAGCATAGTCATGTGCCAGACCTCCTCATCAATAGTGGCGAAGCTGTCGCCAAATACCTCGATTGTGGGGCCTTGACCTCAGTGGTCAGCGTCACGATGGGGGAAAACTCCGAACCCTCAACCCTCAACCTTCTTTAACAAAAAAACGGGAAGCTCTCAACCCTCAACCCTAAACCTCATTAATCAAAACCATGAACCCTCCTGCAGAAACCCTCGGCTGGGCCACGCTTCTTGTACGCCGGTGTCGGAAGGCGTCCGTTCTTCTCCGGGTAGCGGGTGGCACGCTTGGATGAACGAGCCAAGTCCGCCAAGGTGGAGCCCTGCAAATCGAAGGTCGACACGTCGGGACAGATCTAGATACGTGTATATATATATATACACACACACGCGTTCTAACATAATATATATATATATATGGTCACACCCCCCCCCCCATGATCCATATGTATCCTTTTCTTGCTTGTCCTTCTGCACCTGTGCTTATTTGCACATATGGTTGAAGTGAAAAAACACCGGTATTTACGATACTTTCGTGTCTTGCCATGTCTGAAGCTACAACTTGCTATTGATTATCTACACGTTTAAACAACAGAAATCTACAAACAGAATCCGTTTCTGGATTTGGTTTTGTGTGGTTTGCTAATCTCTGTTATTCACTCTATAGTAGCTTCCAATATACACCTTCTTGAACTTCAACACTATTCATTGATTAGATAAAATATTACCTTATAGACCATTGTATAATGCATGAACATAAAAGAAGAGATGAAGGGGTTTCAAATAAAGCACCTAACACAAGAAGCAGACTACATAATGAAGTTAGAGACAAATTCGCAAAGACAGAGACATTCTTAACGGACACGCAAGGACTTAAATCCGCCGAGGCCTCGGGCCGAAGGTGTATAGGTAGTCAGAACAGGCACCCCCCTCCAAATCCTCCCCCCAGACCCAAAGCCCTTTTTCGGACCCCTTTTTTTGCCTCAAATGGGTACCCCCCCTAGGTGAGCAGGGTCCGCAAGCGGATGGTTCGCCAGGACCAGAGGCAGTTGCAGCCCTTCCCAGCAGGGCCCCCCCCCTTTTCACACCCCCCCCCCACCCCAACTACCCCCCACCCCCCGCCCCACACCCCCCCCCCCCCTTGCGCCCCCCCCCCCCACCCCTACTACCCCCCACCTCCCCCCCTACCCCCCCCCCCTATCCCCCCACCTTCCCCCAAAAGCCACATGAGCGGCTGGGCTCGAGGTGCTAATGGACGCAACAAGAGGGGCTTGATGTTTGTCGGTGTCGCTATAGCACACCCAATGGTTCATAACCTAGGGGTGTCGCTTTTCAAGTGTTCCCATCGTTTTACAGGGTTTTGGGCATTCGTGTCCACCCCTTGCTTAATTGAATGGCTGGGGGTTTTGGCGCTTGCTCACAGAAGGTGTTTGTGAAAGGCGGAGTTTTCCTGCTCCGACGCGCTGGCTTGAGGGCCGGAGGCTCACTGGTGTGAGCACGGCCGCAAATCCGCCGAGGCCTCGGGCCGGAGGTGTATAGGTTGTCAGAACAGGCACCCCCCACCAAGCCACTTTTCGGACCCCTTTTTTTGCCTCAAATGGGTACCCCCCCTAGGAAACCGAGGTCCGCAAGCGGACGGTTCGCCAGGACCAGAGGCAGTTGAAGCCCCTCCCAGCAGGGCCCCCCCCCCTTTCCCCCACCCCCCCCCCCCCCCCCCCCCCCCCCCCCCCCCCCCCCCCCCCCCCCACCCCCCCCCCAACCTCACCCCCCGCTTTTCGAGGCTCAACTCCGGGACGAGCGAAGAGTAACCGAAACCCGAAACCTTCAATCTTAGCTCCCCCCCCGCCCCTTTCCCCTCTGCCCCCCTTCGCCCCCCCCCAACCCCTACCCGCCGGGCCTGGCTCAACCCTACGATCAATCCAAGCCGAACCGTCTCTTGAACCCTAAACCCAAAAAAACCCTAAACCCCAAAGCAAGAACCTTGAGCCCTAAGCCCTCAATCCTAAACTAACCCTAAACCATAAACCCGGAACCCTAAACCCGACTTGAGCGCTGCGGAATCACCATGCTCATGCGGATGCGTTGGGCCGGGCCGAGGCGGGTCGCGTAGCGTTAAAATTAGCGTATGAGAATCCTGACGGGATATATAAAAAATGGTTCTATTTTATACATTGCTGGGACTAAAAGCTGTAGAGATGTTTATGGTGATTGAAACCTTCCTTTATATAAGACGCAACTGACTCAGTGTTATAAAGATGTAGATAAGTTCATTCAAGATGGTTTTATTGAAATAGACGGTTAAAGAAAAGAAGAAACTGGAATTTCTGGTATTGTAAGTCACAGTTTAGGTTCAGCATCGGGACAACAAATAAACAATGATTATGGGAATGTATTCAGAAGTCGTAGCTATGGTTCTCCTTATGTATCAGGACAACGACCAGAAGACACTGGGACTAAACATATGAATACGGAAAGTAGACGACCCCGTTAGTATGTTTGAAAAAGGAAGTATACCATCAAAGAAATCAACATTAGACCCTCTACAAAAACATCCTTATGAAGATATAGGCAATATTAAAACAAAGCAAGACATAACCGAAGAAGAGTTTTTAACAACAGTTTGATGCCATAATCATTTCATAAGAAAGCAACAACATACGAACAAATAGAGACATCGAAGATAGAGAAGCAACTTAAACAACACGCTTACGAAGAGATAAGAAAGTTAGTTGAGAATAATTAAGTAGATGAAGCAGTTAAGCAGGTGAAAGGTAGGAAGAAGAATAATAGTAAGACACTTCATATAGTTTTGAATTACTTGATTGAATACAAGTTGAAGGTATGTATATGTAATCAAATTATCTATGCTATTTATATATCATGGAAACTTTTAGTCCCGCAGATATCCTCATTGATAGTTTAAGTTTTCTTTGACACAAAGGTAGTTCTTATGTTAATTGTCAAGGGTTTAAGACCAAAACGATTGTTGGATTTAAACCATTGCGTGGCCTCTTCTCACAAGTTAGATATTTGCCGTCAAAAAATATGGGAAACTTACCAATTGAAATAGAATTGGTAACTAATGCTACTAATTGTATCAATTACCGCAGTCAGAATATCAAGAGATTTCGGGAAAACTCGAGCCGGCTCGAATTTTCCGAAAAATCTCCAGGCACCAGGTCACCACAACTCGAGCAGGCTCGAATTTTCCAAAAAAAACCTACATTCTGTCATCTATGAGACCTTGGGGTCACACAGCCATGGTTTCAGCATATTTTTTAGAAAATTCGAGCCGGCTCGAATTTTCCGAAAATTCTTGAAGCTCCAGGTCTCGAAAACTCGAGCAGGCTCGAATTTTCCAAAAAAAACCTAAATTATGTCATCTATGAGGCCTTGGGGTCACACAGCTATGGTTTCAGCATTTTTTTTAGAAAACTCGAGCCGGCTCGAATTTTCCGAAAATTCTTGAAGCTCCAGGTCTCGAAAACTCGAGCAGGCTCGAATTTTCCAAAAAAAACCGAACTTTCAGGATCTACCGGGCTGCTGGAGCCATAGATCCTGAAATTTAGGTTTTTTTTGGAAAATTCGAGCCTGGTCGTGTTTCGGCAATCTACTGTGTCAGTTTTTTTTGGAAAATTCGAGCCGGCTCGAATTTTCCTAAAATTCTTGAAGCTTTAGGTCCCAGAAACTCGAGCAGGCTCGAATTTTCCAAAAAAAACCTAACTTTCAGGATCTACCGGGCTGCTGGAGCCATAGATCCTGAAATTTAGGTTTTTTTGGGAAAATTCGAGCCTGGTCGTGTTTCGGCAATCTACTGTGTCAGTTTTTTTTGGAAAATTCGAGCCGGCTCGAATTTTCCTAAAATTCTTGAAGCTTTAGGTCCCAGAAACTCGAGCAGGCTCGAATTTTCCAAAAAAACCTAACTTTCAGGATCTACCGGGCTGCTGGAGCCATAGATCCTGAAATTTAGGTTTTTTTGGAAAATTCGAGCCTGCTCGTGTTTGGGCGACCTACTGTGTCAGTTTTTTTTGGAAAATTCGAGCCGGCTCGAGTTTTCTAAAAAAGCATGATTTTTTCGGGCATTTTTCTACCTTGTTGATGTAAATGACCTGCCTGACTTGAAATGATATAGGTTTTTATCGGCCCTGTCGGTGTTTTTGTCGCTAGCTCATAGCCCCCTCTCCTCCCAAGATCCATCTGTTTCGAAGCAGAAACGTGGATCATGGGGGGGGGCGTGAGCATATATATATATATGTATATATATATATATATGTATATATATATATATATGTATATATATATACATTTATTCCTATATTATATACACGAACGTTTCCCCGACTTCACGTGGCTGCACTCCGGAGCGCCGGCACTGATCCCATGCAAATCGCTGGCCTGCCACTCGGTCTGGGGGCCTTGGATGAGTCGGGGAAACCAAGAGATGGAGGGCTTAGGGTTTAGGGTTTAGGGTTTAGGGTTTAGGGTTTAGGGTCTAGGGTCTAGGGTCTAGGGTCTAGGGTTTAGGGCTTTTTTTTCGCACCCGTCTCGCAAGCGTTTTCGGGGAAAAGGTCAGAGACATATCAAAGCCCAGGTTCAGAGGATGAGATTTGCTTTGGGCGGGCCCCAGGGCAGTTCAGTTGAGGGTTTCAGGGTAATTGATATACAAACAACAACACCACGCTCAATAGAAACCGAACAAAGCCCTGGAAGGCCCATCCATCCAAAGATACCTGACAGCCCCCCCCCCCCACCTGCCTGCCATGTGTTCAGAAAGGGAGTAGGCTGGTTTAGGGTTTGGGGTTTAGGGTTTAGGGTTTACTTGCGACCACGGGGCTGATCGGCCGAAACGGCTCACCCACCATCCCGCCAGATCAAGGCCTGCGGGGAAACCGCGCAGCAACAAACGCGGTGTGAATCCAATGCTAGGACAACGTGGTGTAGGGTTAGGGTTCAGGGTTAGGCTTCAGGGTTTAGGGTTTAGGGCTATGTGGGCAGGCATGTGCGAGCATATGCCGGCAATTGCCAGCATGTAGCACAAAGAACCCGCTGCTGTCCTGTGAATTGTCAGGGATCGCCTGGCAATGAGCTAGAACGCCATGGCTGCCAAAGCGACAGGCCCTAGAGTTGAATCGGAAGCAATTGGGCTGCTAAGCATGGGCTAAGAGAACAGGAAGCACTTCAGAAGGCTCGCATCGTGGAAGGCTCCATACTGGATAACTCCCAGTGTTTGGCACCCGTGATTCTTTGGGTTGGTGCTCTTCGACTTATGCTCTCAGCCAAGATGGAACGATGCAAACTTCAGAAGTCTGCGAGAGGGTTTAGGGTTTAGGGTTGCAAGTGTCTCAGAAGCACCCTAGGCCCAGGCTTGACTCGCTTTTGTCCGTGGCGCCAGAAAGCTGGACTTATGTCGGTTCACGCCGCACACACGACTGAAGAAAGCAAAACGGCACCGCTTGTTTCAGCAGCGAAGCTGACCCGCACCACTCTCCAGCCGATGACTTGGCCCATGTAAACTGCAGTAGATGGGAAGCGCAAGCTCTTATAGTCTAGGGTTTAGGGTTTAGGGTTTAGGGTTTAGGGTTTAGGGTTTAGGGTTTAGGGTTTAGGGTTTAGGGTTTAGGGTTTAGGGTTTAGGGTTTAGGGTAGTTTTCCTTGCTGTTGCTACCTGCAGCAAGTTCTCTGCCGGACCGAGTGCGTAACCCATGTCCCTACGTCCTGGCTAGATGCCCCCAAGGCCCGGAGGGAGCCCTTGGTGAGCTGGCTGGAGTGGGCTGTTCGGACCGCACAGCTGGAAATCACAGGCAAATAATTCGCATCCTCACATTGGTGAGAAAGCCCAAAAGAGCAGACTGAGAAGAACCGACCCCGAAGCATGCACGTGTTCCGTGACATCCCCAAACCTCCATACCAAAAGCTGCCGGTTAGCAAGGGGCTCGCGAAGATGCTGCAACTTGGTATGTTTTTTCTTTTGGGGGGGTGGCCTTTGCCACGGCATGCAGCTGCTGAGAAACTGGCTCCAGGCTTAAGCAGGGGATCACCTTAAAGTTGCCCAAGAGCGATCTCCCCGTACTGGGTTGTGTCATGAACAAAGCGGTAAGCAGACAAGCATGCGCCTAAACCCTCAAAAGAAGCCTTCAAATCAAAAGGTATTCGGTGTCATTTCAATCGGATGGACCCAGTCTTGCTGCACTCCCCAACTGCACCCTGCATGTGGCGACACACTTAGGAGTTCTCAAATTCTCAGGCCCCGTCGAGGGCCGTGGTGGAGCTTGTGTCGCCACACGGAGACAAAAACAGCCCTAAGAATTGGCAGCGCTCAGGTAGGAACAGGCTTTGGCACTCCCTTCTCTAACGGACTCCCATGCATAGACTGCACCAGGAGGTAACAAGCTGGAATAATGCCTCAGATAAACAGGATATGGCGGACAATTGCCTCCACTGTGTGCGTGCTGCGAAAGCTCTTCGTCTCTCCTCTTCTGCTCTCGTTTCGCCCAAGAAGCTCCACCGCACAAAACCTCGAAAGCAAGTAAGAAGACTAAGAAGGCAAATGGCGTTTGCTTGTCCAAGCTGCCGCGAAGCCCTTATACAGTAATCCGCATCGTTGGTACATGCACAACTGTACAATTGCATAGTGTGTAATCTTTCACAACTTTTATCTTGACATTCAACTGGCGTGTCTTCCAAGCACTGGCTGAAAGTAAGGCACATGGCATGCCACAACAACCATGCTTTTCACACGAAGCTTGGCCCCAGGCCACGACTAGACTCCAACGGGCCCGAACACTTCGAACCCAGTCAGGGTTGCCACCCGCCCAGCCGCAGTCTCCTTAGCAAACTTCACAACGACTGCACAACGCTTGCCAGCCTCTAGCGACTCAAGTGACCAGAACCTGAACGTAAGTGTCCACTTGGGAAGATGAAGTCTTGCGGTGCTTCTGGGGTTCAACCTTCGAAGCCAAAACGAGAAGTACGGATACATATGCATACTCCACCGCTAACCGACCATTGGCAGCGCTCATCTCTTTGGTCTCCGTAAACTCGCACTGTCCGCCAGTCGACGTTTCGGGAGCCGTAAACGCGGGTGAGAACATGGCCGAAACAAGTTAAAACTGTGGCCCCTTAGCCCCTGAGGAATGTTGACATATTGGGGCCCTCTAGGTACAGAGCCTTTGCTTGCCCACAGTCTGGTCTGGCCATGTCAACGGAAGGACTTTCAGCCACGCACCAAGCCTTGGAAATGTTTGGAACAAGGAGTGTCACGGCACGATGGGGATCTGTGCGACCACTGTCACTCAGGCTCCCGAAGGCCATCTTCTGCAAGTCTGTGTGCCAAGTCATGTAGCGTATTAGCACTTGCTGAATGGCACCAAGACATGCCGAATGACCGGCTCACTCCTGCAATACCTCTAAAGCGAGGCTACCGTGGATGCGGCACCGTGCAGACTTTGATGCAGGGACTCCGTTTTTGATGGGAGCAGTCTAACAGTTTCAACTCGCTGCATTCACTGCACGCTGCACACCCCACCCTGGGAGCAGGTGCGGCAGGGCTTTGTGACTCTCAGGTCGAGAAAACACCTTGTGATGCCGTAGGTCGTGAGAAGGTCCTGCACAAGAGGCTGAACAGGTGTGGCAGGCGCTGCGGCCACCGTGACTCATGCAGCTTACTTCTGTCAACTTCTAATTGCTTCCTGGTTGCTTCATGTTGAGCCTCTTCCGGTCTACAGCTGGAACTTCCTAAACTGCCGGCATTGCACAATCGCCTGGATTGTCCGCGGAGGGATGCCTAAAGAGCCCATGCCTGAGCTGCTTCCAACGCCACCTCCACTCTCAGCGTCAGGTGCCAGACTGCGACCGCGGGGCCGGAGAAGATTGTCAAGGATGAGCCAGGAACAGCGTCCAAGAGCTTCAAGAGGTTCCTAGGGCTTGACATTGGTGACAGGGCTCTTCTGACTGCGCCTGTGCCCCTGGTCTTCCTTGTCACCATATCATGACAAAGCAACGGAGACGAGTACAGCGCATACTCAGCCGCAACAGCAAAGGTGATGTGCTGGCAGCTGGCTGCCTCAATACAGCCCACAGGGCCCTTGACATCCGAAGCGTCGCAGAAGATTCGGGATCAGAGGCTTCTACTTTGCATTCAAGAGGATGGCACGCCGTTCAGGCCCGGACTGGCGTGAGGCAATAAATCTCTTCATCCAAGCCATCCAGCGAGCCTGTATTCAGAGTCTCGAGAGCTGAGCCACCTCTGTCATATCAGACGCTCTAAGAAAGGCCTTTGCCCTCCTGCTCTTCTGCTTGCACGCTCGGCTGCGCATCTGTATCCTGCCAGCAGAGAAAAAAGTGGCTGCAAAGTTTCCAGGCACGGGAAAGCCCCTCCATGGGACAGCAATTTCTTCGTAGCCATTTCCAAGTGCTGTATGCAGGGTTTGACAGCCAGGCCATCTTTAACAAAGCCTAAGCCCTGGTGCAACTCTAAACTTCCCGCCACTCTAAGCTCTAAACCCCAAACCCTGAACCCTGAGAGTTGGCCCCCACATTACTCGTGCCTACTGGGGGCCCTGCAAGGATACGAAGCCCTAACACCTCGGCATGGGAGATCAAGCAAGACCCTGGAGCACAGGACAAGAACGATCGAGGATGAGAGCTTGGAACGGCTTTGGGGCCACCGGGGAGAACAAGAAAACAAGTGCACCGCATAGCATAACAAGATATGGGGCTCTGTTCCCAAGTACCCCATTTGACTCCCAAAAAGAGGGCCCCCAAGGTTTCTTCACATGTTGAGTCCCCTTGAATGGAGTTTCCCAGGGGTCCTCCGCGTCAGATTTCTGCGCGACACCTGGGTCCTGCTTGGATTGGCTTGATCTGTCACCAATATGTTGAGCGCCACGGCGCGCAGCGTCTTGAGGCGCTGCTTGTATGGCATGACTAGTAAAAGAATATAATAGAGTATAGAGAAATACAATATAATATAACATACTATATATGTATAATATATATATACATATATGTATGCATACGAGAGGTCCGGGACTGTTCTGGCCACTCTCCTCGTTGGCTCTCGAAGTCGGGGAGAGCATGGAGCGCGGGACGATGGGCGACATGCACAACTCGATCATCCCTCAGTTTTCCACATGCGGGTTTCCGAAAATAGGGGGTGCCCTTTTCGGGGTCCCTTTAACGGGATTCTATTCTATTTGGGGTCGAAACCCCCCTATTTTGCGAAACAGCCATATGGGAACAGCGAAGCTCATCCCAAACTGAGCTTACCGAGTGCGCGAAGAGCAAGAAAGGAAAATCAATGACGCATGGCAGGCCGGGGATACGGAGATTCGGGGGGGATTCGAGGGGAGGGAAGATTCGGGTTAAGGGGGATAAGGAGAGAGACCCCCTAGAAGGGACCCTTAAACTTGTTCTCCTATGTGTACCTTACTTATATCGTCCCAAGAAAACCTACAAGGATCCCGTAAAAGTTAAGTGGTTGAAGGAGGGACCCCTAGAAGGGGCCCTTAATCTTATTCCCCTATATAACCCCTCTATGTACCTCATACAGTCCCGTATACCTAACCCCCAACTAACCGCTAAGGTCCCTCATAAGGGTCCCTCCTTGAGTCCCTTGAATAAATGGTCTAAACCCTAAACCCTAAACCCTAAACCCTACACCCTAAACCCATAAGATAAGTGGAAAGGTCGGTCTTGGCCCCCTTTTAGATTTTTTCCCGAGGCCGAGCAGCTGTTCACCATGTCCATGGTGTAATGCCTGGCACAGAAGGGTTTAGGTTTTTTGTTGCCACTCGCCCAGCATACCCCCTCTGGGTTTAGGGTTTAAGGTTTGGGGTTTCTGCGGTTTAGGGTTTAGGATTAGGGTTTCAGGCCCTCTGAATCCGATTTCCTCGCGCCCTCTGAACATCCCCTTGTTCCCAAAGCCACCTTTTTTCATCTTTTTTCTAAGCCCGTTCTGAAGCTAGACTACCCGAAACCCTTTTTAAACCCAGGACTGCTGAGGTACCCTGAACCCTGAACCCTGAACCCAGCGAAACACCCTAAGCCCTAAACCCCAAAACCCTAAGCCCCCTGGCAGCCTACTGGCGGAAAGGATCGAGCTCCCCCAGCTCCTCAGTCCAATCACACAAGGCAACCCTGTCCGGCTCTCTATTTTGAGATGCTCCCGCTTTTGCTACCAGTCCTTGATAGGGATTCTAACGGGGGGTACTATAATCCCTAGAAAGGACTGTTAGTCCTTAATAGGGATTATAATAGGGGGGCCTGCTATAATCCCTATTAGGGACATCCCAATCTCCATTCTTGATCCATGTTCCTGCTCTACTTTTGGCCGGTGAGGCTCTTGCTTTATTTAAAGCATTGCGATACGAAGACTTGTTGATCCAAAAGCTCTGCAAAGGATCAAAGAGAGGACCGCATCGGGCACGAGCTCTGCACAAAGTTGCACAAATCTCCTGCGGGTCAAAGCATCATTTGAAGACATCTGAAGCATGACCCTTCCTGAAACCCTACGCTGAGATTTTGCTGGACTTTGGACACAAAGTCATCGGGCCCTTCGATACAGGCTCCTTGCATCGATCGGTGACAGAAAGCGCTCCGGGTACCCAGGCCCAGCGAAGACGTCGGCATTGAGCCACAAGTGACCCCCCAGCTTTCTTGCGGCATCGATTCTCTGCAGATGCCTCAGAGCCGGCTCCACACACTCAAAGACCTTGAAGTCCAACTTCACCCCCTTTTTGGAGGTGTGCCGCACGATCCGGCTCCCACCTCTTCGGGCACCGATGCACGCCATCATCATCTGATTGTGGTCTAAGTTCTCAAGCTCCCGATGTAAATCTACCGCGAAGGCAGCGGCCTCCTGGCCCGCAGTCGTTCCATGTCGGACCAACGAGGATACCGGCTGATCCAGGGCTGTGGTGCTAGAGCTGCGTTCCGGCCCTTCCTCGAGCAAGTGGTCGTGCAGAACGGGCTCCGAAAATGGTGAGCGCTGTGGTCGCTGTGCCTGTGCCTCCTGGGAGCCCTGCTCCTTGGCGGGATCCTCTGGGACCTCTTCAACAGCTTCGGTGCCGCATGCCTCGGCCGGCTCGTCATCCAGCTCACCATCAATCTGAGCATTGTGCTTCAACACAGCCCCGATGAAAAGCTCGAAACAGAGGTCGCTCGAGCGCTGCGTGGGATAGTGGGCCATGATGACCGGCAGACCTGCAGAGGTCTGCACCGAAGTCTCGGTAACAGATACCCTGGAGCTCGAGCCACCGGAGCCACCGTTCAGCGGCTTCTGTTCGACGAGGGGTCCTGCAGACACGTCGGCCTCCAGGAAGTGGGAATTGGAAACTAATGCGGTGCTCAGCATCCGCTGACTGTTGACAGCATGTGCCCATCGCAGGCGATGAGCGAACAGCTCACCAAAATAGTCGGCGGCTTCGTTTGGGTACGATGCGGTCGACACAATTTGTCCTGAGAACCGCAAAAAAACGTGCTCGTCTACTCCAATAGGCAAAGCTGAAGGATGGGGCCGCCTATGGCTGCCTACTACACGAATTGTGGGCTCTGGGCCTGAAGGGCCACCAAAAGGATCCTAAACGTCAAAGGCGCTTGGTGGCTGCGCCTCCTTGGGCGCTGGGGAAGGAACCGGCCGGACGGGCAGCGCCGGTGTCTGTGGCACTGGAGCTCCCGGCACGGTCCCTGGCTGCCCCGGCATGGCGGCACTTCTTGCCAGCGCGTGTCAATGCGTCAACAAATTGTGGGCTGTTGGGGTTCGAATCTGGACCGAGGACCTGCCTTGCGGTGGCGAACAAGCACTGCTCTGTAATCGTCTAAGAAGGCTCGTCACTCTGGTCCTAAACCAGCTTGGACCGAGATTGCCCAGGTACAGCGGAGAACTCAACCCCACAGAGCTTCAACAGACAAGAGAGTATCCTGTCATGCGCATGGGGCAATGGTGGATTCGCACGTGAAACTTCGCACGTGAAACGGGGCACCAGCGCTTGTCCGCAAAGTGTCTTGGACACTGTCACGGCAGCAATGGCGCTGGTTGGCTATGCTGTACCCTGTTCTCATCCGGTCGCCAACCGCAACAGCACCAATAGCAAATGATGAGGGATGAGAGAAAATGCCATGGGGGCCATCGGCCTCTGTATTCCCCAACCATCACTAAGTTCTTGACCCGACACTGCCAACTTGAAAAAATTGCCAAACAGTTGAACGAAGCCTTCGTTGCTCTGCAGCGCTGTGCTGCCTGCATCGCCCTCAGTGAGTCCTGTATCTAGCCTAATCTAGCCTCTAGCCGTCACAGCGTGCGGAGCTGAAAGCTTCAAATCATGGCAGCTGCCGTCTAAGATGCCGTCTGGCCTAGTTGAAGAACGCCTCGACGTCGCTTGAGACATGAATGGTGCTCCAGCTGCGCATGGTGTCAGACATGAAGGATGTGGCGTCGCAGAAGTCAATGTCAAGCATGGCCAGGGCATCCGCTGTCACTCTGTTTACAATGTTGTCCGCAGCTACTGCAGAATCAGGCTGGGTCTCGCCGGAACCCACGCATCCATCCTGTGACAGCAAATTTTTGAGCATGGCAGTACCCCTAATTAATCGACCACATATGAAGAACGGCGACCTGTTTTTTTGTTTTATTTTTGGGGGGAGGGGGGGGGGCGGGCGGGGGATTTTGGGTCCTCCTCTTGTTGGTCTCGAGCTGAACGTAAGCCACTACCATGCATGCCGACCTGCCCAGGCTTCGCGGCGAGTGATTCTGCCTGAGCCTTCAGCGCCCTTCCGATGACAGCCGCAACATCCTCGATCTCCTCGGCCTGCACTGGGTTTAGGGTTTAGGGTTTAGGGTTCAGGGTTCAGGGTTCAGGGTTTAGGGTTTAGGGTTTAGGGTTTAGGGCTTAGGGTTTAGGGTTTAGGGTTTTAACTAGCAACCTTAATGCCAAGCCTATCGCGCACTGTGCAAGTACCTGCAGCCCAACCAGGTTGCCCCTCAAGACTCTACAAGCCGTATGACACAGAGCACGATAGCTCAGCGCAACGATGCAACCTGTTAGGGAGCACTGTGCCTGGAGGTCTTTATCAAGGGACTTTTGCGCAGGTTCGGCCGCCACCCGGGCAGGCTCAGCCTCGACATGAACCCACTTCAAAGACAGATCTGCGCATCGGTTCCCTAAACCCTGAACCTTAAACTCTCTAACTAAACCTCATAGGCATCCTTAAGTAGATAGAATATTGGAAAAACCGAGAAAAACCCTTTTCCAAAACGATAGATAGAATATCAAAACCGCCAAAACGTTAGATAGAATATTGGCCTAAAATTTAAAGCCAAGGGGCGCCAGGGTCAACTATATACTATCTATGGGTTCGCTTTTTTATGGCAGTTTCGGGGATTTGGGATTTGGGGGTTTAGGGTTTTGGATCTAGGGTTCTAAGCTTGAAGACTCCTTGAGGCTTACATAACCTGAGAACCCTGGCCTAAAGTTCAGGGCGGAGAGGCGCCTTCGGGGTCGGGTTTAACTACATTCTATCGATGGGTTTCCAGGGAGTTGGGGGTGCTCTCTTCGGGGGGAGGGCGCAAGAGAAATTATTGGCCTGAGAACCCTTCCTCTCTTCTCCCCTCCCCCTCCTCCTCTCCTCCTCCTCCTCTTCCTTTCCTCTCCTCCTCTCAAATCATTGACAAGTGAAATTAATGCCTTAAACTCCTTAAACCAGCTCCGGCGGCTTGGCGGCCTGCGCCTCGCTGGACGTTGAGTTTGGGGCGACCTAATGATTGGACCCTGCCTGGGTTCTCGTCTTGTGAGTGGAAAGTCACCAGTCTCCAAAAAGGCCCCTTAACAAAGCCCGCGCCAAGACCCCTGTTGGGGCATTTTGGCCAGATCCAGGTTTTCAAGTCGGGCCCAAGAGGGACCGTTTTTGGGTAATTTGTGGGGGGGGGGGGGGGTTGGCGCTTGACGAATCTTGAAACCCATAGATAGAATATGTATGCTGGAGGGCCCGAAAACGGGCGTTTTTTCGGGGTCCCGAAATTATTCTGGGTTTTGGGACTCTTTGAGATATTCTATCTATGGGTTTCAATATTCTATCTATGGGTTCCTTCAAAAACGTGGGACAAAGCCCAAAACCCTGAAAAATAATAACCCCCCCCCCCCCCCCCCGAAACCCATGTTCTATCTATTCAAGGATGACTATAAACCCTTTTCGCAGCAGGTTTGGACCTTAAACCCTGAACCCACATTTCAACACTGCTTCCCTGCCTCGATAGTCGCCTGAGGCTCGCTGCGCTGCACCACGCGAGGGGGCAACGGCTCCTTGTCAGGGCGAACGCCTACGAGAGCAGCTTAGGGATTTTTCCCCACCCGTTTCGCACGCGTTTTCGGGAAAAGGTCAGATTGTACAATGGCCCAAGTTCAGTTTGCGCCTGCAGGATATTCAGGTTAGGAATCGGGGCTGTTCCGGAAAGACACAGAGCAACATCAGCATAAAGGGGTTTAGGGTTCAGGGTTTTTTCTTTTAGGGTTTCGGGTTTCGACTCTCACACTAGCGCACGCGCAGGCAAGGCTCCGGTAGAACCCACGAGCTGAGGCACCACCACGCATTGGAAGTGGTCACTAGCGATCACACCCCTTGCTCGCTACTCAACAAACATGACAGGTGACAGCATCCACTCAGCACAATCGAGCAGAATTGCGGCAAGATCCTGTACACGAGAACTTCGCTTCTCATTGGGAACGGAAGTTCGCGGTCTTCGCTGGCCTGACGACCCGAAAGCACGCTAGTAAACAATATACACCCATCATCACCAGCAGGCCGCAGGGCCAACCCGACGTACACATGGGAGGTGGTCACAACACTCAAATCATGTTCGGCGAGCAAACGATCGTAACGACCGAACTGCAAGCCGTCAGAGACAGCAGCACGAAGTGGCAAGAACAGCACGATTTGTGAAGCGCGACGAAGCACTCGAGAAAAGCTGTGATGGCTGCATACCTTGAATATGTCAAACATCGACATCGACGTGTTCTGGCGACGATTTCAGAGGGCTTACAAATGATGAGTGGTCGGCAAAAACTGTACTGTTCTCACGTGGATGAACATGGCCTAGAAGCACAAAGATCGAAACGAAGCAGGACGAATACCTACGGGTGATCTTCAACAAGGTTGGTGCCTTTGTATCACCGGTGGCACAGGTGTGTCAGGCGACATGCAATCGCCGCAAGTCGACACCGATGTGGAAGAGCAGAATCGTTCTCAAACGCATGCTGTGTGGAGCAGGAGAGGCTATTCCTATGAAGCTTCTTGTGTCGTTTTGGATTGCTTGTTGAACTTCTGGTGTATTTCCTGAACATCTCTAGGGATATCTTGTTTTCATCGAAGAGTGCCGGAGGATTTGGAGCATTTTACCCTGGGGCAGTTTGCTCTGAGTGGTACCTCCTATCTACTGGCCGAGTGATCGCTTGGCCGAAGAGAAAGCAGCGCTTTTCGACATGTCGCAGAATCAAGGGGTTCTCCGGCGTTGTGTGGATTATGAGGAAAAGAGGTTGGTGAATTTTGGTGTCCGATTCGGCAGCGTGGAGAAATCAGCTGACAAAACACTTGTCACGTTGCTTTCGGCTGCTTTGCCGATGGGGAGACTTCTGGATCTCCAGCGCAAAAGGGACATGCGAGGGCGAACAATCATACACGGCTGGAAGAACAAAGGAGGTCATGTTGTCCAGAACGTTGTTGGGGTCAACTGGTTGTTCGCGCTGACACAAGAAGTTCCCCGCGAGGTGGAAGATGTCATCAGATATCGTCTACCTGCGCCAAGATCTTGGTCTAGCGAGTTTGGGGGACAAGATTGATTCTTCGGTCGCTGAGATCGCAGGGTATGCAACGGCAGTGGCGAGCGTTTTGGTGAACGTGAACTCTGGGAATGTGATACCTCTGAACAGGATTGTTCAAAGGTTGGCGCCCGAACAGTACAGTACGATTGTCTCAGGGATATATCGTTCACTTCCTGCCTACATAGCATGCAAAGTTGTCAAGGTTCGGAGCTGCTAGTGCTGGCCTTGTGCAAGACAATCAGCTTCACATGTTCCGTGCATGCCTGAAGTCCTGAAGAGGTGCTGGAGCATCACGCAGTAAGGCAATGGGCGCTGATATGGAAGAGTGGGCAGGGATGATACGTGAAGCCCGTGAACCTCCTGAGCAGAAGCTGCCGGACTGAGAGGGGTTTCACCGTAGTACTGCGCCAGTCCTGTTTGCAAGCCTGTAATTTGTGTTGGGTGTATACTGTTAACTATCATGTTTCTGGAGTTGCGAGCCAGGGACATGATCGCTATGTAGAGTTTGGCGTTGACCAGATTGACCTTTCCCTTGTTCTTGGACTGTATCCCGTCCCAAGTTCCCCCAGCAATGGCCGTTGTCTCGCGTGAGACGGAGAGCTGACAGCGCCGTCAGAGACCACTGCCATTGAGATTCCTGTCAGAAGCAGCCTCTGCCCGAACAGTTGTGGCGCGACGCTCGTGAAACGCTCTGTGGGTATAGGACTGGCATCGGGCAGGACGTGTTCTTGCAACATCGCCCGGGTCTTTGTCGCCTGCCGTTCAATCTCAGGACACAGACCTTCGTCGATCGAGCATCGATGTCTTGTGAGAGTGGTTCAGTTGTCGCACGTTTCCACTCAGATTCGTCAACCAGCGCGCATTCGCACATGTCCAAGCCGCATTGGTTGCACTTCCAACTGCATGGCCGGGCGCAGCAAATCCAACATTCGTGCAGGCGCAGGGACAGCAGCTTGCGTCTGGAGGGAACGCACCACCATGTACAGTAATCCGCAGAATTGCAAGCTCATTGGCGACGGGGACACCGGTGCTCACAGCACTCGATTGGGAATACCGGGGGTCGAGAGGTCACCACCTCCGACGATCGCCCCTGGTCCTTGCAGCGCCAGATTGAAGGAGCAGGAGATAAACGCTGCACTCCAAGCCACCTCCGCACTCGGGTCGTGAGCAGTCAGCCACATTAGGAGGTTGTCGCGGCTCGCCGGCTGGCCCAGCTGAGCAGAACAATACAGGAGATTCAACACGGAGGCGGGACTTGGCCCATCAAATGGGTAAAGGTCTGCATTCAGTTCCAGCACGACTCTCCCATCTTCCACGGCATTGGCGACAAGAAATGCCTGAGCCGAATTCGCGGGATCTGGCCACATTCGTAGGGCGCGATTGGCCTGCAGCGCATCCCTCAGCCACGCCATTCCGAAGACACGAGTAGATGCCAATCATCATCTCGTAGAACGCTTCCAGCGACGCCGCTTCCCTGTCTTGGACGGCGCTCGTCGCCTTTCTGTATCTTCGGCGATCAGCATCAGTGGAAGCATTGATCGTGGCAGCACTGAGAAACGATTTTGACGCCTCTCGAATCGAACTGTGTGCCACAGTCTCTACACTCCCACCAGCGCGGTTGGAAATCACATTCACCTTGATCAAGAGCCGCTCAAAGGTACTGCCTGCAGCCCCTCCTCCGATGAGCATTTGGCGGGTCGCCAATGGCCGGCGGCAAGCAGGTGGACATTCGTTTATGGTAGTCTTGCGCGCCAAGGCTGTTGCCAATCCAGCAATTCCTGATGTAGCGAACGAAGATGCGTAGGAAACGTCATGAGAGACCAAAGTTTCTGGGACAGTACGAATTTCTGAGCCTCAGTCCACATCCCGCATCGACTCGGTACCTCCCGATCGATCCTTTCACCTTCCGCCATCCCAATGGGCGCGCTTCAGTGTGATCACACACACGATTCAGAACACAGTGGGCAAACCACACTCTTCGAAAGCCGTGTTGCCACGACTCACTGCGCAAGCCTTGTCAGCGATCCACGCGGTCTGTAAAACCTGGACAAACCTTGAGCCAAAATGCCTTTTTTTTCCCACCCGTTTCGCAAGCGTATACGGGGAAGAGGTCAGGCCTAGTTACCGCCAAAGTTCAGGTTAAAAAGGTTGCTAGTCCGTTGCTGGAGCCCTCAAGATGGCCTTCGGAGTTTACTGTACCCACCACCAGCCGAAGCAACACAACCAAAACCAAGAATCACGTACAACCCCAGGACAACAAGGAACCAACCCCGAAGCCGCCATCCCCGGACTCCCAAAGTGCGAAGGTCTGAACCCTATCCCCCCCCAGCGTGCCTGTCCGAGTGGCGCGTAGGCCAGAATGCATCAAGGCGGGATAGACTCAAAAAACGGGGCCAATAAAGAGGTTGATGACTTTAAGGAGGAGGAGATGCACGCACTCGGACAGGCTCACTATCCTGGAAATGATGTACAATGGGGGGCAATGGAGCTTCATATCCCCGGTCTTGCAGTGTTGAGGTCCTACTGACTCAGATTACGAATACACTACATCAACAGAGTACTACAGCAGATACGTTTCCCGGGGATACATTCACGCTGCAGACTCGCCAATGTCATCCGCTTCGCTGGGGCAGAGCAGAATCGACAGGGCCCCAAATGGGTCTGTTTGTTCCCAGAGCCTTGCCTGTTTCAAATGGCTTTATAGCTCACAGAAATCTGGGAGTTGCTTCCAGTGTGCATTTCCCCTGCTAGGTCCTACAATCAATGAACCCATCCCGGAGCCACCATCCCCGGACTCCCAAAGTTCGAAGGTCAGAACCCTGCCCCCCCAGCGCACCTGTCCGAGTGGCACGTAGGCCAGAATTCAGCAAAGCAGGTTTGACTGAAAAGGGATCAGTTACTTGAAGGAGGAGGAGATGCATGCACTCGGACAGGCTCGCTATCCTGGAAACGATGTACAATGGGGGCGACAGAGCTTGATATCCCCGGTCCTGCGGTATTGCGGTTCAGTCGACTCAGATTACGCTCACCCATCATAAACAGATTACTACCGCAGATACGTCTCCCGGGGATACATTTACGCTGCAGACTCGCCAATGGCATCCACTTCGCTAGAGCAGAAATACCAGGGCTTCAAATGGGTCTGTTTGTCCCTAGAGCCTGGCCTGTTTCAAATGGCTTCATAGCTCACAGGAACCTGGGAGTTGCTTCCAGTGTGCATTTTCCCCTGCTTGGTCCTAGAAACCCTCAACGTAGGTTTAGCGAGCTGTACACTTGTCGCTGTTCACCTGTCGCAACTCCCTGTGCAGTGAGGTGTTGTCTTGCCATGAGACTACCCTTTAGGCATAAAGTTAGGTCTAGGCACGCCTGTGGCACCTGGCATGGGTAGTGGTTAGGGTTCTCTCATTTGGCATTCGCATCCGAGATCATTGTTTCTTCGCTGGTTCTCAAGGGGGATGGAAGCTGAAGAGGGATTTACTATTTATGGGCACGCCTGTGGCCAGTGATAAGGGAATATGTCCCCTTCCCGGCTTCCTTCCCGCAGGACCTTCTAGCTTCCCACACGGCAGCCATGCATGAATTCTTGAATTCTCGAATTCTGAATTCTCAAACTGGAACATGATTCTGCAACATACTTCATGCAACCCCTTGTATTCACACTGCCAAGTACACAGAATTACCTAGCTTATCAGCTCAGATGCCGTGAACTGCATCATGCAAGTTCACTGAAGTTCCAAGGGTCACATCCAGAAAGGTCGTCAGCACGGATTCGGCATCATGCAGGGTGGCTCATCCAGCTTAAAATGCCTTTTAGGGTTTAGGGTTTAGGGTTTAGGAGCATGAACTGCAAATTTTCAGCTTTTCCAGCCTTCGCCTTTTTCGGACCAGCTCCGCCCACAGAGGCCTGCAGTAGCATGCCAGTGCATAGACGAGGGCGGCGATTCTTGGTTTGATTTTTTATGTCCTTGGTTTGCCTAGGAAAACTCCTGCCTTTATATATTTTGATAGGTTCTCGGAATTCTGTAGGAAAGACTCTATTGCTTTGTGTTTTAAAAGGTTTTTCTCCTAGGAAAGACTCTATTGCCTCTGTATTTCAAGGATTCGAATTGATTCGAATATGTTTCCTTGGTTTTTCTCAGGAAAACTCGTCTGCCTCTGTACTTTAATACGTTTTGTCCCGAGGAAAAACTCTTTTGCCTCTGCATGTGAAGAGGAATCGTACACATTTTCATGGGATTCCAATGAACTTGGTGTAGTTCCCTTGGTTTCCCGAGTAATGTCGGGCGTCGATGTTTTTACTGCAAGTTCTCGTTTGGGCATGAAGTTTTACAAAGCCGGGGGGGTTCGGGTGGAATGGCCATACTAACACTTTCTCCCTTTCTCCCTTCCCTGGCCTCCCCTTGCCTCCCCTTCCCCCCCCTTCCTTGCCTCCCCCTTGCCTCTCCCCCTTTCCTCCCTGCCCCCCTTCCCTCCCTTCCCTCCCTTCCCTCCCTTCCCTCCCTTCCCTCCCTCCCCTCCCTCCCCTGCCTTCCTGCTTTCCCTTCCTTCCCTTCCTTCCCTCCCTTCCCTCCCTTCCATCCCTTCCCTCCCTTCCCTCCCTTCCCTCCCTTCCCTCCCCCTCCCTCCCTCCTCCCTCCCGCCCCTCCCCCCCTCCCTCCCCTTCCCTTCCCCCTCCCTCCCTCCCCCCTTCCCTCCCCCTTCCCTTCCCTTCCCTTCCTTCCCTTCCTTCCCTTCCTTCCTTCCCTTCCTTCCCTTCCTTCCCTTCCTTCCCTTCCTTCCCTTCCTTCCCTTCCTTCCCTTCCTTCCCTTCCTTCCCTTCCTGCCTTCCCTCCTTCCCTCCTTCCCTCCTTCCCTGCTTCACTCCTTCCCTGCTTCCCTGCTTCCCTGCGTGCCTGCTTCCCTGCTTCCCAACGTCCTTTCGTCCTTTCTTCCTTTCTTCCTTTCTTCCGTTCTTCCCTTTCTTCCCTTTCTTCCCTTCTTCCCTTTCTTCCCTTTCTTCCCTTTCTTCCCTTTCTTCCCTTTCTTCCCTTTCTTCCCTTTCTTCCCTTTCTTCCCTTTCTTCCTTTCTTCCTTTCTTCCTTTCTTCCTTTTTTCCTTGCTTTCTTTCTTTCTTCTTTCGTTCTTTCCGTCCTCTTCTTCCTTGAGCCTCCCCAGCCTCATTTAGAGGTTTCCTATTTGAACACATAGAGACAATAGAGGCTTTCCTCTTTAAATAAAAGAGGTTTCCCTCCGAAAATCGGGATTTTCCTACCCCTCGCCCCCCCCCCCCCCCCCCCCCCCGCCCCCCGCCCAGAAGCCTAAAAAAGAAAACGCGAAAACAAAAAAGGTTCGAAAAAAAACCCTCCACAGAAAAGCGCTTTTCTCTCATAGCTCTTTACTTTGGCCGCGGCACGTCCGCAGAAAGGCTCGGCATTGATCGGCTTTCGGATATGCGCCTGCAGACACAAACGAAAGGCGTCTGGTGACTGGCGACATCAGCGGCAAAGAATCGCCGACGTGTTCAGTTGTCCCGCTTCATGCTGTCGGGTTGCGAAGGCAGAGGCAGTGCTTGCCGAGATGGCCTTCCGAGAATTCACGGGAACCATACAGCATGGGCCATCACAGAGGCCACAATGCCCCACCCCAAAGCACGTGACGATCAACACCACGCCAGGCCGTGCAAGATGATGTACAGGGTTTCACCAACGAGAGGGCTCACTACGCTACTGTTCACTATTTGCCCCACTCCCTCCTGGCGCATGCTGAACTTGATCTGCCGAAAATGCCGGACTTCTTCTTATTCTTATAATTATTGCTATTACTGTTATTATTGTTCTTATTGTTATTATTGTTATTATTGTTATTATTGTTATTATTGTTATTATTGTTATTATTGTTATTATTGTTATTGTTGTTATTATTGTTATGATTGTTATTATTGTTATTATTGTCATTAGTGTTATTATTGTTATTCTTGTTATTATTGCTATTCTTGCTATTATTGCCATCATTGTTATTCGTAGCAATATTACTGTGATTATCATGATTACTACTATTATTATTATTATGCTTACGATTATTATTACTATAATTCTTACTACGATTAGTATTACTATTATGCTTACTACCATTAGTATGATTGCTATTCTTATTGCTAATATTATTACTATTCTGAATATCTTTCTGGTGGCCTGTAGCCGGTGCAGGAGCTCTTTGGCGTGTACTCTGCCTTGGGCAGGTCCGGCACCACCTTTCCAACTCTCGCTATACATGCGCTGCTTAAGATGTAGAGACGCCGTTCCGCTGCTTCATGCTAGAACAAAATTTCCATGCGCAGACATACACAAATACTGGCCTTCTCCGGCAGCTTGGGCAGCTTTCTCGGTCGGGGATTTGGATTCTTCTCCGGCAGCTGCTGCAGTCGGCCGACGTCCTGGCGGTGCCTCAGCGTGCTCAACAACGAGAGGAATCCAAGGCCAGCGCGCACGGTCAGCTCGGACTGTGCGGGAGTATAGCTGGATAGCTCGAGTCTCCTGAGTTCCTGGAGTTGCCGAATAAGATCCGTAAGGTGCCCAGAAACCCATCCCCAGTGCATGCAGCGAGCCTGCGGTAGTCTTTCGCAAAGCCTTGCATATCCAGGCTGCTCTTCACAGAGAGAAGGCGTCGCACCAGCGACTGGTTCTCGACCTCAATGTGCTTCTGGCGGATCAGCCGGTCGCGCTGTAGCATGTCACGGCGGGTTCCGGAGTGACGGGTCGCCCCATCTGACATCTTCGAGATCACACTGGGCTTCTCCACGATCTCCTAGAAATAAGCAAGCTTGACTGCATGGAGCACTCCTGTGAAAATTCTCGCGTGTCGACACAGACAGACCCCTCACGAACCCTGGGTCCTTCAATCGATGAACTAAATGGCGGTTCTCTGCTTCAATGTCCCTCCTGCACAAAAGCACAGAGAAGTCGGAGCTCTGGCAGCGAAAAACACACTGAAGCCACTTTGTGTCCTTTGGGATCCCCTCTGTACTTCCTTGCTCTTCCCTCTCCTCGTCTCATGCTTGATGAAGTCTCGGGCTTTCTCTCGCGCTTTGCGCACGCCCACGTCTGCGACGCCCGGATCTGACTGGTCGGTCACCTTCGTGACACCTGGCAACCAAGAAAAAATGATCAAAGCCCCACGCAGCCCAAAAACAAATGCTTCTTTCACTGCTGGCCTTCCAAGGCTCGCAAGTGATGTTGCATGCCCAGTTTCCAAAGCTTCTTCCGCGGGTCTGCATCTGAGACATAGGGTGCCACCACGGGCATGGGTGGTACCACTTTCGGCGGAGGCGGCACAAACATCTCTAAGAAGTCGGCCCATCGAAATCAAGCTATGTACACGGGCGCCCTGGGCCACAAGCTGCAGATCCAAACGTCGGTGGCCTTATGAACACCTAAAGTTGCCGCGCCCTCACTCATGCCTGAACGACTCCCTAGGACCCTAACCCTGGTGCGGCCCGGGCATCCAGCACCGTCTTGACACCGAAGGCACGAAGCCAAAATGCGGCAAGCAAAAGTGGCCAAAGCTTCCAGCATGCCTGCCGAGAGCAGGAAACGATGCGGGAGGTGCCAAGCTCAAGGTGCCTCGTGCGCAGTGGCTCTAGAAAATGCATTTCAGAAACCATGCCTTGGGCAGTACTCTCAGCAGGAACTGCCGAGTCATTCGCGGAGGACTCTGTCTACCTGCAGCATGCGAAACCTCTAACTTAAAGATTATGACTTATGAAACTTGTGATATTTTGAACTACTAGTTCTCTCAGGCAGAGCAACCATGGGCTCCAAGGCTCACTCAGTCAATACTACAATGCTCGTAGGGACGTGCACAGGAGGTTGGAAAGCGGGCCAGGGATATGCAGCGCAGAAAATGCCCCTCTAAGTGCAAAGCAGGGGCTATCAGGCAGGCCGTCCTGACCAGATGCTGCGCTCTGGGCCTTTGGCCGACTCGATTCGCGATTTCTTCCCCGAGGCCCCCCGAGTCGTAGCAGGTGCACTCTCACCGAGTGAAACAATAAAGAGGGGCAGACTGCCAATTAGTGAAACAGATGTGCACCGTCTACAAACTCGAATTACTGTCTTACAAATCTCAGGGGCACGGCTCCGGAGACGGCAGAGGTTGCGGAGACTCCATGCTTGTAAGCGCTGGACATGGCCTGGATACTTCGGACTCACCTGTTACGGTCTCCTGCCTCTGAATGAATCGCTGGAGCCGTTCGTCTCTGCGTTTGAATAGCCTGGCCGTTGCATGCGGCACCAGTTCGCCAGTTGGACCAGCACGGGCTTGCGCATCCGCTGCATCCTTTTCAGCCTGCTGCTGCTGGGCCCTCCTAGCCCGGTGCTGGGCTCGCTTGACGGCCTCCGTGATGCCTGGATCTGGCGATTTCGAAGCTATCGCCCGCGACGCCCGTGCTCGCATGCGGTCAAAGTACGAGTCCCTGCGAGCGGCACCAACTCTTGGGACTCTTGGGGTCTCTCTGGGAGTCGATGCGAATCCATCTGACTTCCGCCCTGGCGGTTCGCTGCCTCGACGTCTCGAGCTCGCAAGGCTACCTGGACTTGTGCCGCAGCTGCTTGCTCCGCAGGACCACCGTGATGTTCTTCCAGACAGAATGCTCTGCCAGGAGCTTGGTGGCTGCAGCTTGCTTGGTGGCAGTCCTTGGAGTCCTTGGAGTCCTTGGCCTCTGCTTAGGAAATCAGCATCCAGCTCGAGCAGCTCGTCAGCGCGCACCGACTCGGAACAGGAAGGCATGGGAAGTCTCCCAGTGGATGCTGACGTCCAGGAGTCTCTGCGGGAGCTGACTTGGGCGACTTGAGAGGCCTGGCCTTCTTTGTCTTGACGGCCCTTGAACTGCGTCTCACGGAAAAGTTGCACCGTTGAGCATGGCACGGGGACTGACGAGGCACCTGCACAGACTGGGGAGCAATGAGGTGTCTCAAAGGCGCTTGGCGAGTCCTCATCCCACACGGGCGCCACAGCACGGCTTCCGCCCGGCCCACGCGCATCGCGGAAGGCACAGAGCAGGAGCTCCTCCTGCCGCCCCAGCTCCACCGAGCCCACCATGGAGCCAGGATAACGTGCCCTCAGCAGCTGCTGCAAACCCGCGATAACCTTGATGCCATTTGACAGGGCTTGAAGCCCAAGGCCAGGATCCAGGCCTGTGCGCTTCAGGTCTTCCACGTCCCAGTCACCCTGCGAAACAGACGCCATGGACATCTTCGAGCCCTTCGCCGGAAGTCGAAGCCCAAGTGCATTCAGCAAACCCACAATCTCTGCAGCTATCAGTGGCGAGTCTGTTGATGGAACTGCTCCTCGACCACCCAGCGCCAGGCGAAGAAAGCGCTGCTGCAAGTCTTGGACTTTCTGTTGCACCTCATCCCATGGTGGCAGAGGTGCCTTCAAGCGATCCAACAAGGCAGACCACACATGAGCTGCGCATGGGCAGTCATCTGCGTGGAGCTGCCCCTGCAGCCACTCTTGGATGCTTTTGGCCCGGACCAAGATGCGGGGTGCCAGCATGTCGCGCAGTCTCGGCAACGTCCGCAGCAGTGCTTCTGATGGTACGACATGACGTCCAAGGATGTCAGGCTCCAGTCCAGTGAGGCCTAGCAGGAAAACCTCGTAACTGAGGCCCCCCTCCACGGACACAAAAAGAGCATCGCACGCACCATGCATGTCTGTCCATGGCAGCATGCAACCATTCCCATGCCGCGTCCTTGGTGCTACTTCTTGTGTGTTGTCTCTTCTTGTTGCCCGTAGTTGCGAAAGCTCGTGAAACTCCGATGCGTGCCTTCGGTTACTGCGCCGATTTGAGGGCTGCATAAAACTTACACTGCCTATGACATGTATGTATATGCATTATACGTAAGGATCATCATGATCATCATTATGGACTAAGCAAACGCTTTGGCTGAGAGCCGGCAGCGAGTTCGCATCAAGCTACAAGAAACCGGCAATGCCGGCGACGTCCCGAAAGTGTCTAACAATGTCCAACGCAGGTCCATCGTTTGTATCTTGAAAGTGAAAGAGATGATTCTGAACGATGAACTGGGTCCAACAATTACTGAGAAGACAAACATAAGATCTCCTCGTCCTCGCTATCGCTGCTGCGATCATCTCGTCGCGGGGCTGGCTGCAAGTAGAATTCGCCCGGGAGGACCTTCAGTAGCCGCCTCAGATGCCACAGGCATTGTTGTGCATGTCCGCTGTCCAAGCGTGCAATCTAGTGGCGGGTGCATTCCGTAGATCTCAGAGTAGGGAGTGACTTCATGTATCGTATTCCTCAGATGGGCACACAGTGCACACCGGACCCATTGCAAAATCAAGCCCGATCGGCGAGGCCCGTGTGCGCTAGTTCATGCAGGAACAAAGAAGCTGTCCAAGACACATGGTGAGGTTGAAACGTACTTTGCGCACCTAAGGCTGTCGGATGCCATATAGACAAGAACCATGATATGGCATGATGAGTCGATGTTCAAGCCTTCGGTGGCTCGCCGCAGCAGGGTATGAGCGTCGAAGGCAGGTCATCTAGCTCCACATGAGAGCCTCCAGGAAACATCGAATCGACTTACATTCTACGAGTACCATTCTGCCAGCTCAATGTCTGGCGGATTTGTCATGCCAGTGCGGGCCTGTGGGCAAGACCGCAGCAAAGGTGCTCAACTTGTCCTGCGCTCAATACCGTGCACATCTGCACACAAAGGGTGGCCCAACTGGGCTTGTCGATCTTCTGCAACCATTGGGCCCGAAATCCTAAGTCCCCCTCCTCATCCTCACAGAAAGCCCAGCACGGCTCGGCAGGCCGCGTTCCCTCGGAGGTGGTTCCGGCCCTGCGATGGACATCCGTTCTTCTTCTGGCATGCCAGGCGACGTCAACCCAGGGTACGACGTGGTAGTCATGCACTAATTAAGGTCAGGGTTTAGGGTTGGCTGTTCACCTTCGTGCTGAAAGTGTGGTTCGACATGGCCAGACCCGAGTGCGCAATGCGAGCAAATGTGCGCCATGTGCGCCAGGGATCGCCAGCGCGCTGACTGTGATCACCATGTTGACAAGTTTGACCGGAACAAACCTCTATTCTGCTGTAGAGCGCGCGAACATCATGACCGATAAGCATTGTCAAACACGCACTTCGTGTTGCAAAGTCAATAGGCACGGCCAGTTGCATCCTCTTGTCAAGGAATCAAGGCTCCATAACCGAGGCTGAGAAGTCACCGAGCTTGCGACGTCCAGGGTGACGGGTCGAACAGATGGGTTTGGAGAATTTTGAAGACGTGGGTCACTGGCGGTGGACCGGCGACATGCGACGATCTACTGGCATGAGAGATGAATACCAAACAGATCATGAGTACTGCTGTGGCCTGGTGCTACTCGTCACAACTGCAGCACTCGTCGCCAGCAGCACTGCCAGCCCTGCAGCGGCAGCGGCACCTGCAGCAGCCAAAGCCTGGGCAACCATCATGCCCTGCGGGGGTGGCGGACATGGCCCCTTCAGCTGAAACGCATGCGAATGCTCAACAGCAGCAGGCGCTTCGTCGTCTCAACCTGACCCAAGGGGCGGCAGCGGCCATCGCCGCAACTGCTATGGCCGCACTGGCCGCTGAATTTCCCAAACCTCTGATTCTGATGGAACGATGCGACTTTGCAGCCTACTTATTGTTGTTCATACTATCATTCTTGTTACTACTATGTTTAGTTAGTTATGATTCTTATTATTATTCTTATTCGTAGTAGTAGTAGTAGTAGTAGTAGTAGTAGTAGTAGTAGTAGTAGTAGTAGTAGTAGTAGTAGTAGTAGTAGTAGTAGTAGTAGTAGAGTAAGTCCCCGAGCCCATATCTTCCCACATCGGATTCTATTCGAGGTAGCACAATGCGCTGGCCACAAAGTGCAGAAGCAAGCAACCTGATCGACTGCTCAGATTTGTCGTCATGAGCCGGTCCTGGCAATGCAAAGCATTGGGAGGGCGGGCACCCTAAACCCAAACATCTCAATCCACATGTTGCAGCTGACGCCTTGTTCTTGGCCCGACTCTGCAACCTCAGGCAAAGGAGGCTTCGCTTGAATGGCGCACTGTGCATGCACGAAAACTCAGCAGCTGCTAAGGCCAAGGCTAAGTCATGTGTACAGACTTCCAGGTTGGAAGCTTTGCATCCGCCCTCTCTATGCCGTATTATGCCGTTCGAGCCCGAGGCGAACAGCATCACCCGTGTGAACGGGAAACCCCTGTTTCGTGCGAGTCTTTTCACGGCGGCATGCCACACATATGCTACACGTATGCTGCACGTATGCTGCACGTATGCTACACCTTCACAAAGTGCGCAAGTTTTGAGCAGCGAAGCCGAGCTTGCCTCAAATGTTTGCATGCCCCATGTCAACCAGGTGGAGGCACACAGCTTGGCCGGGTTGATGGGGCATGGAGGCCAGGACGGTCTCCGGCGACTACACTAAGGTTTAAATGTCTGCCCGAGTCGAGCAACACGTGCGGAGTCGAAGTCTGTTGAAGTACCTTAAGGGTTTCGACTCTCGCACGAGCGGCAAAGGGCAAGGCGGGGTTCAGACCCGAAGCGCAATTCGCCATTGCATGCGTCAGGCACTGGAAGGATCGCGAAACAAGGTGCCCTGTGCTACACGGACGCAGGCCAGGAAGACTTCTGCTACCGCAAGCAGCTGGGATTCCAGGTTGGGCAGGGTCTGTTGAGAATGCAACCCATCCGTCGTAACTTCCGCCACGTGCTGCCCTTTGAGATACCCTTGCACACCTTCCCTTCTCCCAGCTGCCGCACCGCATGCTTCCGTGCTAAGTCATGACTGCCTCCTCAATCTATCATGCGCTCACTGGTAGATGACTTCCGGCTTCAGGTGTTGGAACGCCTCGGAGCACAGGACAACGAACACCCGCTGGATTGGTGAAGAAGCACAAATCTGCGCATAAGTGGTCCATCGCCCCTCTACCTTTGGCTTGGCGGTGATTCCACAGACAAACGAAAAAAGGCCACCAGAATGAACGACCTAACAAATGAAACTAAAGAAGAAGAGAAACACAGAGAACAACGAACAATTTAAAACGACATGGGGGGCCCAATGGATCATCAGTGACATCTCATGCCCCTGGATACTAAAGTGTGACTGGCAACAGGCAGAATGTGCGCTGTGAGGCCATCCTTCCGTCACCTAACTGGCAGCTCGACAAGGCTCACGCACGTTTTTTTTTTTGAAACAGCTCAAGCCACCTACATCATCTCCAACCCCTGAAACCCTAACACCCCAACTTTGGTTGTACATCCTGTACACATGCACTGAGCTCAGGGCTGCGACCTCAAAATTCTGGACGAACTTGCTCTTCTGCTGCATCACGGCCTCTAAGGACCCCAGCCTGTCAGTGGGCTCAGGGTCGTTTCTGCCACCCGTCGAGCTGACACTCACGCGCCACTCCGTAAGGGACAAGTTTGTGGATGCTAGCCATCAGGCTGCAAGGCCCCCAACGGGTTTTCACTCGAGCACAGCAACGACCAGCAGTGCGGGAAAGCCACAACCCTTAATCGAGATTCTGCTATATGTTTGCAATGCAACACTGGGGACAAGTCGAGGACCCATGTTGAAAAATGGTTCAAGTGCACGGAGGGAGCCCAAAAAACATTAGCAAGGCCGACGGAGAGACTCCGCAGTGCAAAAATCGCACAGAATCGTCGCACAGTCATCTACCAAACCCAACTACGGCAGTCCTAATTTAAGGCTTACGGGCATACAGCCAACCCGCAAGAGCTGCCCCCTGGGTAGCAGTCCCACCTGCCAATCTCCTCCTGCAGCTTGGCCTTGGAGTACATGCCCCACTGAAGTGAAAGCTTTCTCTGAATGCTAGGCTGCTGGCCTTTAGGGCCTCGAAGTGCTCCAAGGACATGAGGTGTGCCTTGGACTCTTTTGCAAGAATGATTCAACCCCCAAGGCCAAAACAGAAGCCTTCTCCCCGAAAGAAGTACTACAGTGCCCCGTTTTGGAGCCCGGCCTTGATGTTGTCTATGGACTTCCGGCAGATCGAGCACTCCAGCGTCGGAGCATTCCAGTAGTCGTCGGCGCAGTCGCCCTCACCTGAGAACCCCCCGTGACCATGACAGCTCTTTGAAACTCTCTGGAAGGCAAAGTCCGCGGATCCCCTTTGTCGCCTCTAAGCCCTCTCTCCCTCTTCCTGCAGAGTCTGCAGAGTTTTGAAATCAATGTCGCAGGCCTAGCGGCCTAGCGCCTCTTCGAGTCGCTCAGCTTGCTCTCGCACCTGGCACCTGGAACAGCGACTTGAGCCGTTTGGAATATGCCCTGCTCTGCATGGGCACAGTTGGCCGCAAGGAGAGTACTCTGACAAGACACAGGACACCTCACACCCCTGTGATGCTGAGTAAGTGTGATCAGCTGTGAATAGCCAGGCGACTGCCACAGCATGTGATCGATTGAAGTCGATGCAGGCACAGGCACGCAGACTGGAGCTTGCCTGTAAAGCGGTGCGGTTCAAGGACTCAAGGCATCCCTCCCTCATGGATGCTCATGCACGTACATTGTACCCCGAGCTGACTTGATGGGTGGCTGCTGCTGCGGCGGCGTCGCTGTCACTGGTTGCGGCATGGGTGCAGGAGAAGGAGGACCTGTCTTGCTCCCGTCATCAAGCACCAAAGAGGTCCCTATTCACAGACACAGGGACATGATGGTTTCCGCAATTTGGGGCACCTTTTGGGGCCCATATTATAAAGGAATCCTACTCTGTGGGGTTTATTTTAGGATTCCCCCAATTTTCGTAAACCCCCACATGAGCCAACCTGCGTCCTGTGGTTGTGAAGGCGATGGCGGCGCCAAGACTTCGTTTGCGAAACCCTGGGGGCAAACTGAGCAGACCGCAGGCTCCAAACTCTTCTATGGCGGGTGCCAAACCCCTATGGCGAAATCTGCATGTTCATAAGCAGCACAATGTGTGTATATGCACTTAGGCATGTTTCTTGTATCTAGTGACGCCTTCATGTAGGTATTTAAATAGCTAGGGTACGCACTACACGATGTGGTTGACGGACTCGCATGCGCTAAGAATGCCTTTCCACAATTGCCCCTTGTTGGCATTCCCGCCTGTTCGCCTGTCAGATGGTTCAGCAAGTATAGGCCACCTGAGAAATGCAGATGACTGGTGAAACAAACCACGACCTGAAACAGAAGCCTGACCCTCGTCTCGTCATTGCAACATACCATGAAGTGGTTTCTGCAATGCACCAGGTGCAGAGCAACACTTGAACACAGGATGTGAAGGGACAAGGCTTCGTGCAGCAAAGCGTCGGCAGGTTTCCTGAGAGATGGGCATGAGTAAGAATGCGATGGAGCATGGACGAGTGCTTGTGAAAACGTCGCGCGGTCTTCCACTGTTAAGCGATGGCCCAACAAAGCGGCCTGTCGCCAGGGCGAGCGAAGGCCTTCCCTTTCACATGCCCGAAGAGGCCGAAACTGCAAAGGCAGGGTAAATCCCAGACAAGCCCTTGCACATTTGAGCACCGACCGCACAACCGATCCCTGTGCCACTTGCCACTGCCATCGTTGGCAGTGGCCCCACCGACGACGCAAGGCGGCTGTCCGGATGATTCAGGCCACAAGGCTTAGGGCAAAGTTCTGCGAACTACCTAAGTAACCATCAATCCAAAACCGAGGTACCTATCTGGCAGCCTGTTTGAAGCCAAGTCCAAACCCATAATACCTAATGATCTGGCAGCCTATCTGCAGATCTGTCTTTCATGAGGGCTGACGAGGCTTAGGTCGAAGGGTTCCATCCCGGCGCCCCATGGAGGATTGCATCGCTCCTCGCGCATGTGTTCCTCGGTCGCTTTGTGCCTGGGCCCTCCAACAACAGCTCCAGGTCCCTGACTGTCCATAGCACCATCCTCCCTGCACGCCTCGAACTTCCGTGGCACGTTCCCAGGACGGTGCTCCAATCAATGGCTGTGAGGATTCGGGGGCCGCTTTTTCTTTGGCCACCCCGCCAAGCAGGACGCACTGGTGGGACGACTTCAAAGCAACGACTCAATGATAAAAACGTAGGAGACCACGAGAAGATACACAAGAAGGCGCTTGTTCATAGGATACAGTTCTGGGAGGTCCTGTAAAAAGCACAGGATGGTTGACGGCGAAGAAGACACAGAACAAAGGCTACAGCCCAAGACAACGTCAGGCCAACATACTCTCAAAGGCCAGAGCAGGGGCATCTATCCAATTGTTTTTACCCAGCACCTCTTGTGATGGTTATCGTGTTTTTGCTGATGCTGCAGCCTTGTTTGCTACGCTCTTTGTCAATTAAGGTTTATTTCGGAGGGCTAAGATCGCAAGCTGGCGCGCTTTCAGATAAGCGGAGACGCCGTAAAAAACCCGAAAAGTCGAAAAGTCGAAAAGTCGAAAAGCTGTCGACTTTTCGACTTTTCGACTTTTCGGGTCTCGCCGGGACTTTTCTGTACTTTTCGACTTTTCATGGCTTTTCGACTTTTCGGGCCTCGCCGGGACTTTTCGCTACTTTTCGACTTTTCGTGGCTTTTCGACTTTTCGACTTTTCGACTTTTCGCCGGGACTTTTCAGTACTTTTCAACTTTTCGTCTTTTCGGGGCCTGTACACTTTTCAAGATTTTTCTACACTTTTCAGCTTTTCGGCTTTTCGGCTTTTCGGGCTCATTCCCCTTCAGCCCTCCCAACAGCACACACACACACATCCTAAACAAATACTATCATAAGTCTACAGCCGCTCCGAGTTTAAGAAGGCCTTGTAGGCTTCGCCGCGTGGATCTTACGTACGACAGCCTCAACGACGTGGCTGGCCAGCCTACAGATATCCGGAGAAGACACTTGGCGATTATCTTTAGACCCAGGGCCTTGCAAATCAGTGCAGGCCCCAAACCCCAAACCCCAAACCCCAAACCCTAAACCCCGAATGGTCGAGGCATTGACAAGCCCAACATTGATGTCATCGTGCACTGCTAGCCGCTATTGAACATCAACATGTAGCTTGGGCTAGGGTTTAGGGTTTAGGGTTTAGGGTTTAGGGTTTAGGGTTTAGGGTTTAGGGTTTAGGGTTTAGGGTTGAGGGTTGAGGGTTGAGGGTTTAGGGTTTAGGGTTTAGGGTTTAGGGTTTAGGGTTTAGATTTAGGGTTTAGGGTTTAGGGTTTAAGGATAAGGAGTTTGAGTTAGGATTTATAGGGCTTTGCATAGGACGGGCAGGGTTTACAGGGTAAGCAGATTTAGGGTTTAGGGTTTATGGTTTCAGGATGAGGGGTTTGAGTTAGGGTTTATAGGGCTTTGCATAGGACTGGCAGGATCTACAGGGTAAGCAGATTTTTTGTTTACGTTTGGAGTTGTAGGGTTTTGTAGCATTTAGGTTTTAGGGTTTAGGGTACAACTTGTAGACACTTCTCGAAACTTCTCACGTTTTCTCTGCTTTGCCCACTTTTCCGCCTGTAGACATTTCGGCTTTTGGACATTTGGGGACTTTCAAACTGCTCGGAACGTTCAGGATTGTTCGAAAATATTCATGCTTTCGACTTTTCCAACTTTTCGGGATTATTCCATAATTTTTCAGCTTTTCGACTTTTCGACTTTTCGTTTTTTGGTGACTTTTCGGACTTTTCGGTACTTTTCTCGCATTTTCGACTTTTCGACTTTTCGTTTTTTGGTGACTTTTTGGGTTTTTCGGCACTTTTCTCGCATTTTCGACTTTTCGACTTTTCGCCTTTTCACCTTTTCGCGCCAAGCGTGTGCCCCGATCAACTTTTCGACTTTTCGGCTTTTCGGCTTTTCGGGTTTTTTTGGGCAGACTCCACTTGCGGCCGCGGACAGCCGTTCGCAATCACAGCGGACTTCGGCCATGATGTTTGTTGCACTCGGCCATGTTGCTAATTGACGCTACACTCCCTGCGCATCTGCAACGTGCCAGCAGAGAGTCTATCTTTTCCACCCAGCCCGCCATCCAGTCCGTGGCCTTGGACCTCAGTCAACCGTAAAGTCGGGATGTTCCCCCCTTATACAAACGTACCCTTAATAGGGTTTCTAGTACCCCCTTTTAAATAATCCCTACGAAGGACTGCTCGTATAAGCTGGAACATCCCTGGACAAATCAGAAGCTGCTCTTGGAAGGCGCTCTCGGGTGCCAGCGGCTCGGGGACGCCGGTCCGGCCAAGCTTCTCCCAAAGGCACTTGAAGTGCTTCCTGGGCCCGCGGAAGCTCCAAAAAAAGAACCGCCTGCCCCCCCCCCACCCATTCTCGCACACGCGAACAAAAATCGGGTCTACGGATGACCACTGATTGTGTCCGGAGTCAAACTGCAGAGGTGAGTGTTGAAGCCCAGCCTCATGTGTTCCAGAATGTGCTGGCATGGCACTTGCAGCTGCACGCTTTTGACACATCCTCCTCTTTCTGAACCGGAACAGCATGCGACGAAGGCAGCTGGCCGCCAGCCAGCGAGAGTGCACAGATGTGCAGAGCAGGCCGGCAACAAAGAGCAAGGGCTGCCAAAACGTGCCAAGAAGCATGTTCATATTGCACACATGACCTCAGAAGTGCTCACGTGAGAGGAGCAGCTTCAGACTGCACGGCACAGCCATTCGCAGTCTCAGGACCCGATTCCGTTTGCAAATCATCTGCCAAGCTGCACTTCATGGAATAGTTCTGCATGACTCCGAAGATCTCGTTGTCTAGTTTGTTCGTTGGCTCTTCCTTGGCTGCACGCTCGCAGACATCCTTGCCAACTTGCAAAAGCATGACCTATTCCTTCTGCACTCCATGCGGCCATGAACTTCTTCCACTTGGTAGCATCCATTAAGGCCTGCATGTGATTCCCACCACTGGGTTGTCAGTCTGATTGGTGGAGATGTAATCAGCACCTGACCCCGCCTCTTTGTAGGACACCCCGTTGCGCGTAGCCAAGCCTCCAACCTGCCGCAGGCTCTACAGCATGGTCGCCGGAAGTATTCAATCAAGAATCTCAAGGCCCGCACCTGCGCTGGCTGCTGGGTTCCAGTTGCATGCGCCGGCGGCGCCTGTGGCGGCGCTGCCTGTGGCGGCGCTGCCTGCAGCGGCGCAGCCTGCGGCGGCGCTGCCTGCGGCGGCGCTGCCTGCGGCTTGTGCGCAGTCGGCAGCCGACAAGTCTCACGCAGACTTGGAGTTGCTCCCCGACGCCGACATGGATCATTACCAGACATGTAGAGACACGTCTGGAGCTGTTGGCTCCTTGAGAACCTAGCCACACCGTCACACTGTGCATCCGGCCTGTTGCAGCTGCGGAGGTTGCGGAGGGACAGGCATGGTTGGTCTGGCCTGGCAAAGGTCTGGCAAGCTTGGCTCACGTCAGCCACAAACACCCATACCCCGAAACCGCGCGACATCTAACCGCTCACACACACACACACACATACCAGTCATACAATACAACAGAAGATAGATCTACATATATGTATACATATATATATATACATATATATATATATATATGGGCGGTCGTCAAAATTATGGCCCCTTTTTGGATCCCTATTATAGTACGGCACCTAATATTTAGGGTACCCCAAAAGGGATCATAGTCTTGACAACCACCCATACATATATATATATATATATATATACATATACATATATACGTTATACTGTATCTATATGTACGTACGTTTCATAAGATGAAATTGTATGTGTATGTATATTTGTATGTAATTTTGCCCTCCAGCTGCCTCAGGCGGCCCTCCCGCAGCGACTCCAGGGGCACCTCAAAGAGAGCGCCCCCGGGAGGTCCCCGACATTAGGGTACTTTTTTTGGGTGTCCTTGCATAAGGGAATCCTACTATTTGGGGGTCTTTTTTAGGGGTGCCCCCATATTTTCGTAAAATTCCACTTCAGACGACTAAGCAGAGCTTCAGGGTGTCAGGGTGGTGATTCGGGTGCTCTTTGAGGGTGTTCATCAGAGTGGTAGCTCGGGTGTGAGTTAAGGGGGTTAAGGTGTTCAGGCACCAGCAAGTTGTGGCCTTGCAGCTGGCCACCAGTCAGGTGGTTGAAGACGTACTTCCCGGCAGGGGTCGAGAACTCTTGAACCCAGGGCCGGCCACTCATCTGGCAAGCCACCTAAGGAACACTCAGGATAACTTAGGTATACTTAGGTACGCGCGAACTCCGCATCTACTCTGCACATAACTGGAAACTGTAAGCATTCAGCGGTGTCTGGTGGGTAATCCCGATTCAACTTCTGCATCTTGTCCCACAAGTTTCTCCTTGGGGATTGCGGCACATAACTGGACTTTGGGTACACACTCGCCCCAATAAACTACCAGCAAACTTGCTGGCAAGGCTCCAGTGATTCTGGGAGGTCAGGTGATCCTTGGCACCTCTTCCCATGATCTTGTTGTCGCAAACACAGCATGGGCAGTCATAGTGGTTGGACACCTGTGTAAGCAAGCTGCTGTGCAACAGGCAGTTCTGCGAGGGTGAAGGCTTGCACCGGCACAGCCCGGATCATCCAGGCAAGGCCGAAAAAGTTTCTACATCTTTCTACGTTGACATCTTGCTGAGTCAACAGCCATCAACTGAGGATCAACTGGATGGCTGCAAAAAAGTCGTGGGCCTGCTGTTCGAGAATCGCAGCTGGCTGATCCTTGGAATCATTCAAAGCGACAAAACCACTCAAGAAGTCAGAAGGTCTCTAGTCTCTGTCGTGCTGCCCCTCTTTCTCAATATGCAGCCGAGGAGGCCATGAATGTCCTCCACTTGTCCTTGCCATCAAAAGCCTCTCGCCAAGCGAGATTGTGGGCGACGATCCTAGGCTTCAACCAAGGCCGGTCCAACGGGGAGCGAGGCGCGCTTTGTGACCCCATGTCGAGCCGGGATACATGCCTGTCGCACTCTGCGACAGAGGCGTCGGCGACAGAGGCGCGCTGGGCTCGGGCTCTGGCTGAACGTAGCTCCTGGGAGGAGCACCTTGGCACAGGCACCAGCACAGACTTTTGCAGATTCCCCCAAGGTGGATGATGGGCTTTGAGGAGGCCGAAGCTGCGAATGCAGACTGAAAGGTCTGACGAGTGGCCGGCTGCGGCAATGTATCCGCCTACACCTTCTGCTCCTGCAATCACGACGCCACCTGTAAGGTGGTTGAGCAAGCACCTGGGTCACAGTATGTCACAGAGGAGACCGGGTTGGTTCAAGTTCCTGAACGACTTGTTATGTCCACACTACCGGGTACTACCGCACAAGTATGAGACGCGCACTTGCCCTCCGGCACCACGAACTCTTGCCACCAGGGCTTGTCCATTTCCTCCGCATCTTTGGGCCCTGGGAGATTCTTGCCCACCTTCTTCCAGAGCTCGGCCCTGGAGTGGAAAAGCTTGAGCGATCCCGAAAGGGTCCGAAAAGCATGGTCAGGCGAATGGTGCACCAAGTCCAAGTCTGAATCGGCTCCAAGTTGCCAGTGGCCCTTGGACTTCAAGTGGTCGGCAGCTCCCCGCGTCATCGCCTTCTGGCAGACGCAACATTGATGATCGTATCGGCCCGTCTTCTCCAGCTGCTGATCCATGGCAGTTCCCGTTTTGTCCTGGCTGCTAGAGACTCGTGCATGCAATGGAAGCTAGGAGTGAGCCAGAATGATTGAATGACCATGGCACGGAGGCGCAAACAAGCCGCAGCGTCCATCTGCATTCTCCACAGCTCCAGCGCCTGGATGTTCTTGGCAAATCCTCACAACGACCACCCACGTGCCCGAACTAGCAGCTGCCGTCACAACCTTCACAGCTTTCATTGTGCTCGGTAGCCTTGGTTGTGGGGGACGTGCATGCCGTCCGCTGCCGGCCTCGTGATGACATGACGCTGCCAGCATTGTGAGCCACAAACATCATCCAACCACAACATCTCACAAGCGGGTGGGGTAGACCTCTCGACATTCTGGAGCAAATTAATGAGCACAGGCTCGATCAGACTAACCAGATTGGCTAGAGGCCACCCTCTGTCGCTGCAGTATTGACCGTTCTGCTGCAGACCAGACACCTTGCAGCAGGCATCTCCTGTTTCAAAAGTTTGTCACGCTCAATCTGAGAGATTTATTTCTGCGTTCCCGTGAGCTTCGTATCATCTAGCACCTAGGCCCGTGCTTGCCACCGTCCTGAGCTGGGACTCCCTGGTTTTGCATGTTGGTCATCGGCATGGGCACAGCGCTCGGCGGCGGCACAGGTTGCGATGGTGGAACGTCAGGGACAAAGTCGCACAGGCCCCTTGGGCACGTCTCGACATTGTTGAACATGCCATGTGTCACATGTCAAACGAATTGGAATTGAAGCTCCAAAACCCCGCGCCGAGGAGCTGGTCGCCGGTGATGTGATTGAAGAAGTAGCCTGGCTTCTGATAGCCTCGAAAGTCACAAGCTGCCACAGGCTCTATGGAGCCTAGTTCACTCCTGTTGCTGGGCTCTCATGCATCGATAATCAGAATCTTGGAGCATAATCATAAACAGTTTCGTTTCACTCACCCACTTGAACCAAGAATTGCCGGGCCAGGCCTTCAAGTCTCCAGTATTGGGTGAACCTTGGGTCAGGCAAATCAAAACCCCCCATCACCGGCCTCATGCCTACAGTGTGTAAAGATGGAATGACATATTCATGTTGGGGTTGGGGGCCCAGCGGGGGGGGGAGGGGCAACCCAGCGCATGGCAAAGATGCTGATGGGTGGCTGGTTTAAGTGGTTTGGATCGCGAGGCTCCATCCAGTTCAGCTTCTCCTGCCCCAGGCGCCCGCAGCACCAAACTTGTGAAAAGAGATGGGAGACCCAGAGCCAGCATCACCCTAAACAACGCCCACCTTCAGCTTGTTGCAGTGGGCTTTGCCCCAAACGTGGCTTGCCTGAACTTCTGAACTGAGGACTTGCGGGGGGGGATAGCAAGCCAGTGGGCCGTTCAACTGCTCGTCAAGCAAGGGACAATGTTGGCCGGGAACTCGACCTGAACGACAGCGGCAGAGAGATCAGCAATTGCCTTAAGCGCAGCTGCCACTCAATGACCCAGCTGTGCCCCTTCGTGACCGCGAGCCGGGAGGCCTCACAAACGATGCATCTTCCCCAGCTCTTCCAGCTCTTGCCGTACTCGTAAATTGCCTGAACAAGCCCCGGAGTCTGCAGAGGAAATCAGGACAAATCAGGATGCCGGGAGCTTTGGAGCTTTGATGCCTCGCCCAGCTTGTAGCCCTTGGGCTCCATGTAGGAGTGGAAGGCGCTGCAGTTCTTGTCCTTGTAGAGGTACATGGATATATAAGCCAAAAAAAAAGGAACCCCTCCCTCCTCCCACAACAAGAGAAAGCGCAACCTGAGCCTCGCACAGTAAGGCTCAAGTGGCTGAAGTCCGGCTTGCTCATGGCTTGCACAGGTCGCCGACCCCTCACACAGAACTACATCGGGCCACCTCGTCCTTCGGTCTGAAGTTTCATGTTCGCGGGAGGCAATGCTTAAAAAAACGGAACAAGCACATGTCAAGAGGCGTTGGCTGCCGCATTTCAGCGGGTCCGGAGTTGGTAAAGGGGAAAGCAAAGAACTTGGTGGGGCAAGTGCACTCAGTTCAGCTTCAGACCAATGAGCAGTTTTTTTAATTTGGCAAAGCAAGACTGGCTTTGAGTCAGGACATAGTCTTGCATCCTCAATATGGAGCATAGCCCTTGTCACCACCTGATTCTCAGGACAACGGGCAACTCAAGCAGCAAGGATACACATCCCACATTGCCATGCACAGTGTCCCGACTGAAGCAGATTTGCTTTCAAGCAGACAGCGCCGGGCCTTTGCCACCAAACCGGCCCTTGCTCGGAGCGTACGACGCCGGGCACCCGCCGTACCCATTGCAGCCACCGGGAGGGTAGGCACCACATCCGTAGGCGCCGTATCCGTAGGCCCCACCGTCATAATCATAAGCGCCGGCACCGTAGGCTCCGCCGCCACAACCGTACGCATCGGCCCCATAGCCTTTCTCAAAAAACAGGTCAGCCGGTAGACTGGAGAGGGGCCGGCAGTGGCAGGCAGCGGAGGCAACAGGAACCACTCATATGAACCACTCATATGCCCTTTTAACAAGTGCCAAGCAGCTTGCGCTGGAAGAACCATAATCCGGTGGCGGTGCTGCGTTGTAGGATGGGCCTCTTGAAGTGGTGGCTGCACCTGGGCCTGGGACAGCATAGCTGAACATCCCCGCAACCCCAAATGCTAATCCCTAAGCCCTTAACCCTAAACACCTCTACAAGCCTCGACGCACCTCTCCGAAGAAAGTGCGAGTCCCGTACGTCGGGGGCTCCCAGAACCCCCGATCCTCAAAGCCTACAAGGTGACCAGCCACGCCGGATCCATTTTTGAAACAGACACCCCCGGCCCCACCCCGCATGCAAGGAGATGGCACAGCCTCACACACTCCCAACCGCGCATCCCTGAACTTTATCGAAAGCCTTCCGGGAAGCTTAATTTTTTTAAACGTCTGCTTTAAGTGGTCTCAGGCCCTCAGGATGCAAGGATATGAAAGGCAAGGGCGGAGAGATTGCAAACAACGGGCTTCTGCTGCACGAGCGCCATGGTTTGTCTGGCCATGCAGCTGAGATGCTTTTGCCTTTTCCGCCGCCGCCTTTCTGTGGCACGCCCTTGGTTCCTTCAGCTGTCGCCTTAGCAGCTTTGGGGGGGTCATGAGCCTTAAGGTTAATTAAGGTTTGCCAACAAGGCTCTGCTCTGTCAGCCAGAGAGAGAGAGAGAGGGAGAGGGAGAGGGGAGAAGGGAGAAGGGAGAAGAGAGAAGGGAGAAGGGAGAAGGGAGAAGCGAGCTAGCGAGAAAGAAAAAAAGGAAGGAAGCAAGGAAGCAAGGAAGCAAGGAAGCAAGGAAGCAAGGAAGCAAGGAAGGAAAGAAATGCAGAAAGAAACAAAATAAACAGAGAAAGGGAGAAAGACAGAATGCAAAAAGCGACAGAGAGAGGAAAACAAAAACAAGCTCATCATGGTTGGTTTGAGTGCATTCTGTATTGTTTCATCTGATGCGCTGTTCAACAAAGTCTCGCAACAGAACAGCAAACGCCTTACGGGGTTAGTGCATATACCACTTGATTGCGTCGGCTCTTAGATAGCCCAGTGCGTGAGGCCGGATGTCGGCTAGAAGCGTACGGACCCCGTCTGATGCATGCCACGGCAACAAGGTTCTGAGTACTGAGGGGAGTGCTCGTTTACAATCCACCCACTTGTCTCCGATTTTGTGCTCCGAGTACATGGCCATTATGCTATCCACGGCCTGCAGAGATCGGACTGGCTGCGTCTAGGCTAGCAATTCTGTTCGCACCTGATTTGCCATGTGCCGTTTGCGCTATGGTGCCATGCTTCAGCATGTCATTTGAAGATCCTCCTCTGTGAGTTTGCAATGTGCGGGGGCGCCTCCTCCATGTCAAAGGACACGAATCCGAAGCCTCGCGATCGGCCAGTTGCCCGGTCAGTCATGACCACTACATCCGTGATGTTTCCTGGGTAAGCGAAGGCATGCGGTACACTCTTCACGAACAGACCGTTCGGCCACTCTGCTTTTCTCCCATCTCGAGCCGCACCCGAAATCTACACAAGGCCGGAAGGCGGCAGCAAAACCCTTCGTTGCTTCCAAGCTTGACTACAGCGTATCAGAAGCTCCATCTCTCCACTCTCCGTCCCAGAGGCCGAACTTGCCGAAGTAGTCGACAAGGATGTCATTTGTGCAGTCCTGCTAGCACTCAGCTCTTGGCTCAAGATGGACTCATACTCCACATCGGGCAGCGATCCTGCGGAAGGCCCCCAACAAAGACCTTGAAGGGGCCACCACCTGAGACTCACGGAATGACTCCTGCTGTTACGCTGTGCTCTGAAAAGCTAAAGCCTGGCCAAGGGCAGAACGATCCATACCCGGCTGGTCGGCAGGATGACCGAGTATGGCGGACTGATGTGACGGAAGGGCAGCCGGGACTGCAGCGATGATGGAGGGATTCTTGCGGGAACTCTTGTCAAGTAATGTCAAGTACCTGGATACACCTCAAAGACAGGCGCCCAGCTTAAGCCATGCCTGTGCCGAAGCTTGAGCCAAAGAGCACATGTGAGGTGAGAAGACATGAGGGTGCAGCCCTTCCCAGCTGCATGTCCAGTTCTCTTCAGCGTCTGTTTGTTGTTCAACCTCTGCAGTCAGAAATCGCGAAGAAGGATTTGATCGACTTCGTCGAGTAACACTACTTGCCTGCGTGCAACAGAACTGGCCCTCCAGAGTCGTACACAAACCCCCTTTACAAAAAGACAGGGCTCCCCTACTGCGGTGACATTTCGACCAGCCACCCCTGAAGGTACCGTGCAAGCCGCAGATTTTGGACAGCCAGCTTTGCTGGCTCCAGGGCCACAGCGATTTTAAAAATGTATGCGGCAGATGACAAAATATTTCGGCACACACACGCACACACGCACGCACACACGCACGCACACACAAGCTATCCGACTCCTCATGAACAACCCCAAAACCGGTGCTCAAAACGGATGTTGCCAGTGGCTTAGTAGAGCCGCGGACATCCTTTGAAGAGCCCCTGGCAGCCCAAGGGGACCTGAAAGCTGCGCTTAATCTCTTGCTCTTCAAGGTGCGTGAGCCAAACAACCTTCCGGCCCTTGGGCGATGGGGGGCGCAGATCATCTTCGTCCGGGTCATGCCAGGCTCTTGCCCCCAAAGACTTGACGAACGCCGCGGGATCCTTATCTCAATCTCAGCCAAATCTCCAAAATCTTTTCAAGGCCTACAACCGACAAAGTCTACTGAAGGCTGCGACGCGCCAGGGCGTGCAGTCTGGAGCACAACCGGGGTTAAATATGGGTCGGGCTAAACATAGCGCCAGTCTCGTCGTAACCATTGACCTTCTCCCGGTTGATTCGTACACCGGACTTCTCAAGCTTCAGATCAAAAACAAACCCAGATTTCGGCTGAAAGTTGGCAGTCTCAGTGAGCAGCATCCTCATGCTGTTTCCCAGGGTCGAAACATCTGTGAGGTTCGTGCAGAAAGAGACATCCATCTCCAGGTGGCGAAGGTCTCGAAGGAAGCGGAGGCTTCTCCCAAGCTCTGTCAAGTAAAAAACATGCTTGGCACCAGACAAGTCAACCTTCAATCGGGTCAACTTGGTCAGGTTCCGGATGCCTTTGCCCAGCTCCCGCACATCGGAGTCAACCAAGCACCGGCACCCACCAAGACCACACTCCAAAGATGTCAAGTTGACCAAGTGGCCCAAAGACTTCCCAAGCTCGCTGAAGCTCTGCAGCCGCTCACAAGACTCCAGCTGGAGCTCTAGTTGCTTGAGGTTCGTCAGCTGGGGCAGTGAGTCGTCCAGTCCCGCCAGGCTCTGAAGATTCTTGCATCCACTCAGCCGAATGGAGAGCTTTTCAAGCTGGACAAGTGGCCTGGCCAGACATGCGGAGATGGCAGATTCTATCTTTTATCTGCTGAAACTTCACATGGGCTCCAACATGCTCTTTCAACCACCCGGCCTGATTCCGGAGCCAAGGTCAGCAACGGAGGTGAGGCTGGAAATGGTGCCTCAGAGTGACTTGAAAGTATTTGACAAAACGCACCCAGAGCCTTACAGCCAGCTTCAGGTACCGAGACCGGTCACCCGTTGAAGGCCAGTTGATCAGAGCCTCCGCTACGCTGGTGAAAAATCATAAGGTCTTCAGGAACTCACCGCCGCCGGGTTACGGTTCGCGTAGATACTTCGCCAGCCGAGGTCAAGCTTGAGATGTCGAAGCTGCAGGAGGCGGCTTATTGTTGGCGAAAGGTCGGACAAGAACTGTCCCGGATCGGTCAGGGTGTGGGACAAGCAGGGTAGAAGAAGCTCCTGCGTGCGACAATCTGTGCAAACGGCTAGGAGCAAAGCAGCAAGCGCGTTACTCCTCCTGGGCAGTGTGGGCGGCGATTGTGTCCAGAAAAGGGCTGATGGATAACCGCCTCAGCTGCAACAGCTGCAGCCTCTGCCAAGCATCGCCTCGTTTCATGTCCTTGCCCGTGTCCTACTCATCCAGATTCATCCGAGCCTGTGCAGAAACTGAGCCAGGGCAGACTGGGCGAAGAAGCTGCGGAGGGACTGATCCACAAGTTCAGTGGCCGATTGCCTTGGGAGCAAAGTTGGACGCACATCTAGAACACGTGACTTTCGTTCGCACCCATGTAGACGACACATCAACCAAAAAGCATAGTTTAGTTGCTGATCAGGCTTTGCTCATAAAAACTCCTGCCGCAGAGCTGCCCACCGGCCGGCGATCGCTGGGCAATGAACTCTAGTACCCAAGTCCTCATGGAGTGGGATGCACATGGATGCACCCAGAATCTGTGCTCTGGGGCCAGGCCCAATGCCCTAGTTGCAGAGAGGAAAAGAGAAAGAGAGAAAGAGACCCCAGCGTTCCCTCTTCCACGTCTTGCTTGCACATATGCTGCAGGTTGCCTGTCCTGCCACATGGCACGGAGGATTCACACTCTGCCGAGTCGATGGCAATCCCGGCACTGAAGACCTCCGGTAAGGGCAAACGCATTCCGTAGAAACATGCCACCTCCGGGCACCCTCGCCCGGAACAGGCACTCCCATCATTTGAAGTGCCAAGGACGTATGTCCCCAATTTTCTCCATGACACATAAAACAATCGTCCCTTCCGCCAGAAACATCTCCACAAGACGACAAACCAGACAGTACCTAGCAACTTCCCTTCCGCACCCAAGCCCATTGCACTGGCGCTGCAGCCTCCAAGGGGAATTCTTTCTCCCTGTCCGTCTTGCATATCTGGCCCATTCCCCGATGCTTCGTCTCCCACTCCTCTGCGCTATCTGAGACGACCCAAAACATCAAACAGTCTCATGCACAAGCTCTTGCAAAGTTCGTCAGGCTTGTCCTGCTCCATGTCTGTGAGCCCGTCTGTGAGCACGACGGGGATACCACTCCGGATGTCCTTTCGCCTGGCCAGTTCAGCGCCGATCCCACCAACAGGCTTCAAGTTGGCGTACTCAAGCCGACGACATGGCCAAGGTGCAAGGCGACCACATCCAGCACGCTGCGCCCGCCGCGTGACTTCTTCAGGTTCCCCGATTGCCCCTGCAGCCATCGCCGGATGTACCCGATTGCATGTGATTGCATATGATTGCATATGATTGCATATGATTGCATCACCCCGATCACACAGCTTGGACAGAGCCTCGACTTGCAAAGCTCCCCGACAGCTTGCGACCTCGAGGATGCACCAGGCCCGACGCAGTGCCCGGGCCTGTTCGTGCAAGAGTGAAGAAGCAAAACAACAACAAAAACGAACGCTGAACCGATTCGAGGAGACGCCACGCCTCTGGGCCCACGAGAAGCAGCACGGGCCGTCCGCGCATGGCGCGCAGCGCGGTCTTCTGCCCCGTGTCTTCGGATGACGTGTCCCGCTCTCCAGGGCCCAGGGCACTCCACGCTGCCCAATAGGCGACCCTGAACACTGAGAGACTCTGCAAACAAAACGTGCTGTGCCTGCATGCTCCGATGGAAGGGTGCTTGCCTTCCGCTTCCATGCCCACGAATCTCCACATGTTTGGCCAAGCTCTTCACGAAGGAACTCATCGCCTTCGGCATGATGCTGCTTTAGGAAAGCATGCTTGCTTCGAAGTATGAAGGGCCGCTTTTGGTCTTCTGCCTCGCCCCACCAGTGTGAGACAAACCAAGTCCGGTTTGGTGCTTTGCTGTCGCTGGTCACGATCTCGGCATAGCCTGAGAATGCTTGCAACACTGAGGTCTTAGATGAACCGGCTGCTGTCGACAGATGGCTGTTGTTCCAGCATGCACGCATGAGAACTGCAAGCCCAAGTGCTCATGTCTTCCCGAAGTGTCAAAGGCTCGATGATCCAATGGTTGGCCTTTCACGAATCACTGTTGGGGTTGGTGCTTGGAGCTTGAAAATGGCGGTGCCTGATATATGCTGGCTTCCTCCAGCTGGATCGATGGAAGTTTACTTTCTCGGTCATACCATCCAAGGAGGCAGCCATCGTCCCCGGCCCGACCTGCACAACCGCCGGAGTGATGGACCCAAAGTAGCTCTCAAGATCAGGGGCAAAAGAAAATTCGAAGGCGGTTTTAAGTCAAAGTTTGAGTCAAGATTCCATTGAGTATTCTGACGCGTGCCCTGAACCTAAGAGCTGGCGCCTTGCCTGTCATGAAATCCACGAGCGCAGAGTACTGCCGCAGCATCAGCGCTCGGTCTTCAATGCGTGGGATCACCGTGGCACAGTCACTTGCATCCGTAATCTGGCTGAAATCCTGCGGCGTGTGTTGGGCGGGCTTAAGTGTGCAACGCAAAGTGCATCTGGAATCTGCTGCGCAGTAGCACAAGGACCGTCACGCATCATGCTTACTAGCTAGTGCAAAAGCAGCAGAGTTTCAGGTTTGATCCAGCGCCAGACGATGCTGAGGGCAGATGCAGCGGTTGCCTATTCGGTCTCTCAACATAGGTTTCCTGATGAACCACCGCCGGGCATTACGTCGTGCAATGGCCACTGCTGCTTCGAATCTTTAGGACATGCAGCATGTACCTTTTTTAGAGTGCATATGAGTGCATCACACAACATGTATTTGGCTCAAGCCCAGGTGTGCACCTATCAGAGCTCCTGCTCGGAAGGTCGGGTGTGGTACACATAAGCCAGGAAGTCGCAAACCTTTATCCAGCGTGATGGAGGCTCAGCTTGCAACCTGAAACTGCTTGATCTTGCGATCTTCCCCCTTATACTAACAGTCCTAAATAAGGATTATAATCTTTATTCAGGACTGTTAGTCTAAGGGGGAACATCCCAAGTTGAATCCATTATAGCACAGCCAAGCTGCAGCCACTTGCGGCTTTGCCTTGCCCACACCGTCAAGCCAAACAGCGAGCTCACAACAAACATGGGAAATGTCGCTTGGCCTCCGTCTCAAAAACGTGCCCGCAGGATTCTTCCAGCTCGTCGACAATTTCCCGCACATCGGCATCCTCAAATGGGAGGATGTATTTAGATGCCTAGCTGCTGCTTGAGAGGCGTGCCCATGCGATCTGATTTGCGTAGCCTATGTAAAGTTTCCACGGCCTATTGCATGCCCTGCACTCCCAACACCTTCTATCCATCAATACATATGTCCACCCAATCCGGCTCTCCTCCCTGCGCCCCTCTTCGCAGGCTACAGCATGCAACAGGCCCTGCCTCACAGTGGATGCCCAGAGATGCGCAGCGAGCACGGAGTTCTGGAGGGCTGCTTAGGGCCCAAGCCTGTGCGTTTTTAGAGGGAGCTGTGGCTTGCCGAGGGGAGAAGAAACTTAAACCCAGCAAGCGGCTACTGGTAGCTACTGCAAACAGACAAGAAAGACCTGTGTGCGTGTCACTGCGTTCAAGGGGACCCGGTGTTGGCCCAGGGAAGAATGAAGTGCTCGTGCCGCGCTGAAACACCCACACCCAAGGAAACCCCGCATCAGCAACCCTAAGCCCGAAGCCCTGTAAAGGGGCCCCGGTAAAGGCCCTGATCCCTAAGCTCAGGCAGCCTCCGGCCCCAACTCCCGCAGAAAGCGATGGAACTCGACAAGCTTTGACCTGCGGCAGGGACAGGATCGAGGCAACCGGTGTTAGTCCTACAGTAGCAGGAATAGTCGCCGTTGAGGGTCAGAGCCGAAGGCGTCAACAATGGCTACGGCTGGGGTCCTGTGCTAGTTAGGTCTCGGCTGTGCATGTGCAGGTCTGGTTGCTGGGCAGCATGCACAAGTTGCCTTTGCCTGCACAAGTCAGGTTCGTCCCACTTCAGCAAAAAAAAAACGAAGCAGCACATGGCTGCCGAAGTTAATCATGCCCAGGCCTCTTTCTGAGCTCATCTTGCTTGGATGCAGAGCGCGGCATCGGCTAAACCAAAGTTAGCATAAGAGTGCACCGCCAAACATGCACAGACTCCTTGTCATCACTTGGCTTTGACGTAGCTATTGTTAGCTACGCTGGTAGGCATTGGCATCTTCCCACGATGTGGGAAATCCTCGCATGCCTAGAATTAAAGCTGCCGTCATGAGCCTTACAGCATGGTCGATAGCTACCGAATCGGGCACGCGAGTCCAAAATGCGCACGGTGCCAGACTTTTTACCCCGAATCAAGCCAGCTCTACTGATGGCGCGATTGCGTGCTGAATTTCCCTCTAGCTGCAACACTCGCAGTTGCATCACCGACTCTTCCATCACCGACTCTTCCATCACCGTGCACGCGAAACGCGTCATCAGCTGTACAGTAGGCAACTCAGCTACAATGCTGACGTGAAAAGCCCCGAGCTGCAGTCTGCAGCGGAATCTCACCTTTACACCCCCATGCACGCCTTACCGTTCGTTACCCTACAAAGCCCGTATAGACACGCATAGGTCGAGAAGGTCCTGAAGCTTGACTGCAAACCACCGCACTGTCAGCTCAAGTTCCCCTGCCGTGCAACCTAAAGGTTGGGTATTGACCCAAACTGCTGGCATTGCGCTCTGCGTCAGCTTGACGTCACAGTGGCCTGGTCGCAAAAACCGCTACGTCAAAATCACTCGTCGGTGATCGCGGCCATCTCTCTCTGTCTCTCTCTGCTGTTGCATTGCCGCTATAGTTACTATAGTTGCTTTCGTCACGAGGTCTGAAGTGCTGAAAAGCAGCTCAACGAAGGCCCACTCAGCGGCGAAGGCCGTCAGGCGTTCCCGGTCAATGAAGCAACAGACTGCACGCGCATCACTGGACAGCACTTGGCTTCGGGAAGCCGGCCACACGGAGTACATTTCGTCTGGCTGCCCGGGAAGGCAATGCTCGAATGGCCTCGGCACACACAGGAGTCTTCGGAGTCTTCGGGATTTGTGCTGGCCTTACCAACGGTTTTGCTTCAGGCGGGGGCTCCTTGCTCCGCATCGGCTGCAGGGGAGTTTTGCAGAGATTGCTCCGGCGGCGCATGGGGCACAGCATCTTCTTGCACGAGCCACGGCAGGTGCCGCCGTCCAGGCTGAGGAGCCACGCCCTTCGCACGCATCACCACCAGGTGAGCTAAAACTGTCGCTCTCTAATACTGTCTGTCCTCAAAAAGGAGGCGCAGTCTGCGCACTTCACAATCTAGCAGGCAGGAAAAAAGCTCAATTACGTTAAGTTCACAGATCGGACTCTGCCTCCGCCTCCTGCTGGCTCATGAGATATGCAGTGCCAGCCGGCATCGCCGTCTGCGGCAGATGTGCCTGCCCAAAGGCATTTATTTGTCTCCGGGCATCAGAAACCATCAGTATTGGTTTCAATGTGGTCGGATCATTCTTGGATCCTGGGTCTCTGATGATCTTTGCGCCTGAGCTTCGCAAGAGCGCACTGGTGAAGCCACGGGCTGTCCCGAAGGCAGCGACGGTAAGCTTTCACATGGCGGCAGTGGCTTGTCACCCTGGACAATCAGTGCAACAAAGGCTACACAGTCATTAATGCACTTGCTGCACAGGACAACAGCGGTGACGTAGGCGCCTCCTGCTCAGCTCTACGCGCCGTCTCAGGCGAGGCCGCTTCGTGCTGAGGCTGTGTCATCTGCTTTGTCCCTGCATGCTGTCGCTTTGGTCTCGAGGCGGCTTTGGCCTGAAGCACAAGGCGTCTTGGCCAGAGCACGAAGCGGTCGAGAAAGCTCCAGGGGCCTCTTTCTGCGTCTGCGGCTCCCGGCGCTTTCGACCTTCCGGGTAAACTGCTCAGTGGGCTTTGAAGCTGTTTGGTCGAAAATGTTTGGCACATCTTCCAAAAAGGCTTTGAAAGCCCACGACGTGGCCACCATGTCACCATACAAAACAACCAGTGGATTGGCCAAGCGGCCTGGAGTTTGTGGTGTCTCCAGCTCCTCTCTAGGCATAGGCTGTCACACGATGGGCAAATTCAGCAATTCAGCAGCACGATGGCCTCCCCTCCGCCGACCCAAACAAGCTCATCTCCGCTGCCTTCAAACTGCACGAGCTTCCGAAAGTTTGAAGATTTGTCAATATCCGGCTGAGGGCTGCACTGTCTAGCACTTCTGGTGGCCATTGTGCTCCAGGCACTGCCTCTGCATCCTGCGCAAGCGAATAACATGAAAGCTCATCGGTTGCTGAAGTAAGGTGGGCATGTCACATGTCTCCTTCTCCTCCTCGATCGGGTCGTCCCTATGGGCTGAGAAAAGGCGAGCCTGCGACTCAAGCTGGGTCGAAGAGTTGGAATTCGGAACAGCAGAGGGGGCCAATGCTGTTGAACTATCAGAATCAGACGATCACAGCATGCTACTTAATGTTACTTACAAACCGGCTGACGCACATGCCTTTCTTGCCACATGTTCAAGCTTGAGGGTCCACCGAGAAGTTTTCCCGACTTTTCTGCACACGGGCTCCTTCGAGCTTGCCGTCATCTTCGAGGAACGGGAAGCTTGCAGTGGAGTTGACCCCTCCCGCGTACAGCATTGCTTCTAGAAGGTGACATGAGGACCGTGGCAGCCACAGAAAAACATGCCCGGCAAGTGCGCCGGCATGTGGCGGTGAAAGCTGCACGGTGCGCGCCAGCCTTCTCAGCTTCCTTATCAGCCGCTTTTGCTTTGGCAGTCGTTAGCCGCCGCCTTTTGATTGGCTGCGGCGGGAGCTGTGGCGGGGTCTCCTCCAGCTGCAAATAACATCAGCGCATCTAAATCTCAAAGCATCTCATGTCGGGGCCACAAACCTGCTGTCATTGACAATCGCTACATGCGCTACAGTAAGGACTGCTTGGGGCCTCCTCTTCTTTCGCCGCTGCGGCGTCTGCATCTGGCATCTGGGGGTCCTGGAGCGAAGGTGAAGAATCTCATGCTGGAACGGCAACAGCGCAGCAGAGCCTCTCGGCTTGAAACGAGCCGGGGCACGGATTGGTCGGAAGATCCACCACCGGGCACCGGCAGATGCCTGAAGAGCGCAGCTCTACAAATCTCTACAACTGGAGGCCCGTCCTTGTAACGAGCTGGCGCCATGATTTCTGCAGTCCCGTCGCAGCTTGAGCGTTCCTTTGCGGAGCTTCTCCTTGCTTGCATTCCGCAACTCAAGCAACATGTTGGCGCGCAAATGTTAGCAACATCTCAGGTCGAAAGGATCGACTGCCATCCACGTGCCGCCAAGAATCGGCGGCAGGGCCCACCTTCAGCCGCAAGACCTCCATGCGGCTGCGACGACGTGAACACCGACAGCGACATCGAATGGCTCTACCTGTCTGTACTTCCCCTTGCCCTTGCCAAACATCTTGTCCTTGTACTCGGTCAGAACCTGCGAGTTCGTGAGAAGTGAAGTTGCTGATGAGCTGGCACTCTGCCATTTGCCTTGCTCTGCAACATCTTGCTGATCAGATCCTCGACTTGCTGGTGACCTGGCTTGATCATGAGGAATAAACCTGAAAACACATAAGCCCAGCAAGTTCTGGTGGGCACCTTTGCACGGCTTGCTGAGCGCCAGGCTGAAGTCCTGCCGCACGTCATGCCACCACATGTGCTGTTGACTGTTTGGTTCTGCAGGCTTCAACGCATTGCAGACAAGTTGATCTCTGCTCCTCTGGCAGGCACGCACACCAAAAACAACACAACGTACAAGCCTCTGTGTTTCAACACACGGTGTCTCGCTGGCTGCTTTACCAACATGGGCGCCTTTAACACGCCCACATCCTGGACAGCTGCAATCGCGGCGGTCAGCGCCTCGCAGCATCATGGACTGAAAGGCACAAGCTCTCCTGCATGCAAAAGAAAAGAAAGAAAAAAGGTGCCTTTGTTCCGTCGACCTTGCGCCCCCGTGCTACATCGCGAAGCTTGGCTGAAGTTACCTGTCGAAAGGCCAATGGCCAGAAAGCGAAATTGAAGAAACTTTGAACCTGCCACACGAGCCCAACGAGCCCATTTGTTATGCACTCTGTCCTTCATGAACTACTGCAGCGCCCTGCTTCTAAAGTGCAGACAAAAGCTCCGTTGTACCGGTCTTACGGCAAAGTGTCTCAGGCCGCCACACCATGCTTCATGAGGGCTTCTGCCAGTTGCAGAAGTTTTTGGCCCTCTTGCGTGACATCACCTTACATCATCACATCGTTCATGCTGGCCTCAACGTTCTGACCAGACTACCGCGTTGCAAATGCATGGACTGTCGCAGGCACGAAACTCAACTCGTTCAGTCAACACCACTGGCTGGTCACAAGTGAGCACAACCTGACCGGTTGACAAAAAAGTGCACCAGAAGCAGGCTAACTGTGCAATCAAGTGGCGTTGAGTTTGCCCGAACGTTGCTAACCCGAGCTTCCGGCGGCAGCACACATCCTCAGCAAGTTCTTTGCTTCCTAGGCACTTTGGAAGTGTGCTTCCGACAATGCCAGGCCACGCAAGAGCCGCAGTTGCGAAAAGAAGGTACCTCGCCGAAGTACTTCAGTAAGCCAGCATGGCGGCAGCTGTCGTCGCCGAAGAACTTGCCAGCATCTTCACATCTCTTGACCTCGTACTGCTTCTGTGCCATGTCCTTGTTCCTTTTGACCTGGAACTGGCAAGCAGTTGAAAAGTCCCGATGGAAGCTGACAATAATACCATAAACAATGCACTACGGATTCCAAGCGGCATCGGCCCTCGAGAACCACAGAACGCAGCGGCAAGGTCGCCCGTCCCTTCCAGCACGGCCAATTTCTTGATGATACTTCTCAATGGATGAAGGCATGTCCATGTGGAACACAAACCTGACATCCCGCTTGTCAATGCCCATGCCAAAGGCCACCGTTGCCACGATGAGTTGGCAATCGCCCCGCATCCACTTGGTGAAGGAATCGCGCCGAACATCAGCGGGAAGCCCAGCATGGTAAGGGCATGAAGGCACTCCAAGCTCACACAAGGTCTGGCACACCTGTTTTTGCGATTCCGGTGGGCTTTCAAACCGTGTCTGTAGGGCTATACATACCATACTCCCGCATCCCCTGCAGCACGTACAGCCCTCTCTCAGGAACGAAAGGGTTCGGACTTCGGGGATGCGGTATTCGCCTAAGGGTTATCCTTGTCCACCCTTCAGGGTTTGAGCATATCGTCACATTTTTGCTTTTTCTTTCGGCTCACAGATACTCGGTACACAGATGCACCAGAAGTTCTGGTTTTTTTTGCCACCCGCCTAGCTGATGCAGAACATCGCACTGCAGGGGAGTCCCTCGTTGTTCATGTGTCTTTCGGAGCTGCGCCCTGTTGGAACAAAACATCTTTGTCCGTCCCAGCCCTTTCACAGTATAACAACAAAGTTAGGCCGTAGAAGCAAGGAGGATGGCAAAGGCTGTTGAAAGGCTTTTCAAGGCGGGATTCAGGGCGCGGGAAAATCGATGCTTCGGCCTATTCAGGACCTTTCTTGGTGCAAGGCAGTGCTGCAGTTCTGGGTTTTAGGGCAAATGGCTTTTAAGGGGTTGTATTAGAACTTGTCCCTTCATGTTCATTGCACTTGCAGCCCAAACGCTTGCTCCACCTCACGCCGCGCCAGGACGTACACCACACCGCACGCTGGCTTTGGAGATGGAGCGGACACCAGTGCCACCAGCTCTTGGATTGTTTGGTCTTCCGATTGCTTAGGGCGCACCTCCATGAAGAGGTTGAGTCTGTCGAAGGTGTCGTGGAAGCGCACGGCTCCTTCCATTCGCAAGTTCTTGAGCACATCCCTTTCCACCGCTGCCGTTGCACTGGCGGTCACCGCCAACATGGGCACGCCAGGATAGCGGGCCCTCATGAACGACAACTTGCGATAATCGCTGCGAAAATCCAGGCCCCATTGAGACACGCAATGCGCCTCATCAACGACCAGCAGTGCCAACCGTCCGGAATCATACAACTGTTTTAAAATGGAACCCAACTTACTTGAAACCTGTGCCTTCTCACTGGCACCCACCATTTTCTCAGGCGATACATACAGCAGCTGAATTTCACCCGAGGCTAAATCGTCGAAGACCTGCATTGTCGCCTTTTGGGTGGTGTCGCTCCCAAACCGTGCTGCAGAAACTCCACGGCCCCGCAGGCTTAAGACTTGGTCTTCCATCAAGCTCAAGAGAGGCGACACCACAATGGTCGTCCCGTCTCGGACCATGGCCGGAAGCTGGTAACACAAAGACTTGCCAGAGCCCGTCGGCATCACTGCAAACACGTCCTCTCCAGACATCAGAGCGTTGATGACGGGCAGCTGCAAACCGCGCAGGGCCTGCAGCTCAAAGCAATCCATGTGCTTCTCACACAGGCCACACAGAAAGTGTCTGCAGGACGGTAACCAAAAAAAACTTGAAATGAAAATCACATGCTTTGCGCACAAACCAAGCACCCACGGGCTGCAAAGGAAGCTCCGCAAAATGGCCCAAAGCGGCTCGTGAAAATCCCGAACAAGATGACTATCAAAAAAAGGTTCTGGTCTCGCCGCTGTTCTGTGCAGGCTGTAGCAAGTCTGAAAAGTCTAGGGGTGCGAATGTTCCAAGAGGCAAAAGCTGAGGAACCAAATGAATTGAAACTCTCGCTTTTCTGTTTTGCCCGAAAAGCACAAAGAACTTAATGAGGTGAGAGAGCAATAACATGCTGCAGCACACGAGGGGCCAGGCAAGATCAGCAGGGCCCGGTGACAGTGGCGGCATCAGGGTGCCAGCATCAAGACACTGGCCAGGGCAAGTCTCTGCACGACAAAGCAGCTGAGGGTGGACAACCGTCAATGGTTCTGGTCAAAACGACTCTCGTTTTGCAGATGATGGCACGTCTCGGGCAGCACAGCATAGCTAGAGGATTTTGGAGAAGCTCTGCGAGGCCGCCAAGAAGGATTGACTGGCTTAGCTTTGCTGCTTTAGACCATCTTGTAGCCTTCGGTCGTTTGATATCTTCTGGCCGCACCACGGCCCTCTTTTTCTCGATAAGTGTCAACCGCATCGTTCGCCTTATCGCTTGGCGGCGGAAAAAACCCACCATTCTGAGTCTCGAAAGGCCTGTGACAGGATGCAGGAAGTTGTTGACATTCCCAAGCGTTTACCACCCATCCGAACAATTCAGCCGTTGCACATCCGAACCATTTTAGAATTTTTCCTACCGTTTGACGATCGATCGGAAAACAGGCTTGCTTTCTGTAGCGCTCCCACGTCGGGGTTTTCACCCGAGCCCAGACACCTGGTGGCCCCAGTTGTCTCGCAAGAGGCCCCGCATCTGTGGCAGCCACCTGCGCAAGAATGCTGATGACACACCCAGCAGTCCCCTGCGCTGCCCGACCAATTGAGGGGCGCACGTGAAGCGCTCATCGTTTTCGGCTGCCCAATGCTGCACATCTGATGGCACGGCTGCCGCCCGTGGGACATTTTGGCCACGACTGATGCGAGAAATGAACGCAGCGACTGCTGGACTTAACGGATCGTTTGGCAAAGCAAGTGTCGGAAGTTCTCCATCCTGTCAGCAGAGCAACTGCAACGCTCTAGCACCCAGCTTCACGAAATTTCACGAACATGCTTCGAAAGTCAAACATACATTGAAGCACACGTCATGTCTCTAGCCAGCCTTGTCCAGCGCCTCCACATCTCCGGTGAGGCCAACGGCAGACATGCACAACGCGTTATCTATATCACGGTAAACGCTACATTGTGTACTCGACCTCGATAACATCGATACCGGCCACACTCCGGCCACAGATGGTCACAGGACGTCATGGTCATGGAGTTGTTGGTGATTGATTTTGTGAACTTGTGTTTGTGTTGATGCTGACTGCAAACTAACCACTCCGGTTCATGTGCCTAGCTGTTCCTGCGGCAAGCACTGATAAGCACTGCGAACAGTACTTCATGCGATTTACCTTCCAGAGACTTCTGATTCAACACAAGTCGCCGCATCGCTGCATATCGAAAGGTTATGCAGGTGGCATTGGGCGCGCAAAGGCCACTGATCAGTTGAAGGCAGCTACTGCCAAGCGGCACCCATGCTGCTAGAAGTTCCCTCCTTTTCGAGCGATCGAGAAGAAGCCGCGCTGTGAAAGAGCACTTGCTTGAGCTTCGCAGCTGTCTGGCCTGGCCTCGGGCCATCTACTTCGGGGGCCCGAACCAGGCGATGAAGTAAAGCATTTCTTCCCAAATCTCGGAAGCAGCTTCAACATAAGCGCGCACTTGCATGCGCTTGCAATTGCTTATGCCCACATCGTCGTGAGCGAACGTGTGCTTGCATGATCCACATTCACCCAAGCGCGCTTCCAGATTCAGGACACGCTGCCAAAGAAATCTTAAAAGAAGTTTTGTTGATTTCAAAGCGACTTTGTCGAATCTGTGTTTCAGCCATGCGGCCTCGCTGTGCCTTCTTGCATGGCAAAGTAGAGCTGTGAAGTGCCTCGAGCCACGCACTTCTCACAGCACAGTGTTACCAGTGACCTCAACGGCCAGAAGCACATCAGATGCAAAACCGGGAAGGCAAAGCTCTCCCGGTGCCTAGGAGTCTAAAGCATTCCTTTTGGAGAGCTGCAGCTGGGCCAACAAAATAACTGCCATTAGGAGCTACTTCAGGTGGCCGTGGCTACTTAAGAAGCTCGTCGGAAGTCGTTCTGTTTCGTAGCAAAAGAAGAGCAGACTGCTGCCCAGATGAGCTTACGATGCTCTCCGATGCTCTCCGATGCTCTCCCTCAATGGGCAGCTGTGCGATGGATGCCTCAAAAGGAAAACTGATCTTGGGACACAGCTCGCTAAGGTGCGAGCTGGGCCGGATGCTCTTTACGAGTTCATGAGCGAGCCTTTCTTTTACGCGTTACGTGCACCTTCGGAGGACATGAGACAGCGGCCTTGCGCTGTGCTTCCTCCGATAGGAAAATATAGGCATCCCTATGTAGGGGTGCCCAGTTGTGCACGGCTTCTGCTGTGGCTTCTTAAGGGCTTCAGGGGCTCCTGCGCTCACGCAAGAGCCGCTGGCCCGTCCAGCGTCCAATCCAGGTGTTTCTCGTATTCGTCGATGGCCTGCTTCTCTCTTTTCTTCTGCTTCTGGGTGAAGGCAAAAAAAAGGTGTTTGATGACGCACGAGTGGCGAATCCGAATATGACTCAAACATCGAGAGGCTCACTCAAATCGAGGCTCAAATTGCATGTGCACTTCCCTCCCGTTGCCTGTGGCCAGTAGTAGTTCTTTTCCAGGCCTGGGGTTCGGGCACACAGTAACGGAACAGCGGAGCGTGCAGCAGCAGAGCGGCAGAGTAGGACCCCGGCCGTTGCGCTGGATCTGCCTGAATAAGTCCGGCTTCTTGTGGTAGACTTCCAAGGCCTGGAGAGGTGAGCCGAGAGGAAGGCGTGGGCAGAAGTGGGTAGGCAGAACGTAAGCAAGGGAATAGCGCCAAGTTGTCAAGGGTCCTGGCTCTCTGAACCTACAAGCATCATCTCTTCTACTTCCCTTCGACTCTCTGTTTTTTGCCTTTTCTTTTCGTTTTTCCTCTCATGTTATCTTTTGCCTGCTTGTCAATTGCTGACTCAAATCCCCGCCTGATAGAGCCGCTCCTTGAAGTGGTTGTCGTCGAAGCCGCAGAACAGGAACCTCTTCTGTCAGGAGAAAGAAGAACAGAAAGTGTCCGAGAGGCAGAGGCCCTGCAACTCACTCAGAATTGCTGTTTAAGTGCTCTGCAGTCTATACAAGGAAGCTTGCCAAGAGATGTCATCATTTGGGGACTGTTCACAGTTCCTTTGACACGTGTCTTTAACACCGTTCCTTTAAGAAGGTCACTTCCTTTGGGGGGCCGAGTCCCTCCTGAGGGCGGCGCCCGGTGGCCGTGGTCCGGTCCCTCTCCTCCTCCCACAAGCCCATCACGGAGTCCTTCAGGCCTCAAGAACCGGGGATTGGACTTTCAATGTAGCATGGTAACATGAGTACGACTATGAGAGAAGGTCAAGAAAGTATAGATGAGATTTGGAGGAGATAACAAGGAAGGAGGAATGAGAGCGAGAGAGAGAGAGAGGAGAACTCCCCCCACAAAAATGAAATAGGAATGGTTGTCACGAAAGCGTTTTTGAGCCACGAGTCAGACTACGTGAGACCTTTAAGAATAAGCGAGATGAAATACTAGGCCATCGACACGACGACACAGCTCATCCGAGACATCATCCCGGATCAAAATAGAGCAAAAACGGTCATTCCTTGAATAAGTCACTTAGAGCCGAAGCAAAAAGAAAGAGTGTCCTCCAGTCTCGTGGACCACGGGCACGGTGCCATATGCCTGTGCATACCTCAGGCAACTAGCACTTAATTTTGAACTCTACTGCACTTCTTCCGGCTCTCCATGACTTACGATATCTTACGATGGCTTTCGGTGGCTCTCGATGCCTCTCGCCTGGTTCTTTCCCAGAGTAAGGCGCAGGTGACATTTGGCAACAACTGCCCTCTCTCCCCTCCCTGTTTTGCACGGGAAACTCTGGGAAACTGCCACAAGGATGCGTGCACGAAATGCACAACGGAAGCCAGGCGCTGTGAGAAGTGGCATGCTCCGAAGCCCAAAGCTCTCCAGACTCGCGCAAAACACAGTATGACAGCACCACACACTGGTACAGCGCAAGCACCTTCGATGTTTGTGCTCCCGCGCTCCTTTTGCTGGTCATGGTTTCATTATCTCATTTACGTGTGCCGAGGGGCATCTGCGGAAGACCACATGGCTCGTACTGCGAAGGCATGAGTAGAAAGTCGCATCCCGCCATCATGCGGTGCTCGACTTTCGGGTCGAAGCCAACGTAACCTTAGATCATCCGTTGAAGATCCTTGAAGCTTCAACAGCGACAGCAAATGGTTGCCAGTAGCAGCTCTACTACTTCAATCAGTTTCACAGCACCCGAGAGACTTGAGAGAGAAAGCTGCCGAAAGGCGGAGAAAAGCAGCCGAGGGGCCACAGACTCGACCGCGGTTGCTGTTCTCTGCTTGGGATAGCTGGTTGGCATAGAGGTCGTCACCCTTGCCCATAAGGATGAGCTGAACTCGCCCAAGAACGCCGGTATTCTCACGTTCAAGGAGCCAGGGGATGGCCTCTGTGATCAACTGCACGCCCTTCTGGTAGCAAAGCCGTCCGCAGAAGCCCATCAGCGCAACACCCGGGTCTTCGTGCAAGCCCAGCGATTTTTGGAGCTCCCGCTTGCAATGCGCCTTACCCTCCAAGACGTCCGACAGGCCATAGTTTCGGGGGATGTGCGGGTCCGTCCGGGGATCCCACTCGTCCGCAATACCGTTCAGGATGCCTGCCATGCGCAGCTGCCGGCCCTTCTCCGTCAAGATGTCGTGCAGGCCCTGGCCACCCTCCGGGCTTTGGACCTGAGGGCACTTTTTATGCAATGCTATGAATACTATTGCCATTAATGCTGCTTCAACCGTCAAAGCCCCGAAGATGAACACAGCCCGATCCTACAATGGAGTCGGGACCTCCTTGGCATAGTTCGGCGACACAGTCAGCACACGGTCGGACGAGAGGATCGCGGCACTCATCAAGTTCATGCAGTCGTCCCCCAGGTTCAAGTCCTGCACTCTTTGGTGGGTTAGGCATTCACTTTATGGGGCAAAGACGTGGGGGCGGCGGGGGGCGGGGAGGGTGCCCTCTAACACTTCTCGGGCTGGCAGAGGCTCTCTCCTCGCCCTGCAGGAGGCAGATGGCCTCCGCGAACAGACCAGGAGAAAGAGCAGTTAAAACAAAGAGCGGAATGCGGGGCATAGCAGGGCTTAGGGCTCTCAATATTCGACTCGAGATCCCCACACTCCGTGCCTCGGGTGGGAGTCCCAGGTAGCTGTCGAGCGGGAACTTCGTCAGCCGATACTTGCCCTCTCAAAGAATGCGCAAAGCAAAACAAGTGCAACAAGTCCAAGTGAATAACAAGATTTCTCCTCTTCACTCTTTACATCTCTCTACCTTCTCTCTGTTACTTCACCCACCCCTCCCCCACTGAAAGTTCGTGGGAGCAATGCACCGCCGGCCCACACCCCGTCCCTGCCTGATAGCCAATGTTGTGGATGACAAAAAGGGTCCGGGAGTTGAGGTAGGTGCGATTCCGACGGTACTTGTAGAGGTGGTAGACGGGCAGGAGGCCTGTCTGCCAGTCGTTGGCAATGAAGAGACAATCCTGGCCATAGGTGGAGCCTCGCAGCTTCAGCACAAGAGGGGCCTCTAGAGCTGCCACTGAGAGCAGTGCGTAGCGCTGCAGATTGTCAACGTATTCTTTGCCCTCGCGATCGACGTAAAGTCCGTCACGGTGATAGCTCGGATGGTCCACAAAAATGTAGTCTGTCCCTTTGCCACCACCGAGGTCTTGGTAGAGATGAAAGTAGCGCAGCTCGTGCTCGCGACCATCCATCCAAACCTTGCAATAACCTACGTATTCGGCGTCCTTGTAGTCACCATACCGCGGAGCCACCACCATCGTGCGGTGACCCCGCATGGCAAACTCATAACCATAGGAGCCTGCAACCATTGCCAAACCTCCGGTCTTAGACCACGGGTTCACCTCGGAAGACACGACGACCACCGGGGTGCTCAAGTGCGCTGCCTGGTACTTGGGCCGCTGGTCCTGTAACTCTGTCTCCAGGTGCGACCGCAAATCTGCCTTCTCCTCCGGGTCCTCTCACTGACACATAACTAACACATAACTTACATAACCGGGGTAAGAAATTTCAGAGACAACGAGGAGAAGCCTTTGTTGATTTGATAGCCTTGCTTGCCTTCATGGGCTTTCGAGACGAGGTGCTCCATTGCCCTGGCCCCCCCTCCCCCCAGAGTCCCGAGAGGAAGTTCTCAAAGGAAGGACATGAATGAGGGTGAGTATGAGGGTGAATGCACACAAGGTCGCAGTCAGTGTGTCTGTCGATGTTTTTCGGGCGAGCGAGGATTCACAGAACGATGTGACGAGGAACGCCCCAACATGTCTCCGCACATGTTTCTGCACATCCGAAGAAACCGGACAACCGTAAACGGACCAAATGCAAGCGCCAAACAAGAAGACACCTAGATTCACCTCAAGACGGACCATAGCTGGCAAGAAACAAACCAAAAACACGGAGTCTTGTGATTTCATCGAATTTCCCAACAACCAAAACAGCATCCCACCCTGAAACATCCTAAAACATCCTAAAACCACGCAATCTATGCACGGCTGTGCCTTCCAAACATCCTCTGGGGGTCCCGTGTCCTGCAGCAGGGCATCCAGGGCACTGAGGGAGAAGACGCGCTCCATGCCGCCATCGCCACTCTCGGAGGGCGAGATCTCAGACAGAGCCTTCAAGCCAGGTCTTTCACGTCTTGCCTCTTCTCTTGTCTTCTTTTGCTTTATGTTTTCTCGCTCTCTCTCTCTGCCTTCCTCTCTCTCCCTCTCTCTCCCTCTCTCTCTCTCTCTCTCTCTCTCTCTCTCTCTCCCTCCCTCCCTCCCTCTCCCACACGCATAGCCCCCCCGGAAAAGGAGCTGCCTGTCTCTCTCGCCCTCTCTGTCCCTGTTTTGGAACTTCCCCCTTCTGTCTCTTCTGCTGAACTTCTCTTCTTCTCCCTTCTCCGTGCTGAACCTGCGTTCTCTTCTTTCTTTTCAATTCCGTCCGCTCCTTGGTCTTGGGCGTCTGCGTGCCGGAGCTCTCGTAGCCCTCGCCGTCGTCAGGTTGGGCACCCAGCGAGGTCGCGGGCTCGGCCTCGGGGGCCTTGATGGCATTCGCCTCGTTCGGCTCGTTTGCCTTGCTCGCCTCCGTCAACGCTTCGCACTTCTCCTCAGGCTCCTCAGCTGACGTGGAAAGAGTCGCAAACAGCTTTGGAGACCCTGGAAGTGGCTAATACAGGACATGGTAAGTGCCGCACAGCGCGACCTGGCTGCTCCTCCTGTGGAAAATCAGCTGCGAACATGTCATGGGCGCATGTAGGTGTGCATGATTCGGCGCGCGCTCCCTGCACTAGCTGTTTTGCTCTCGCTGGAGCTCGACCATAAACAGAACAAGAAAACTGCAGGACGCCATGCCAACACCACGCAAGAAACACATCAAATGCCACGGACCACGGACTGTCCTCGATGCGGAGAGTTGTTGGACGCTCCTCGGACAGCTTAAAATGACAAGTGTCGCTGATCGCCGGCGACCTGGCCTCGTCCCTCGATGCGGCTGCCTGTTGCATCAAAACTCTCAGAATCAAGCACGAAACAAGCAAATGTGTGATGCCGCGCGTTCTCAGTGCGCGGGGGGTTTTCCAGCAAAAGACGCCCGTTTGCCGCAAAACTGTGCCAACTGCGGGGAGGGAAGGAGGGAGAAGTATATTTAAAAACGAAGGAGGTGATACGCTGAATCTGTAGCTGTAGCTTGAACCAGGGGGTATTCTGCAAGTTGTCCTAGGTGCACCACCCCTTCTCCCGTACCGTCCAAGATCGGTGCGTGGGGCATAAAGCCTTCGATGACCGACTCAGTCGATTCTCACGGCTTCTCGGGCCAGGAGTGGCTTCTCGATTGACAGTGAGAGCTGGAGGATGGTGCAGGTGGCGAGAGGGAGTTTCAAATCAGGTGTGGGAATCCGTGGCGTCGAGAACTCAAACTTGCCTGAAGGAATCAGTTCTAACAGAAGAGCTTTTGCAAGCTGTCACGGTTGTTGCTCAACCGTTTTGCAGCACTCCAGAGGTTCAAGCTCCTGCCAAATCTTTGTGGGGGTCAGGCATGACACACTTGTGCGCAACCTGGACATCCCTGAGTGACTGAGTGTTCGAGCTCACACGTGTGACAAGTGTAGCTTGTCTGCATTAAATAAAACATTTGACTGGCTGGCGACAGACCTGCTACACGCACACATGCGCGCACGCACACATACATGCACACATACATGCACACATACATGCACACATACATGCACAATACATGCACACATACAAGCACACTCACGCAGGCACACGCACGCGCACACGCACACGAGAGCACACACGAGAGCACACGCGAGAGCGCACACGAGAGCGCGGGTTGTACTCACACACCCACACGCACGCGCTCCGCGGTGTGTACTGCACGTGTACGTAGCCAAGCACAAGACCAAGAATCAAGACACTGCAGAATACTGCAGATGAAAACAAAGGTATCGCGCGCCTTACGCTCGCAGCAGTCTTCACTCTCCGGCTCCGGCAAGAGGGACAGGGAGCCCTGCGGGACAGCAGGGCACGCCAACGAAAACTGCAAACTTGTCACTTGTGGCTTGCGTCAAAGGCGGCACATGATTGAACATTCTGTAGCCATGATTGAAAATTCTGTAGCCAAGCGCCGCAGATTGCGCCGCCTTCTTCAGCATCAAGGGCTCTCCCTCAGGGGCAAGCTTCCCCATTCCATCACTCCGTCGCTTGGGAAATATGTCGGTCGGACGCATTACACACGTAGCCTGCGCAAGCTCCGGCTTCGTCACGCTTTCCTGGCTTTGTAAGACATTTCGTGTTCTCACACTGCCCCACAGTTGTCTCACGGTGTCTGACACGGCCTCTGGGTCCGGGAGCAAAGAGAAGGATCCCTGCACACGCCGGCGACAAGGCGAAGACACAGACTGCCACAGAATGGAAAAACTGTGCTGCAAAACCGGGCCTTCCTTGCACCCTTCTCAAGCAGAGGTGCGGCGGGAGCCGGAGACACGTTCGCCTCCCGATGTCACTTCTTTTTCCATCCCCTCTCTTCTCTCCCCGCTCTTCCTCTTTGCTCTGTTCTTCCCCTTGTCTCCATCGCTTTATCTTGTAGACTTGTAGATGTCCTTTACTTTTTTTGACTCAGAGGAAAGGGAAAGAAAAAGAGAGAGAGAGAGAGAGCGGGCGAGGGGCGAGGGCAAGAGCGAGGGCGAGAGAGAGAGAGAGAGAAAAAAAAAAAAAAAAGCGCGAGAAAGCGAGAGCCAAGCAAAAGAGCGGAGCGTTAATCATTCATCGTCAAAAACCAAAAAAAAGAAGAGGAGTCCAGCTGAAGGCCTCGAATGCCCCGCCAGGCGCACCCTCTCCAATGGTCTCCACTCGCTTTCTCCCCAACATTTGCCGCCAATATTCGGGCTGACTTTATTTAGCTTCCGGCGACTGCTGTGATGCCGCCGCCCGGCCATGGGCGCCAGACAGGCCCTTCTCCCCGCCGTGAAAGATCTCCCCAGCTCCTCTGGCAGAACCTTGGACAACCTGGTGCGCCTACAAGACCCATGCGAAGAAATGTTGAGAAAAAGGCTTCCTAGACTGTAGGCAGATCGGTCCTTCAAACCCCTGACGAGGACCCTCAATATCTTCTCCAGGACACTTACAAGGCACCGCAGAAATTCCCAAAAGACGAACTCAGAGCCCAGAACCCCTTTTGCTCTCAACCCGAATCTTTGGGCGTGAGTTGGTGCGCAATCTTCTCAGCAGATTGCATCGGACAATTCTGCTCGGAGTAGTGAGCTTTGCGAACAAGAAAGGCGCTCTTCCCGCCTTCTCCGGTTGTTTGGTCCCAAAGAGCCTGGCTTGTTGCGCTTGCTGGAACTTGGACACGCGAACCTCAGAACACAATAACGAGGCATGAACATTCCAGAAAATACTCTCTCTTGAACTGGGCCCCGAGCTGTCCGCGTCTTGGGGTTCCCCTGCCCAGGATTTTGCATGGATTTGCTCCCAGGGCCCGAGAAGCTTCGGAACTTCTTTCTGCCTGCCGCTCCGAGGGCACCGAGGCCACTGAGGCAAACGAGACCTCCTTGGCAGGCGACTCCTGACGTGGCCAGAGCAGTCAGAACGGTGGCAACAGCCGGTCACCCTTGCTCTCGCTTCACCCGAATTCCGCACACTTTCTGCGCCTGCGGCACCTTTTGGGCCTCCACAGCGGCTGGAGCCTAGAGCAAAAGAAGTGCCAAAGCAGTGCCAGAGCAATGCCAGAGAATCCTGGAGACTTGCGCTGGCCTCTTGCTGCATCTCTGAGGCCGCCGGGGCCTCCGTTGCAGGTGACTCCTGGCACAACTGTCGAATTTCGTCGAGCCAAGTTGGCATGGAAGTTGCAGCATCAACGAACGAACCTGGTTACTTTCCAGCTATACGGCAGAGGATGGCTGAGGTAAAGCCAGCGCCAACTGCAAAGCTGGATCTTTGTGAAGTGCATCAACAAAGCAGCCGGAACACGTGGCAAGCCGGCCGTGCAAGCCCGTATCCCTACTAATGCTAAACACACCCCTTTTGCATCCATGGGTCCGGCTAGTTCAAGTTAAGAGGATCTCATTGACTGTCAAGCCGTTCTAGTATTTGGCAGGGTTTCAGTGGGGTCCGGCCAAAAGCGGATGCTTACAAGTGCGGGTTGCTCAGCGCTTCGACGCACCATCTTATGATCCTATTACCTTTTTCCTATTGGATTGCTAGATTGTTAGATTGCTAGAGCATTAGATTATTCGATTATTAGATGATTAGTGTTTGTATATGAATGTACTATTCCATTATCCTCCCAGCTCCGCAGACCGATACCGATGCCTCGCTCTGTGGCGGTTCACTAGGCGCACACGGTGGGACCTCGGAAAGAATAGCTTCGGCAGGCTAAGGCGCGCCCCGTCCAGAGAACATCAGGTTGACATAAGGCGAAGGGAAAGTGTTAACAAGGCTTCCTGGCCTCCGCGGTGGATGTCAAGGCCTCCGTGGCAGGTGACTCCTGGCACAACTGTCGAATTTCGTCGAGCCAAGTTGGCATGGAAGTTGCTGCATCAATGAACGAACCTGGTTACTTTCCAGCTATACGGCAGAGGATGGCTGAGGTAAAGCCAGCGCCAACTGCAAAGCTGGATCTTGGTGAAGTGCATCAACAAAGCAGCCGGAACACGTGGCAAGCCGGCCGTGCAAGGCCGTATCCCTACTAATGCTAAACACACCCCTTTTGCATCCATGGGTCCGGCTAGTTCAAGTTGAGAGGATCTCATTGACTGTCAAGCCGTTCTAGTATTTGGCAGGGTTTCTGTGGGGTCCGGCCAAAAACGGATGCTTACAATTGCGGGTTGCTCAGCGTTTCGATGCGCAGTATTCAAGGGACGCGATTGAAAAATTCTATTTTCTTATTATCCTATTACCTTCTTCCTATTGGATTGCTGGATTATTAGATTGGTAGAGTATTAGACTATTCGATTATTAGATTTCTAGATAATTGGATGATTGGAATAGTCGATTGTTTTTCTGTTAAATGATTAGATAATACTGTAGGATGATTGGATGATTCGATTGCTATACTGCAGTGTTTGATTATTGTTTTAATATATCTATAATATCATACGTTAAGTTCTCTATCTTCTCATATTCTTCTATTCTTATACTACAACATTATGACACTATACTACTGTGTTTCTATATGAATATACTATTCTACTATCATCCCAGCTCTGCAGACCGATACCGATGCCTCGATCTGTGGCGGTTCACGACGTGCACTCGGTAGGACCTCGGAAAGAATAGATTCGGCAGGCTAAGGCGGGCCCCGTCCAGAGAACATCAGGTTGACATAAGGAGCGGGAGATACGAGAAACCTAGTAGACAGACGAAGGGAAAGTGTTAACAAGGCTTCCTGGCCTCCGCAGTGGATGTCAAGGCCTCCGTGGCAGGTGACTCCTGGCACAACTGTCGAATTTTCGTCGAGCTAAGTTGGCATGGAAGGTGCTGCATCAATGAACGAACCTGGTTACTTTCCAGCTATACGGCAGAGGATCGCTGAGGTAAAGCCCCCCCTTTGCATCCACGGTCCGGCTAGTTCAAGTTAAGAGGATCCCTTGTCAAGCCGCTCTTATTTTGGCAGGTTTCTGTGGGGTCCGGCCAAAAACGGAGGTTTACGATTGCGGCTTGCTCAGCTTTTCGACGCTCAGTATTCAAGAGACGTGATTGAAGTATGAGTCTTCGGTTGTCTTATTGTAGCCTCATTTATTACTTTCGTACTCTGACTATTAGGCGATCATATTGTTATACTCTTAGGTCATTAGATATTCCACTATTCGATTATTAGATTGTTCCTTTATTAGATTATTAGATAATATTAGATGAATACCTATCATACTCACTGTGACGGAAAACATTTCGACTGTGGAAAACCACGGGACGGTATGACCGGGTATGACCGGGTATGACCGAGTATGACCGGGTATGACCGGGTATGACCGTGTATGACCGAGTATGACCGAGTATGACCGGGTATGACCGGGTATGACCAGGTATGACCGGATACTCGGGCGTTCTCGGGCGTACTCGGGCGTACTCGGGCGGTGTACTCGGGCGCACGCGGTCTGCAGTCGCTGAACGCGGCCGCAATGGATGTTAGGCTGTTAGGCCGGTAGAGTATTAGATCATTCTATTATTAGATTTTTGGATGCTTGGACCATTCGATTGTTGTATCTCAATACTTTCATTTTCTATCTATTTTTCATTTCATTCTGTTTTGTCTTCTTACATTATTCTATTCTTCTCTCTCATATTATGACCCTATTATATTAAAATATACTGTCTATTATATGATCATCCTAGCTCTGTGGTCGGACCTCGGAAAGGATAGCTTCGGCAGGCAAAGTCGAGCCCGTCCAGAGAACATCAGGTTGACATAAGGAGCGGGGAGATAAGAGAAACCTAGGGATACGTTTGGAAAGTGCGAAGAAGGAAGCCCATTGCACGGCTTCCCGGCCTCCGGAGGGGCTGCCAAGGCCTCTGAGCTGTGTGAGGCTCCGGAAGCTTTCGAAACACCCGAGGTCACCGAGGCCGCTGAGGCTGCCGAGGCCACGGAGGCCATCGAAGCCTCCCCCGTGCAAACGATGTTGGGGGGGGGTTTAGGGTTTAGGGTTTAGGGTTTAGGGTTTAGGGTTTTTTTTTAGGGTTGGGAAACACGAGAGGTGCTTCATCCTGACCCAAGAGCCTCTCCCAGCCAAGCCCGACACCAGCAGTCAACCGAACGTGATACCCAAGCAGCCATCCCAACAGTCAGCTTTTCCGAAGTAACCGAAACAAACCAACCCAAACAAAGCACCCGACAAGTTGCAAATTGAGAAGGGTGGATTCTACAGTTTGCTGAGGCAACGCGAGGCATACGGAGGCAGGATCTCAGCGGGCATGCCGGCCTCACGGGAGAACTGTTCCTGCTGAGCGGCGGCGTTTATTTGGTACTTCTTGGGCTGGGCACCTATGTCCTATGTCTATCTGTGGGGCCACGCGATCTCGTTCGCTCTAGTTTTAGCCGCAAGCATGTCCAATGTCTCTCACAGGTTGGCTCAATCATGAGCTGACCGGTACATCTGATGACCTCTTTCTATCTGCAGTCCCCCAACCTGTTCCCCCGTGAACGGCAGCAAACAATCCAAGAAGAATGTTCACTCCAATTAGCAACCTAATGGTGACTTCAATAGTGGGCTCAACAACATAAAAACATCGGAGGGTGATGCGGCATGGGTGCAACAGTGGGAGAGCAATGCCACTTTTACTGAGTCGCCGCGCCTGCCGTGCCTTCCGAGTCTCGCCAGCCTCACGGCTTCGTGCCTTGACCTTGGCGGGCTTCGGCGTTTGTTCACGTTCAAAATGCCTTTCTACCATCAACCCCTTCTGCCGCGGAACCCTCTAGTCGTCCTCCTGGTGTGTAAAGAATTCAACGACGGTGCCCGGACATTAAACAACCGAAAAAAGTGTTTCATATGTGATATCATACGACCTCCGCAGCGCACAGCTGGAGAGAAACATCCGGAAGTAAATCTCTCCAACCCCCCCCTTGTTCTGCGTTTGACATGCTCGACGTACATTCTCAACGGCCGAGCTATGGCAAGCTATGCCAAGCTTCGGAGGTCAGGGTTTAGAGAAAGCGGCAAATAGGAGAAAGGTAAGGAAATGTAAGGAATGCCCTGAAGGAGAAGTCCAGCTTCCGAGCTTGCCGGCCTCAGTGGAGGCTGAGCCCCCTGAGCTCTGCGAGGCCCGCGAGGTCCGTGAGGAAGCTTTCGAAACGCTCGAGACCATGGAGGCCATCGAGGTTCTGGATGCCTCGTCAACCACTCTGCTCTGCCAAGCGCTGCGCTTCGAAGTTCGTTTGTTCTTTTTTTTTTTTAGGTCACCATTGCTCCTGCCACTTGAAAGCTCTAGCGACTAGAGCCACTAGAGGCAGACAAAGGCCGGATCGCAGCGGGCAGGCCTCACGGTCGAACTGCGCCTGAAAAAGCAGCGTTTGTTTGGTTTGGGCCTGGGGGGCCCATGACTCTTTGTGGCCGCATGATCTCTCGTTGGCGCTAACACTTCGTGACATGCTACACGTGCACATGAACGCTTGCTCTGGCTTGCCCCTCTGCCGCCCCCGTCCGCGCCTCTTGCACCTTTCAATGGTGCGAGACAGGTCAAGATTGTGTAGCGTCACGCATGACAACTTGACTTGCGCATGATCCATATACGTGACGGGCGTGAAATACGATTATGGGCCCTTACAAGAACTGCATTTGGCCCCAATGCAAAAAACAAATTCCGCGTAAGTTCATACGTCACATCGTTTCCTTAAATTACATTACATTGTATGCTCTTTTAGTATTCTTATTCTTATTCTCCCGGGCGAAAAGATAAAGAAATAGACGCCCGGCAAATGAAGGGTTAATAGCGCCCGTAGTAAAGAACTTCTCGGGCACGGTGCGTTCTCTCAGTCATTCACGCATTAACAATATCAAATTTCGTGCATGCGTAAACTCACATCGTTCCCTTCGCAATAAGATTTTCTCACCCAAGCTCGAACGGAACTAGCCTACTCATTTCTCGCTCATTCACAGCATTTAGGGTTTAGGGTTTAGGGTTTAGGGTTTAGGGTTGAGGGTTTAGGGTTTTTTTTTGCCACCCGCCTAGCTGACACTCAGGCCACGTTGCAGGGACTAATACCGGCAATACTATTCGTTCGAGGTAGAGGCGCTTTTAAAGTTAGCGTAAAAAGGGGACCAGTTTGGGGAGGACGGAGCGTCCCATCAAACAAAAGAGTAAAGCCACACTCCGACTAACAACAGAACACCCAGAACTCCATCCCCCATGGTCCCAGAGGAGAAAAGCCTTTATGCCGCCTCAAAATCAGCAGCGCTCATCAGGCCCATGTAGTTGGTTTAGGGTTTAGGGTTTAGGGTTTAGGGTTTAGGGTTTAGGGTTTAGGGTTTAGGGTTTAGGGTTTAGGGTTTAGGGTTTAGGGTTTAGGGTTTAGGGTTTAGGGTTTAGGGTTTAGGGTTTAGGGTTTAGGGTAGGGTTTAGGGTTTAGGGTTTAGGGTTTTCTTTTTTGCCATAGGGTTTAAGGTTTAGGGTTTAGGGCTTATTTGCAGCTTGAGGCCTCTGTCGCCTTCTTCGGACGGCGCTTGGAGGTCGCACGCTTCGCCTCCGAAGGAGAAGGGGGAGCTCGCGCGTCGTGCCAAAATGCACCAAACAAGCTGCCAGGAGCTGCTGCCATGCACAATGATGGTGGATATATATATATATATAAATAACCATGTATTGCCGGGAATATCTTTCAAATTAACAATTGATATAACATTTTCTTATTTTACACACACACACAACTCACACCGACACACACCGACACATTGACACCCCGACACCGCGTGCCTCCTTGGCCTCCGCTGAGGGTGCCTCGTTCGAGGCGTCACCCTCCGTGACCTGCGTGCACTGCACAGGGTCCATGTTGTGTCAAAAGCACAGCGCCGCCAGCGCACCCAACAACTCTTGAGAGTGAAAGAGCAGAACGAAGCCAGTGGAGAAAGAGTCCAGGAAATGCGGGCTCGGGCAGAAGCCTTCGTCTTTTTTTTGGACCGAAAGTTTCAAACCCCAGCCTGGAATGGAAAAGCCCCAAGCCCAAACCGCAAACCCCAAATCTAAACCCGTACTGTTTAGCATAAGCCGCTCTATCTTGCCTTCCTTATGCACGGGGAGGGTCTCAACTAAGATTGCCAATCGTTTCTCCAGGCTTGTCACTCAAGCCTTAGCAAACAGAAGCTGCAATTACAACTCCACATACGAAGTCTGACCCCTAAGCCGAGGGCTAAGGGGTTCCACTCATGAACACCATAGCGCCCCGCGAACCGCGCGAACAGCGCGAGCAGCGCGATCAGCGCGAACAGGGCAACGGAGCGTGCATGAGTCCACTTATGAGGGCACTGAGAACAAAACGGAGGCGTCCGTTTGCGCAGAGATACCCGAAATGAACCATTACCAGGGTCCTAGTGGCCATTGTAACATCTCAATGATTAGTGAAAAATTGCACGGCGCGCTGTTAGATGCATACCACCAAACCTCTATTGAACCTGAAAGAACCAGCCCACTCGGTTCTCGCTCATTCGTCCCATTTGGGGCTTTTGGAATCCATGTCCGCGTCGCCTTCTTCGGAGTGCGCCTGGAAGTGGAACGCTTCACCTCTGAGGCAAAAACGGGAGGCACTAATGTAGAGCCAAATAAGTTGCCATGAGTTGCTGCCACGCACAACACACACCGCGCGCCGCGTGCCTCTTTTGCCTCTGCTAAAGGTGCCTCTCCGTTCGAGGCCTCGACCTCCGAGACCTGCAACTCACATGCACCATGCATCACAGAAATAACAGAGCACTCGGTGCCGCGAAACAACAAATGCACCTGACACAACAAGCGATCGGTACCCCAGCAAGGCTTCAAAGCACACAGAACCTGTAGCCCTTGAATGCCCTTGGAATCCCTTGGAGGATCTAAGATCGCTTAAGTATACCTAAGTGATCTTCTGTTATTTAGAGCAGCGGGGAATACCTACTTCCACTGGGACGAAACGGCCTACTCTTTTCTGGCTCGTTCCAATGTGCGGCTTGTGTAATCCATATGCGCGTCGCCTTCCTCGGAGTGCGCCTGGACCTTGAACGCTTTACCTGTGAAGCAAAGCGGGGGTCGCGAGCGTGGTGCTGAACAAGCTGCCATGCATTGTGCAGCCGTAGAAGGCTTCGCATGAGATCGCACACGACACGCCGGGCGCCTCCTTTGCCTCTGCTAAAGGTGCCTCCCCGTTCGCGGCCTCGACCTCCGAGACCTGCGTGCAATGCACATGCACTATGCACCAAAACCCAAGGCACCCGGCGCCACAAAACAACACATGCACCTGACACAGGAAGCCGTCGGAACCCCAGCAAAAAAAACAACTTCTAAGCACACAGATTCTGGTGATCTCTAGGAAGTACAAGTTGATCATCTGTGAGCACATCTGGGGCAGACGTAGAAAATTGCAAATCTCAACTCACTCGGTTCTCGCTCATTCGTCCCTGGACTCCATGCCCGCATCGCCTTCTTCGGAGTGCGCCTGGAACTGGAGCGCTTCACCTTTGAGGCAAGAACGGGGAGTGTAGAGCCAAATAACAGTTGCCATGAGCTGCTGCCATGCACAACACGCACCGGGCCTCCTTTGCCTCTGCTAGAGGTGCCTCCCCGTTCGAGGCCGCGACCTCCGAGACCTGCATGCAATGCACATGCACCATGCACCAAAAACACAAAGCACACGGCTGACACAAGACGCATCAGGAAGCATCAGGAAGCCGTCGAAACCCCAGCAAAAAAAAACCAACTTCTAAGAAAGTCCAAGGTGTTCTGCCACTGCTACTGCTGTGAGCAGCCGCGGAGAATGTGAATCTCAAATTATGAAGTGCACCATTTGCGGCTTGTGGGATTCATGACCGTCGCCTTCCTCCAATGGCGCCTGGATGTCGCACGCTTCCCCTTCGCAAAGCAAAAAGGGCACCGTGCTGCAAACAGATTGCCATGAGCCGCCAAAACCATGTTCCTGTGCCTCTGCATCTTTCGCCGTCTCCTCTTCGGCCTGCGTGCTCTAAGTTCAAGGCGCACGCAGTATGCCCAGGTTGCCTCAAGCCACTTGAAGCTTAGATAGCTCGCCCCAATCCTGCTTTTTTCTGATCCTCATTCCTGTATCTTCCATTCCTACAGTAAGTCCATCACACTGTTGCATGTGTCTGATCTTTTCTTCGCGATACCAGGCACAAGAGACCGTCTTCTTAAACGCCCCTTCCCCTCCCCGGTCCCCCGCCTTCTTCGGGCGGCGCTTGGGGCGCTCCACCAGCATCTGAAGGGACTGAGATCCAAATGAGGGGCACTTTTGTTGGGGAATCTACACGATAAGGAGCGCATTAAGGACTCGAAAAAGTCCTTATTTGTGGGCTCCGTAGGCATACTGTAACAATGGAGGCCTTTTGAAAAGATGTCATGTTTTACTTCGATCATTTCCCACCGCGGGAAGGGAGGACAAAGCAGATGCAGTGGAGAGCGAAACGGGGAAGACGTGGGGACGCTTCGGATGCTTGAGGATAAAGAAGAGGAGTGTTCACTGGCAGCTTCAAAAAGGAGTAGATGTGAAGAGAAACAGCATCTGCATATTGACCACGCGAGGTATCCAAAGAATGCCTTGCCTCGCGGGCTTGTGCCACTTCCTCGGCATCACCAAAACCAACAAAACTCCAATCAAATTCTCCTTCTTCTCTATTATTTCACCTTGTGTCTCATCTTTTCGCTCTCTTGTCTGTCTTTCACTCTCTCTCTCTCTCTCTCTCTCTCTACTGGCTCTCCCTACTGGCTCTCTCTCTACTGGCTCTCTCTGCTGGCTTTCTTTGCTGGCTTTCTATACTGGCTTTCTTTACTGGCTCTCTCTACCTCTCTCTACTGGTTCTCAAGCGGCAAGTGGCGATCAGGGACGTGGGGAAGTTCTGCGCTTTTATGGAATCCTCCCTGACCAGCTCGCGGTCCTCGGCAACACAAAAGCAGGATTGTAGATAAACAAAACGTTATCGAGCCTTTGAATGTTCCAGCTACCAATGATACAGCAGCCTTGTTTAGCCTTTCCCGTGCACCCACCCTGTGACTTTGGGATAGTTGCATTTATGGTCCCCAGCAGCTGGGCACGCTCTAGCAGTGCTCTAGCTATTTCCGAATTCAGAACCACCACGACCGCCTCACAACCAAAGCAAGAAATTTCAGGGCCCCGGCATTATCGGCATTTAAATCCGAATTCATCGCGTGGCATCCAGCCCCAAGCCCCACGATCCCTGGAGCACAAGCGGCTGAGTGGCAGGAGAGTCAGGCCTTGCTGCTTGCATTTCTCTCAGCCTATTACACGTCTTCAATTGATGCATCGCCGAATCGTTGCTGTCAGGCTCCACCCCTTGATCCCCTTGGTCAATCAAAGCTCCAGTCCGACCCGATGTCCAACTTGATCGCCAACTGAATCATATCTTGCCGTAGGCGCCCTTGCGAAGCTCCCATCTTTTCTCGCACATGTTTGTCCGCATGTCATGTCGCGGGGTGACGTGATGCTAGCGCGTGAGAGGCATTCGCCCATTTCCTGCAAGCGTGATGAAATGAAAAAATCTCAGCAGAAAGGGGGTCTTCGTCGTCTTCGTGAAGGTTCCTCTCCATCGTTGATGCATGGATGGATGTCGTGATGAATGTCGCCATAGATGATGCATGGATGGACGGCATTATGTGAGGCCTTCCTCGTGGGTTGCAGATGCTCGCGGGACAGCCGTTCTTTTCTTTTGCAGCCCGCAGGGAGTGCCGGGGGTTGGCCAATGTCGGCCGGTGCAAGCGGCTATCCGGGACGAGCTCCGTCCCTCGCGCGTCTGCACGGCAGTTCACCATCGCCTTGGATTACGCGCGCTGGGCCGCCACCGCCAGCACGGATGCGTCGCATGCCCGGGCAAGAATGTGACGATTCTCCCGCCCACCACAAGGCCGAGCTGCCAGGAGCTCCGGAACATGTCGCTCCACTTCCGCCGCGCCGCTTCGGACGCGGCCGCCCTGTCCTCGGGCGCGCCGTGCCGCCGCGAGACAGGACTCAACAGTGTGGAGTCAAAGTTGCCCGCGCCCGCACGCAACAAACGTATGTAAAGCCATGAATTGCGCTCGCCGGGCAAGGAGCTCGCGGGCGAGCATCTTGCCAGGGCAGGGGCTCAGCATCTGCTGCAGGCATGCGAGGCGGCCGCTCTGGCGAAGGTGGCGGCGTGAAGCCCGGCGTCGCCTCTTCGGGTGCCACTGGCGCCACCGCTCCCGAGGGTCGCTGGGGGGTACGCCCCGCGGGGAAGCGAACTCCACGCGTCCTCATGCATCCTCGAGTGGGCGCGGCATTGGGGGTTTTCGGTCCTTGCAACCGCGGCGCCGTTCTGTGGCGCGGTCCGTGCTGGGCGGGCTGATGGGTGCGGCGATGATGGGGCATGCGCGTGCGACCCCATAGCTTGTTGCAAGAGGGCGCCAAGCAGTGTAGTCGTCGACTGGTCGAGCGATGCGGCCAGCTCGGCAAGTTCGCGTTCGCCTCCTGCTCCATGCAAGCTAGCAGCTTGGATCCAGACGCTGCCCAGGCCGGCGGACATGGGCGGCGCGCCCCCAAAGAAGAGCGTCGCGACCAGCAGCAACCCGAAGCACAACCAGCCCCAGCACAAGGAGCAAGGCCCCCAGCCTGCACGTAGAAAAACTCATGATGGTACGGTTTCTTTTTTTTCCCACACGCCTTTTTCCGCAGCATGTCTTCGCGGGGGTCGGGGTCGGGAGGGAGGGGCCTCACCGCAGCGGCGGCACGCGGCTGGCGGGCGGGGACGGCATCATCGCCGTTGCTCTCACCCGCAAGAGTCAGCTCGAGCAAGGAAGATGCGAACGTGCGCTGGGCCGCAAAGGCCAAGAGCGCCGCCCATCGCGCCACCCGGTGGCGGGCCAGGAGGCGCAGGAAGGTGGCTGCTTCCGTGCCAAAGCGACCACCCATCTCCAGGCCAATGACGACCAGGCGGCACCGCCGGGCACGGAGGAGCTCGGGGTACGTGCCGTGTCGCTTGCGGCGCGCTGCTGCGGTGACAGAGCGCCCCGGCTCAACATCAGCCCGCGGGTGGGGCTCGCCCGTACGTGTGAGCGGGGAGACGAGCGGGGAGACGAGCGTGGCGTCAACCGCGAGCTGCGAGCCGTGCCAGAGGGACAAGCCGTTGGCCACGACTTCGATGCGCCTGTCGTCTGCGACGGGCACGTCGATGTTCATGTCGGCGACGCGGACGTTGCGAGCGACACGCGCACAGGCTGCGCGGCAAACCCGCGCAACGGCGCGCTCAAGTGGCCCTGCGCGGCGGCGAGCACGCTGCTGGTAGCGCACGCGGCACGGTGGTCCCCGAAAGCATCGCAGCCCACGCCGGCGCGTCGTAGCCGGTGGCGCGAAGGGCGTCGCGTGCCTGATTCGCAGCGGCCGCCGCGGGCAAGGGCACATGGCCCTGCAAGGCATGGAGCAGCCGGTCTGCAGCTACCGGCGCTCGGGCTTGGATAACGGGCAGCGTGTCACACCAGGAGGTGCAGTGGGCAGCTTGGCGGGCAGCAACGGCGGAGCGCAGACCAAGCCCCCCAAATCGCAAGGCCAGCATGGCCAGCTGCGCCGTTCGCAGGCTGGGATCAGGCAGGGGCGCGGCCTCCAGCTGCAAGAGGCGGGTCAGGCACTGGGCAACTGCCGCATCGTGGTCCCGCGCATACGCCTCGGTCTGGTGAAGGGGGAGGACCCGGAGGAGGTGGTTGGCCCGTGGCGCAGCGCAGAACAGGAGCAGGAGCCACACTGCCTGCAAGCTGGACAACTGCGGGATGCGGCCGAGGAGTCAGTCATGCTGTGCACGTTTGAGGCGTAGCTGCGCATGGACGTACGCGTCATGACCCAATGGCGCGCCCAGCACGGTGAGGCCTTGCTGGTCGGGTGGGAGCGACCAGTCGCCGACCCACGCTGGGTCCGAGGAGCCAGCGGATCCAGCGGCGGCCAGGTCGGCTATGGACGGGTGCTCTTCACCGGCCGCATTCCATATGCGGGTCTTGCCCGCATGCAATCTGTCCCGCGCATGTTCCCACAGGGCGGCGGACAGTGCATCCAGCAAAGGCCGAACACGCTCCGGTTCAGCGACGACGTAGATGTCGTCTAGGAAGGCGAAAACGGCCTCACCCGGGAGAAGCTGGCCCTGGAGCTCGGCGAGCGCAGGGTGCTGCGCGAGGGCGCAGAGAGCTGGCATCAGAGGGTCGCCTTGCTCGCCGCCTTCGCCTTGCTGGATGCGATGGCCGTGCCTGGCATCGTCATACCAAGTGTAGGAACTGCTCTCGGCGTAGAATTGGCGCACGTAGGGCAACAAAGGCCGCAGCGCCGGGCGCTCAAGCAGCCCCCGCAGCATGGCTCGACGGGAGGCGTGGCCCAACAGCATCAACCGGAAGGATTGTTGGCCTCAGTTGCTGCGCGGAGGAAGCAGACGACGGCTTCAGTCCCAGCACACGTGCTAAGGCCGAATTGGAAGGGCAGGCACTCCTCTTGGAGTTGGGGGCCGAACTGCTGCGCCAGAACCCTCCCGACCAAGCGGCGCAAAACATCCCCAACAACTACGGCCCGGACACGGCCATTCGGCTTTTGCAATGCGACGACTCTGCCGACGCGCACGGCGGCAAGGACGTCGTCCGGCACCTGCGCAAGCAAGTAGCTCGGCTGCATTGTGAAGAAGGCGGCTGTCCTCCTCATCATCAAGCATGACGCGGAGATGCTCATTGGTGGCGCCGCTCTGCCCGGCCGCAGAACCGCGGCGCGCGGACTGGAGACAGGCGACGGAAGCCTGGTGCGGGAAAGCGCACGACTGGTCGGGCTGAAACCCCAGAACATCAGCATCATGCGGGCCGTATGCCTCGGGAGGGCGGCGGTCGGGGTTTGTGAGCTCGGCCAGGGTCGCCGGGGACCCTTCCGCGAGAGGCTTGGCGGTGAGCGTGCGGCTTGCCGCGGACAACTCGCCAAGTTGGACGAGAGACTCGGCCCGGTGCGCACGGGCGGTTTCTAAGTCAAGATGGTACGGATGAATAGGGGAGCGAAGCGAGGAAACAAGATATGAAAGTTGGATGTGGGACGTACACAAGCCATCTAAAGACTCGGCCCCAGATCAACCATTAACAGGACCAAAAGACTGATGATGACCGCAGGACGGATGATTTGGTTTTCTCTTCTTTTTTTCCCGCGTTTTTTTTTTTTTTTTTCTTTTCTCCCTTTTCCGCCCGCAGTGACGGATGAATTAGGGAAAAGGTTGTACGTTAGTTTCCTGTGTCACGAAGCTAAAGACCATGCAACATTTTATTCCTACAAAAAAATGTGTTCGCAAGGAAATAATATAATATGCTCCGCAGGGCGCCGCCGCCGACGCGCGCTGAGCCTTCAGAGCCTGGAAGTTGGATTCATGGCTGGCAGAAGCCGGCAACTACAAGTCCTATCGCGAGCGCCTCCTTTGCAGCTTGTCGCCGAGTTCCCGAGCTCTGCTGCGCTCCTATGCCGGGCGCGCATGCCGGCGAGTGGTTGCGAGCCATCCCCACGAGGGCACACAGCTCCTGCCGATGGATATGCAAGTTGCTCTCCGGCGACGCCTTCGCTTGCCGCTACCCTTGGCGTCAACCCGTTGCGGTGGACATGGCGAGCCAGGCTGCCGAGCCGTGGGGGACCAATTGGGCGACCATCGCGCCGCCTGCGCTCGGAGTAGGCTGCTGGCCAAGCGTGCTCCCACTCGAGCGAGCATGGGTTCGCGTCGCACAAGAAGCCGTCGCTGCCGAAGGGCGGGTGGTCCCCCAACAATGGCTGGCGCGGACCACTGCGCCGGGCGTAGCCCCAGATTACCGGCGCCGACTCGACCTCGTCATATATGGCGCGTCTTGGCGCGCGCGCGCGCTGCGCGCGGCTGTCTGCGCGAGGTGGGAGGGCCGGTGGTGGGGGCAGCTCGGATGCACGTTGCAGCGCGCCTTGGCCTCGACGCTGTTGGGCGGTTGCTGGCGAGCGCCGGCGCAGCCTACCGGCGACCAGCACACACCGCTCGGGTGCGTCCTGGAGCTCGCCGAGGATGAGCAACCCTCCAGGTTGCCTTAGCGTGCGTGATGCGCATGAGCGTGCTGCGATCGCAGAAGAGAAAAACAAGGTCAAACAAGGAACCCAAAAACAATCCGAAGGACACCAGTGCCGGAGTGGGGGACGGGCAGACGACTCACGCCAAGCGCGGCTGGCTGCGAAGGACCTGGCAGCTGCAAAGGAGAGGATTGCTGACCATCGGAGTATATCGGAGTGCGAAGGTAGACGTGCTGGCCGCGTGGGATGGCGGGGGCGCAGCCCGGGCACGGCAGCGGGCGAGCAGGCGGATGAAAGATGCTGCCTCGGCGCTCCACCGACTGCCGACTTCAATGCCGAGAACGACAAGGTGGCCACGCCGCGAGCCGACCAGCTCAGGGTACGTCCGCTCTTTGCTTCGGCGGGCGGCACGGAGCGCCCCTGAGGCGCCGAGGCTCAGCTGAAGATGTGAGGGGGGAGACGAGCGTGGTATCGACAGCGACCTGCGCCCCGTACCAAAGCGGGAGGCCGTTGGCGATGACTACGATACGACGCTCGTCACGCAGGCACTGGCAATGACTTCGATACGACGCTCGTCACACCGAGCAGGCACAACGATGCACCACGTTGAGATCATGGACCAGCGCGTGCTGCCCACACTGTTGCCCCGGCCTCTCGACAAACGCGGGCTGCCCCGCGCTCGAGCGCAACGCCGCGGGAGCGGAAGGATGCCGGACCAAGGGCATGCTGCGACGTATCCCCACGGTCATCTAGATGCCGGCGAAGGCAGCTGCAGCTAGCGGAAGCGGCTGGGCGCCATTGCTCACTCAGCAAAGCCGAACCACGCTTGGGTCCCACTTGTCGCTCTCTAACAACAATGTCTTAGCACTCGGAAGCACACGCGGAAGGAGGCGGTGCCCAAAAGATTGGCGGCGGATAGAAGCCTTTTTCTTTGAGGTCTCGTTGATCCAAGAATATCCAAGATATGCGCAGATGATTGGTGCGAGGTCTGCTCCCAGTCACTGTCGGTAGAGAATATACCACGAAGATACGAGGTGAAATGCTCCATTGATGGTACTTCTTCAGGGGAAGTACGAAGAAGTGATTCCAATCGTGTAAAATCACGACCCGACGATAAAATGTTCGTCATCTTGTCATTCAATTTGCGTCGCTGGCGTGCTCGAAGGCGTTCAGCAACAGTTTTGCAGTCACGACGACGTCGGAGAAGAAGTTGAAAATTCTCATTCGTCCATGGCTCTTCGAGGTCAGGAGCACGACATGAAGAAGGGGCATTGACTTCCATTGCGGATGCGACAACCGCTTTCGCTTTCGCTTTCGCCCGTTCGGGTCCACGTGAAACATTACAAGCACGTCTTCCAAATCGAGAATATTGTCTGGCTGTTTTTGTTGAAGTTTATCTCGAAGAGTTGCATGGTAAGAACTCGGATTGTCCGGGAGCCAGCCTCGTAATCCACATGGTTTTTTGCGTGGTCTTTTTGTGATCGGTGGCACTTGAACTCTACGACGTACGGCTCTATAATCGGAGCCCACGTCAAGACTTGTCGTAGGCGCCGCGTCTGAAGAATTAATGTGCAGCATGTCAAAACAGGTTTCGGCCATTGGCAACCGTATTATACAACGATTCATTGCTTGTTATTGCCGGGTACCCGCATGCTGATTTTTGCGATGTATATGAACAGTTGCGACTTATCCTTGCCGAAACACGTCAAATGCGTTACAAAGTTGTTCTTGGTGGAGAAATCAACACACAGCAACATGTGGGACTGCGAGGAGACTCTTTTGCAGACTTGATAATGAATTTTCATTGGTGCTCGCGAATCGCGCGCAATCGCGCACAGCACGATGATTCATGGACGTTTTGTAGTTCCAGCATGCAATAGAACAGCAACGCCTGCTGAACCTGCATGCTGTTACGTGGTATGTAAACGATGACCGTCTTGTAATTTGCAATCCCCATGTGCGCGGCGTGTTTCACTGAATAACACCACATCCCAATCGCACGTTGATAATTCACTCAGCATCTCCGCAAGCCTGTTTGACGTGTGTACACAAGCATTCTTGGAAAAAAACCATAAATGTGTGTGTGCCTGACTTGCGTCAATAGTCGGTTTATCCACTTTGAAAACTGTGTGGCCTGAAGTGCGTGACTGTGTTGGTGAAACTGTTAGACCCGAACGGAGCTGTCCCTATGAAGTGGCCTCGGCCATTCGAGCGGACGGCTGCCGCGGCGTACTGGGCAGCATGGATGGATGCGCTCCCTGTCCTCCGTTCCCGCTTGCCCGGCGCCGCGGACCGCTGCTTGGCAGCTCTGGAGCAGGGCGCGGGAGGCACGATTCCCTGCTTGCGCGAGGCAGCGGCAATGCGCGACCTGTTGCAAGCGGAAGGCTGGGAAGCATGCCCCAGTTGGCAAGCAGCCTACAACAGCGCCCGGCCGCAACAGCCCCGTGATGCAGGCCCGGCGAACTGGCCGCATGGCTGGTAGTTCCACGCGACGCGGACACGAAACCTCTATTATCGCGATTGCGTGCTGCTGCCGGCTTGCAGCCTCGAGCGAAGCAGCGCTTACTCTCGCTCCGCAGGCCATGCAGCTCGCGTTGCGGCACTGCCCTTGCCGCCCCAATCGTTGCGGCCCACACCCTGGTTGCAGCCAACAGGTCGACCAGTATGGGGACCACGCCCTGGCCTGCCCCCGCATGGGGTTGTTGGCACGACGCGCGAAGACCGTCGAGCGAGCCTGGGTGTGCGTAGCCCGCGAGGCGGTCGGACCCGAGGGGTGCACACTACTGCACCGGGAGCGCCGACCGATGACCGAAGACGGCTCGACCTAGTCGTCTATGGCGCCACATGCGGGGGATGCGTTGTGCTGCGATGCCACCCTCGTCTCCCCACTCGCGCGGACAGGGCATGCCCAGCCGGGCGCCGGCCGAACCGGTGAGTGTCATACACTGCATGGCATCGCCGTCCGAGCAATCACAAAATCCTTCGGATACCTCACCGCCGTCGCATCCCCCCGGCGAAGGTTGATCCGAGATGAGTTGCAAGCCTAACGACGCGCAGTGCGGGCACCCCTTGCAACATCAGCACCCGGTAACGCAGGGTGTCCTTCAGGAATGGAACGTCTATGGTCTGAACACAACTCCGCGCGGCAGTGCCGCCACAAGCCTCAACGCCGCAGTCTGCACGCTGCTTCGCCGCGCTGTCAACGACAGCGACCACACTCTTCCGCGGGCTCAGGAGGCTGCATGCAGCAGTCCCGTTCCAGGCCAATGATCGCCGCAACGAAAGGTTCATTCACACCACATCACGAGCGAGTGAAGCAGAACGAAGAGAAAGCCGGGGAAATAGGGAGAGGGAACGAGCCAAGAAAAGTTGGTGGGCGGGTTCCGACCACGCTGGCGCCTGGCTCAGCAGCATGGGTGCGATCGGCAGGCCCATCAATGACACGCGGCCGCTGAGCGACCACACAAGGAGCAGCGTTTCCGGGATGATTGCAGGAAGGTATCAGAATCAGGCGATGGGCATGGAATGCACAGACAAAAACGCATCTCAGACTCGCCGGGCATGACCCGCCCCCCCATCACACGACTCATCCTCTCTTTGCAGTGCCTAATCATGTGTGTCCCTGTGGGTCCTGTGTGGTCTCGATCGCACATGCTTTGAAACGATTTGTTTCTTGCGTTGGATGGTTGATGCTGTTGCTGCTTGGCAGGATTGTTTCCAAATCTTCATGCAAAACAGGGCGCCTATTCATGCCCCTGGTGCTGCCCGCGCCGCTGACGCACGTGCCCTGCTGCTCAAGCATGCTGTTGCCCGTGTCCGCTGTGGGGCGGCCCGCGGGTTTTGCGCCACGTACAGCGGCGAGACGTTCGGCTGGGCCAAGCTGTAGCAACAATCGACAGACACCTATAGCGCACAATGGTGCTGCCTCGTCGTTGTCGGCGAAGTCGGTGGCAGTCCTGGCCACCATCCACCCTCTGGAATCAATGCGTGCGATGCGCACCGGCCAGGGGTTTCCGATTCTGGTCGCAGCGAAACGAGCGTACGCTGATAATTACTAGCTACTACATGCGTCGCCAACTGCTCAAGAGGACTGACTTAGGACCTGACTCGGCCAAGAGGCGTACGCAGCAAGGGGGCCCTGTGAGTTCATGGACCCTACGAAAATGCCGGCGATGGTCTACTGCATCAAATGGTGCGAAGCCATCGCGTGCATTGGTGCCGACGAAGCCCGTAGACTGGACCTGGAGAAGGTGGAAAGTAGCCCATATGATCCAGACATGCAAGCCTTCGGGATGATGCGGGAGATCTCGTGATGGTGCCGGCGTGTGTTGAAGCATGATGCACAAGATGGAGGCCGGATTTGAGCTGCGAGCCAACTGGAGAAAGGAGGCATCCAATGGCTGACGATGTCGGGAGTGAACCAGATGAATCTTTGACGGCGGTTGTCGAAGAAGCGGCAGCATTCCTGAGGATGTTGATGGCAGATGTCGCTGGCTTGCGCGGCGTGCCCATACGGATAGCATGCTACCAATTTATGGTTTTGGAGAACCGCACAGGTCCAGAAAAGGAACCGGCTCAAGGTTGGTCCTCCGCGGCGTTTTTAACGTTCAGGAAGTAGCTGCTATGATGCCCCACTGGATTCTCTGAAGGGCGGGAATACTCTGCAGGATTCTTGGTGGACTTCTCTGGGAGTGGGGTCACGGCGAGGGATTCTTGTGGCTTACATATAAGAATCTAGGAGCTCCACATTTGGATCTCTTGGCTAGGATTCTCAGACTTGACACAGGCAGCAGCCTTTTTTCTCATCACGCAGTGACGTACCCCCTGTCTGTAAACATGAGGCAAGCTGGCACAGCTCTTTGATTGTGCCGCGACGGAGCCTACGGCACAATCACGCTGTAATTAAAGTCCCGACAGCCCAAGCCCCCAGCACGTCCTAAATAAACCCGTCGTCTTTCACATGTGCGCACAATCATTTGCCAGGGCAACGGCTTCGTGACCACAGAGCCCGACAGCGCCCTAACTCTGAAGCCCTATCGGCATGCTCCGATCAGGCCCCGAGCAAGGCTTCGCTTCGTGGGGATCAAGCCACTGGGCTCCTTCGGCGTGAGAGCTGGAGACACGTTTTGTTAACCTGGACTTCAACACAACAAGAAAGCTAGAGTCCAAGAGGTGGGACCCCTAATGGCCAGACTACCAAAAAATCAGAAGACAACAAGAAAACAACAAGCATGAAATAGAAAATCAAGGAAAGCTAAAGCAGCTAAAGCAAGCAAAGACACAAAACTGTGAAGATCGAAAGGGTCTTTAGGAGATGGTGTTCCGATGTGTCCCGCCTGTCTTTCAGGGCCAGGAAGTGGCTGAGCGCGTTCTGTGACTGGCTTAGCTCTTCCTGTGTTGCTTCTGTAGCTTTGCGGAGCTTCGCCAACAGGGTGGGAGCCGCCTCAACACGCAGAAAGCGTTCTGCAAGGAAGTGAAGCAACACACTCAGCTCGAATCTGCACTCCGTACTTCCGAAATGCCCTACGATCTTCTGGATCGCACGCTTTTTTCAGCGACTGCTCTTGACTGGCTCTGGGCAGCCGGAACAGCGGCCACTGCAGCTTCAGAAACACCCAAAGGCAGCGTGGCTTCACTGCTGCCCTCCCACCGCATCTTTGTCGGACACCTCCGGCATCTCCAGAGCCGGGAGGTGAGGTGCTGTCCGAGGCCGCGTGCACAAGACGTAAACTCCAACACACCCCAGTGAAAGCAGTGCGCAAGCAAGGCCGGAAACGCCCTGATTCGACCCAGTGAGCCCAGCGCTCTGCATGCTGTGACCGCGTAAGGAGCGGATGATGAGCAGGCGCGCGCCACCCCCAAAGTTCGCGCGGGTCGTGAACTGTTTCACAGGAGTCTTGCAAGAATCGTGAGGACAAGGCACAGGCACTGTGGCAGCCTCGTGCGTGTGCCCTGTGAGAATGGCCACAAGTTGCTCCGCCTTGGCAGATTCCTGGACAGCCTCGATAAACTTCACGGTGCTTTGGCTGGCGTGTTTGGGCCACTTCAGGCGAGCCTCCACCTCCGCATTCTTGTCATTGCTGTCGCTCCAGAGTGGGTGGCCCATGACATCACTGGGCCCCCACGTCATGCCAGGGAAGTAGATGGGAATGTGCATCACAAGGATGAAGAGCTGCCCCATTCCAAGCATGTCCTGGAAGAACCTAAGCTGGTCCTCGTCGATCTGGTAGTTCGAGTTGTCGATGCCTTTGCTCGCGCAAACTACACACATCATGACAATCAACAGCAGTCTACTGTGGCCCCACATACTATAGCCTACAAACCGCTATTGCACGGCAGAGCTGCGAATCCTCAACCAAGTTGCACACAATGCGCAAGCCGGCAGGCAGGAGGGCAGAGCCGAATCGTGGGTCCGAGAAGTTGCGGTCAGGCAGTCCTCTAGGTAAACACAAAACCGCTCCTTCAGCCACTTAAGACTCCGAAATCTAGCTTGGGGGAATTCATGGGAATTCGGAGTCCTCGCCCACTCATCTGGTAGAATTTCAGTAGCGGCCCCAGCTCGTTGGGCCTCTCTTGAGAGTCGAAGCTCTTCTCCCAGTCATGGAGCTTCTCCAGATGCCAGTCGTGATTGCCAGCCGTGTAGACAAAAGGCACACGCAACCTCAGAAAAACAAGCTTTTCTCACGCGCCCCCCCCCCCCCCCCCCGTTACAAGTCATCCCTTGCTACCTTGCTCACCCCCCCCGCTTCAAGTACCAAGATCGCTTCACAAATGGCCGCAGATGCTAATTTTTTTACAAGGAGCTTCTGCAGCTCCACGACGATGTCATCTACAGAGGACCTTGTTGGGGGCCCCTGGTCTCGTCAAATGTGGGTCTTCCAAAGAGGTAAAATCAGCAACAGGGGCTACGCTCGGAATAGAAGTCTACGTGAGCCACGCTTCGCACTCGCGGTGCATCCTCATTGTTCTCTGGAAAATCTTCTCATACTACCAAGGCATGCTTTGGGGCGTGCTGAAGCAGATCTGCTCACAGTGTGCAACCGTATCCTTGCACGGAACAGGAACTGTGTCTCGTGGGGCGTACATAACCCACACTGCTCAGCAAGTTGAACTTCAGCACATCCAAGTACTTCCCTCCAAAGTCCCTAGTATTCTGATTCTCGGCCGAGCGTAAAGTTCGTAGACGCCTCGTCGCGGAATCGCGAAGAGTCACAGCCAAGGATCTGGGAGGGAAAGTTGACCAAGTCTCCCCCAAGCGCCACGAGGTCCACAGGGATCCTCAGAAAGCGAGGCAGGCAAGGAGAGACCAAGAGAGGGAGCGAGAGAGAGAGAGAGACAGCGAGATTGAAAAAAAAAGAAAACAAAATTCAAGAATTAAAGACCAAAACAAGAGCAGAGAGAAGAGAAAACAATGCCTCTTCTTTTCCGACTGTTGATATTGCCGTAAAGCAATGTGTGCTCTATAGGTCTATAGGGCTTGTGTGTTTCCTATCCGACCTATCCGACATCCTCAGAGCAGCGCCTCTGGCCCCATTTGTCCTATGCCCCGAATGAGCTGTGGGGCTCAAGCGCGCGCTTTCCAAACTACTAACCCTTTTTGATCCCAAAACATGACCCAAACATCCCGAAACTTGGAGGCGTGAAGACGCAATGTGCTGATCGAGCGGCGACTCGGCAAATTTGAGGGCCTGCCGCAGCTCGAAACCTGGGACTTGGGGGGGGGGGGGGGGTTGGACTCCGAGGCTTCCGCCCAACGCTACGGAACTCTTGGAACATGGTCTGGAGTGAGCTCGAGCACGAGTGCAGTTATCCTCTAGAGCACATTTTTTTCAAAAACTCCGACTAACTCCAACCACTCTCTGCATGGAGGTAACCGGTGCTGGTCGGGCTTCGAGTGTCGAATCGCTGAGGTGCGACGAAAGCCCTGTGACGAGGCAAGGCGTGTAGTGTCGTTTTTTGCGCCTGTCATTATTGTGACTTTTGTTATCATTGTTATTGTTGCTATAATTGTTATTATTGTTATGATTGTCATCATTTTGATCATGGTTAGTAAATTGGTAGTATTTCATCGATATTATTCTTCGGCATTGTGCAGCCGGAATGTTGTAATACTGTAGGGTTATACTGTCGGTTTCCTGTGCATTCGATCGGACCATGGGCTGGCATCAGACTCGCGCGAGAAGTGGGTGTCGGGAACATGCAGAATCCTCAGCTGGGGCCCAGCAAAGCTGGCACTGAGCTACAGTGAAGCAGACGCCAGCAAGAAATTGCGCCAAGCATCTTAAACAGAGCATCAGGCTGCCGAAACACTGAGACCTCAGAAGAAGACAACTGAATGAGGCAGCACCCCACTCCACGACTCAGCAGCTGCCCCACCTAAAAATAGCGGACGTTTTTCTAAAGAAGCGGAGCATGTGACTGTACGGCCCAAGTCAATCAACTCCACATCGTAGAGCTCATGAGACCATGTCTCTTGGCCGCTGCCACAGGCCAGAACAGCAAAGCCCAGAGCGAGCATCGACCAAAGCCATGGCGGTTCAATGACTCAAGCTCCACTGCAGGCCGAGCTGCTGAGAGCCACTCCCGGAAGGATGCTTCAACCCCCCCTTCGACTCCCTCTATGGCCCTAAGTTACACAGAAAGCCCTGCTAACCCAAATGGACGCTTCTCGTTCACCTCGCCTTGATGTCCTTCTCAATGTCCGCCTTGCTGCTGAGCACAGCCTGCAGCGCGTCCTCGAATGCAGAGCACGGCAGGATGCCCCCAGCAGGTCTTGTCATCCCCTCCCCCTCATATTAAACCCCCCCCTACCCCCTAATATTAAAAACCCCCAGTATACTATAACAAAACTATAATACGGGGTGTATTGAATATCAAGGGGTAGAGGGGGCTACCTTGACAAATATACGCGGCCAGTCCTCTGCCGCCCCTGCGTCAGCCTAAGCCGGCGATCAGCCGAGTCAGGATTTCTTTTGAAAACTTTGGCAACTTTTGGCTGGTCCAAAGCTACACTCCATCATTCAGGTAAAAAGTCACGCTCAATCACCCTCTCAGGATCCCTAAAGTTTCTGCCAAAATCTAGGAACCAGCAGCGCAAAGCAGACCAACCCCTAGAATCCCTAGAGCACGCACTGGTGCGCTGTAACAGCCGCTCCTGTTCGTACAGAGCATGTGAGGCTAAGAGGAGGACCTTGGCTGCCTGAAGCTTGTCTTCAGCAGCCGAGAGCGCCTGATTCGCAGCCCAGAGCTGCAACGTGCTGCACTTGTTCATGCCTTCTTCGAAAGAATGATCGAAGACGCAAGGCAAGGCCCCGAATGATAAAAAAACTGCGGAGACTTTCAGGGACCGCAACGATTTAATGACGCTACAATTCACGACAACCAGACCAACCCCGATACCTCACACTCAGAAAGAAGTGGACCGACAAGGACTCCCGAAGATCGACAGCCTCTTTGGCTGCCGCCACGGCCTGCAAACGCGCGCTGGCCTCCCCGTGACACTGACTCCCATCACTGCAGACTGACGCAAGTGGTCTTGTCCACGCATTGTTTTGAGCATCCGCGCTGGCCCTCATTCAGAGCAGTTGCTCATGAAGCCACGCCTCCTGCTCAAAGTTGTCAATTTTGGCCTGAAGATTCTGCAGGCGCGTGGATATCGCCACCTTGCAAAGGCAAAGCATGGACGTCGAAAACCCGCGGAATTGTCCAGCTTGCGGTAGCTCCACTTTGCAAGAGATCTACAAGGATCTGGAACCCAATATTCGGATCTCTGGCCTGCAAACCGAAGCAGTAGCTCCTCCCTTGCCCAAGTCAACCCAGAAGCTATCCCCAAATCGCCGAACCTGAAGCACCCTCGACCCTAAGAAGACCCAACCCCCGAGCATCCAAAAGACACCTCATGAGTGAGCTCTCTTCGGCGCCTCAGCGAACTCCACTGCTGCCAGGCTGAACCTGCACTCTCGACCCTAGAAAAGCATCCTTGGAGGACTTCGGGGTTCCTGGAGAGTTTACGCCACCCTGCAACATCCGCAAGTTGCGAACTGCAGCCAAAGCTTCGACAGCCAGCGAAAGCACTCAAAATATTCAAAGAACCGTCAGAAGGCACTTCAAAGACAAGTTAAGCTTGTGTGTGTGTGGGGGCCTTGGCACGGTCTTCTCAACTCCGGGAACAGAGCGTTCGCCGTGGCTCATTTGGTTTCACCATGTTTCGCCCATCGAGAGACTTCGAGAAGACCCTCGAACACACAACAATGAAGACAGTTAAGGCAATCTCACGATAAGGGGATCCATTCTCCTAAATACGTAGACAGCTGCTCTATGCTGCTCTATGCTGCTCTATGCTGCTCTACGCTGCTCTATGCTGCTCTCTGTGAGCAAGAGCCCCCCGGCGCCTCTTGCGATCAGCGGGCTTCGTCTTCAAGGCTGTGGGGAGAGCTGCCTGCCGCACGTCACAGCTCCGCAGCTCCAAGTGAAGTTGCGAACATGCTGCTAGCACAGGACAAAGGCGGACCCGTGAAGATGCTACAGGCCTTTAGACTGGCATCCAGACCGAAGCCGTCGAGCATCTGCAAGGGTGCGTCACTGACGTAGCTCGATTCATGCCAATCTTGCGAAAACATACGCAGTGTGAAATCACTAACTGAGTGAAGCCATGAGTTTCTACTGGTAGCACACACCGAATCAAAGCAACCTCCATCCACGCCTTGATGGTCTCCTCGATCGCTTTGTTTCGCTCACGCCACCTGAGCCACCGAGTGCGTACGCCCAAAAACTCCTGCGGACGGTCGCGCGCTTTTGAAGGAACGAGAAAGGGAGTCCAGGCCCACTGCTCCGAGCCAGGGAAGGAGCCTGTCTTCACAGCTTCCCACGTCGTCGTTCGGAACTGGACAGGCACAACAAGCAGCGGCCAAAATAGGGATTACGGACCCTTGCCAATGTCGGGCCGCCTTCTCAGATTCTTCTCGGTCTTTCAGAACCGCCTCCTTTTCCGCGCCCAGGTTTTGCTCACTCTCCTGTGGGAAGATGAGACTCAGACAGAGCCATTTGTTTACTGCAGAGAACTCTTGCCATGCAAATTCATTCGGGACTCTGCTGTTGCCACGGGTACCACACGGGCTCCTGTGCAATTTGCAGGGCCTGCGTTGCTTCTACAACGGCCGCCTTGCTGCAGGTGGCTCAGCGTGGATTCAACACATCTCGAAGATGTCCACTTCTGACTAAGTCCAGCACTTGGGAGTTGGCCTGGGTTTCATCCTGGCTGACAGTCTCGCATATTTGCGGTCAGAGTTTGGGCACTGGTGAACATTTGAAGATGCCCATTGAGCGGCCTTCGTTGCCTTGTCTTCCTCGCACGCCTTCGCCTGGTTTTCAGGATGACAAGCAGAACAAGCGAAGCACGACCACGTCCGCAAGCGTGGCACCTTCTCCTCTGTGCTTTGCAGCTCTGCTGTCGCAGTCCCCTGCACAGTGCAATCACCAAGAAAAGCACGCTTGTCCATTGGCAGGTCGCCTGCTTGGCTTCGGCATCAGCAAGGGCGCTCTGGGAAGCGGCCACTTCACGCACGCAAGACTCCTGACCGAAAAGTGGCAGCGTCACGGCATGTCATGGGGTGTCAATGCCCATCACGGAAGCAGAACATCTACAGCAGAGCGCCAGCATCAACGACTATTTGCATACGACTTGTCGAGCGGCAACAATATGAATTGTTTAGGGTTTGTCAGGGGGTCAAAGGTTTTGGGGAGCCTCGATTTGCTTCAGAGTCGTCTCCACAGTCTCAACCATCGACTTCTGGTAGTCGTGACGATCCCCTTGACCCAAACAGTATGGCACCACTGCCTGGCAAGGCTGCCAAAATGACAACAAGCAGCGCGGCAATACTCTGCTAACCCATTGCAGCCTAGACAGTGTTCAGACATTGCCTGCAGCATGTCGACAGTTGAAGCACCGACGATGCCACGAGCCTTGGACCAGCGAGTTCTGAAGGTCATAAGGGCCGCACAGAACGCAGGGATGCAGGCCATCTTCAAGTACGAGTTCGGTGTTGATCTTAGAGTCTTAGATGCTATTGAGAACGCTTGGCAGCTGCCACTACATAGCAAACAAAAAAAGGCCCTTTACATGCGCGGCGCGCCGAATGGACTCGAAGATCTCCCACTACCAAAAGTGAAACGTTTCAACAAAACTCCCTGTAATTACTGTAGTAATGCAAGCTGCAAGACTGAGAACAGCCCTCAGTGTGCAAAGCTTGGCAAGAGCAAGATACAGCAATACTACACATTGACATGGCGAAAGCGCCCCCGTGCCTTGTTGAGCTGACCCAGCACGCATTCAAAGTCCTTCTCCATAGGGTCAACGATCTTGGGCGCTTTGGCCTCATTCATGGGCAAGGACCCTTGTTAAAATTGTGTTAGCCAACATTGCTAGCTCGAACCTCCTGACAGGGTATCAGTTCAGGCATACTCAGGCGTCCAGAGCTCCAACCTTCAGAATCCTTGACGGTTGTCACAAAATCAAAGCTCCTTCACCAACAGCCCAGTTTCGGGATGAAGGATTTTGGGCTTAAGGGGGGATACCACTGAAGTTACCCGCACACATCGCGGCCTGCTGGGTGCTCTCTGCCTGCTGCGCACGCTTGACCTTGCTTGGAGTGTCTTGGGAAGCTACAGGTAGGGTTAAGATTTAGGGCCTTAAGCTGACGTAGGGTTCTACGTACAGCACCTACGATTACAAAAGCAGCGGAATGCCCTACTCATGACTGAAAACCTTGCAAGTGAGCACCCATGATCTTGGAAGCAGCTGCACAAACGAGGCCTACCGCGATCTCCTAACGTCGACGAAGCATCATGACGATTTCTGTCATCGACATGTCGACAGATCTCCAGATACAATGCCATGCTGAGACTTTAGGAACGGAGGCGGGGAAGAAGAGCTGTGGCTCGGACCATGGCTGGAGAAGGCTCGCACAAGGCTCGAAACTACACGACCCTGACAACTTGAAGCTTTCCAGAGCGCTGACAGCAGCACACTGGGGTGAATCATGTGAAGTCCAGGCCCCAGAAATCACAAAACTGTGCCACAGCTTTGAGGGGGCGAAGAGGCACCTTTTCTGAGACGTGGGCTTCGCAGCCAGGGAACCTAGCCCTCGCAGTCAACCGATCCAGTCCCCCGGGTTACACAACCTCAGATTAATTTATTCGCATGCAGGAAACAGCCCACGCTCACTTCTTTAGCAGGTCGTCGATCACCGAGTACCTGCCGGCATCCATCACTCGAAGCTAGATGGAGGCTGTATGCTGATTCAGAGTTGTTGGAGTCTGGTAAGAGCCGAACAAGAAAACGCCGCCGATGCCAATGGTGCAGCCTATAAGCCTTGCTGCAAATCTACTACAAGGAACTGCGGCTGCACGAGCAGAACCCCATCATCAACAGAAGCTTCGAGCAACTGCCAACGCAACGCAGTGGTGCTCTTGGGCCACAGCTTCAAAGGGGAGAGGCTCTCGTGCATCACAAGCGCTACACCGACGATGACGATCACGCGCTTTGCCTGGGAACTTAAGTCAGCTTGTTACTTGAGCCTAAGAAAGCGAAGCATAATTTGGACGACATTGTCATGAATACATGACTCGGCCATGAACAGGCTAGGAGGCGTTAACCAGCAGCCCTTGTCTGACAAAGCTGCAGCTGGTCATCGCCACAGCGTCGGGTCAAAAATTGGGTTGTAAGACTGTCTGCAGCTTGGAGGCAGTGTTCGCCACTGATGATGTCACCGCATTTGTCTTCTTGATGGTGAAGGTCGCTAGCCTAGGGACAACAAGGCAGGAGCTCGAACGCGGCACTTCTTTTGGCAGCTGTCGCCCTATCTGAGAGCACCACTCGTTGTAGGCATAGAACCAAAGACCAGAGTATATCAGGTTCAGCAAAACCTCCGTGCAATCAAGACTTTCCACAGCTGGCAGGGCGATGAAGCCACGAGGATTCATGATTTCTTGGGCCTGTAACTGGGGTCGGCGATGTGTAAGTGAGAGATGCTTACTGAAAGTTTCTCGGCTTTCTTGATGAGTCAGTGAGAGCGGAAGCAGATCGCCCTGGGGTCCGCGCCACGTTGTTGCTCGACGCCAGTTTCAAAAAGGTTCCGAACTTCCTCCCCTGAGGCACAGTCGCGGAGAGGCAAGAAGAGGTGCCTCTGTGTTGTAAGTCTACGTCTACATACAGTACCGATGTCTGACATCTTACAAAAGGATACAGAGACACAGTGAGAGCAACAAGCACACTGGCACGTCGGACAGAGCAGGAGATAGACTCTCTGATGTGGAGTAGATTTCTCGGTGCCTCCGTGATGGCACAGAGGATCACGCAGAAGATGAAGGAATTAATCATCGTAATTGCAAACCTCAGGCTCAAGGTCAGGAATGCTTGCAACGCCAGACACTCAAGTGCTGAAAGCAACCCCGACAAGCTCGGCACTGGTTTCCAACACCACCCATCCGGTCCTGCAGATCTACAAGGCTTCGAGGTCTTGGGTTTCTGTCCCATGAACCCGTCCGCCTCGCCTGCCCTGAACCCTCAATCCGAAATGGGGGTTTCCGAAGTTAGGGTTGCCTTGTCGGGGTCCTTATTACAAGGGAATCCTACTTCTTGGGGTCTATATTAGGGCCCCTGATTTTCGTGAATCCCCAAATCGACCTTAGGCCCTTCCCGCAAGGCATAAGGCCTAACACGAATCCCACAAGGAACACCCAGAACCACCAGGGGGCGTGGCCGAAAATGTATTGCAATTCACTGGGAACGGACACCGTGGCAGCTGCACAGAAGCCGCAACGTAACACGGTTGCCTTGAGCCCCGGCGTGCCCATCAACTTCTTGTTCTCATTCCCCTGCCAGGCCAAGGCGTCAGCTTTATCATTTTGGAATTTAAGCAGCTGCTGCACGGGGGTTGTAAGCATGCAATCTCATGCAATCTAGCACAAGGACCTGGGCTTTGGGACTTGGGGATTCGGGTGGTTGTATGCTAGCAGTGCTTCGAGGGTGAGGCTGCGAGGACACTTTCGGATTGACTTCGGAGACCCGGAGTTCCAAGGAAGAGCTACCGAGAAGATGCTGCGACCTCATGCCAAGGCATGGTGCTGAAAACAGCTTGTGTCCTTTGCAGTAAGTTGAGGGATCCTAAAGGAAGCTGCTGGCCAGACAACCCTTTTGTGTGCCTCCACAGAGACGACCTCAGCACCATATGCTTTAAGCCACACCCCCCCCCTTCCCAAATCTTCCCAAGCGCCCCCCGAGCCCCGAGCGGTACCCCCCGGATCCTCCAGCCTTGAAGGCCGCGAAGACGTTGGCCATCGCCGCCGTGATCAGGGCGGCCCAGGCAAAGTCCAGCTCCGCGAGCGAGGCTAGGACCTCGACAACGAGCTGATGTTCAATGCGGGGGTGGACCTTAAGTTCTATTCGGGCACTGTGCTGGTGAGAAGGATGGAAGGAAGACAAGGATACCTGAACACGCTACGATGGAGACACCAACAAGAGCCCTAAGTTTCCAACCCCTTATTTCCGGTAAAGCAGGCTCCGGACACTGCACTCTCACAAACAAAAACCAGAGTTGGGCCCTTCGGTGTTGGGCAGCGGGGGAGCTTCGCGAATGCTTTTCTTTGAGGACTGGGATCCCGACCACACCACCGATGACGGGAATCAGGCAGAGCCACTTTCCAACACTCACCTTCCTGCCATCTGTCTTCATGGGTCCGAAACCGTGCAAGGCGACAGCAACAGCATCAGCAACGGTGCTGCCCCTTCACCTTGTCACTGCGTCTACAACTACATGCCCCAATCACATGCCTTAAGTTGCTTCTATTCCAATCTGTTCCAAGATGCTGCTATTCCAATCTGTTCCAGCTTGTACTGTGTTCACCCTGCAACGTGAATGATTGCAATGTCCACGGAATGGGGCAGCCTTCACATTCACCTGTCAATGAGATAAGCACTCAAGCAGCTCTGACTTTCTGACTGGTCTCCAGTACAAGTTGGAACGGGGGAAGAAAGAAAGAGATAGAGAGAGAGGGAGAGAGAGAGAGATACTAGAAAGAGAGCGATGACAACTTGCAGTCATTAACCTTTAGCAAACGTGTCTCACTAATTCTAGGAGATCGGGCGCGAACCCCGTCACCCCACGTGCCCACCCAATACAACAGATATACGAGGCGACGGAGTGCCCTCCGATGTGATATTTCGAACTCGGTCGCAGATTCCTCACTCCCAAAACCCTGCCCGAGTGCCGAATCTCAGCAGGGCCCACGATGAGTAGAAGAGGGTGCCGATCAGTGCTGCGAAGGCCGGCTCCGCAGCCTCGACAGGCTGCAGAGAACCACGAAAGCCATTGAAAAGTGTTGGGCACGGACGATCAAGAGGGGTTGCAAATGTTGCCAATATGATTCTCAGAACTTACAACGTGAGCTAGTTTTATAAAAAGTCTAAAGCTAGACTGGCATGTATCCAGAACCCCCACAACACCATTGCCTCATGCGGTTCTGCTTAGACCTAGAGAGAAAAAGGCTGCAATGCAGAATGTGCTGTGTGCTCCCGTTGTCCTCAACGTGCTCTGAAGCTTTGCATGCACAAATGAAGTAGCTATCTGCAGATTGAGAGCACTCTCGAACACTTGAAATCTGTCTACATAGCAGGTCCAGCACATCCAGAGAGAAAGGGAGAGAGAAGCGCAGAAGAAAACATGCAGCCAAGGTGTCCTCCATCACATCCCTACACGAGCACACGGGCCTTCACAATCTGACCAAACGACACAGCTCCAGCGCTGAGAGCAAAAACCGACGCTGCGTGGGCACCTTGGGCTTGAGGAAGAGCGCATGCGGCAAAACGAACCGAGGAGCTCTGCGTACTATGCGTACCATGTGGTATGATTCGTGTGGGTTCATGGCAGAAGGGGCCATGGGTGTTGAGGACCGCTTTAACTTTAAGTGGTGCGACACGAAGCTCCAAACCTGAAGACAAGGCCACACGACAATTGCGCCCATCTCGGCAACAAAAACAGGAAGCGCCTGCGCTCGTCGCACGCATCACATTCCGGTCCAACAATGCAAACACAAACCCCCCAAGGCCCCAGTTCTGTTGACCGTTGGTCAGAACGCTGAGGGCAGAACCTGCAGATGTAAGTCCAACAAGCAGGGTCTTAGTGTAGTCCCTGGCGCAGCAGAAGTTTAGGCGCTTCTAACAACAAGGCCCATGGTCTTCACATCACGCGCAAACCATTTGAACATGTTAAACCCCCACACGCAACACCCCTTCCTCCCTCCGAAGTGCGCCGGTGTGGCTCCGCAGTGATCTCGGGCAGCTTTCGCGTGTCCGGGTAGCCCCACAGCAGAAGCGCCCAGAGGCAGCCCACACCAAGCTGCAGGAGCCGAGGACAGGCAGGAGACAACATGGGAGACATGGGAAAAAACCCTGACGGGCAACAACCAAAAAGGAGTGTATGAACATGTACGAACAGGGCGCGGGGCTGGGCTACTCAGCGAGGCCTGCAGCGTCGCGATCGTCATTGGAAAGCCCTTGGCGCCTCCGGCCGCCTTCAGGGCCAGCCTCAGCCCAACGTGGACTCCCATACGCGGACGCTTGGCACGCGTCACTTTGCTCGGCTCGGGGCTTGTTCGTGATGTTATAGTAGTAGTTGCCCAGGTACCACATGGCAAAGTAGGCCAACAGTACCCAGTCGACTTTCTTCTTGGCCTTGTCGCCACGGGCTCCAGCCAAGAGTTCCCCCAAAAACTATCAGCACACGTGCTGGCTTGCTGTGAGGCAACATTCTCAAGCTACCCGATGCAATGCCCCCACGACGATCAATTTGATGAAGCAAGACCATCACCTTGCGCGAGTCATCACAGCCTGCCTCGCCGGCTGGTTCAGCAGCCTTTTGGCAGACCGACATTGGGTGAAGCTTTGTGACAATTTGGTCAAGTAGTCCTGGTTTTGTGCGGGCTAACAGCCAGCGCTTTCCACACTGCAGATCACTAAATGGATGGTTCAGAGCTTTAGAGACCAACCTGAAAAGGTTGCAACAGCCAACGCAATGCTCGGGAACACAAGCGAATTACAGAGATCTCACGCACAAAGACCCTTTCAGCCCGGAAGAAAGCTAGACATTGGATGCACCGTTGGAACGGAAGCACATGTCCGGCCTGTGCAAGCTAGCAAACAAAGGCAAAGAAAGAAACCCCTTCAAGGAGACTACAGTAAGGTGCACTGCAAACTCACAAAGCAAACCCAGCTCTTCCCAACCAAGCAGCTACCAGAACTCGAACAAGGAAAGAATGTGGTCGGATGATAGTGTGCAGTGTGCCAAGCTCAACCCCGCAAGCAACAAGAAGACAACAAGCTTGCATGCTTAAACCGTCCTGCTGCGCACGCAGACCTAGAAAGACACCAAAGACACCCGTGCTTGACGATCCCCCTTTGCAGCGCGCGCCCACGCGCGCAGTGCCGATCGGACTGTAATGATGTGGGCTTGGAATGCAAGGACTTTGAAGACGTGGTCGCGTAGATTCGCAGAGCAAAGCTTGTGTGCCCTCAAGAGCCCTTGATTCCAAACTGCCTCTTCAGCTTTGAGAGGCGTTCGAAGTACAAGGCCTGGAGCACTGCCATGCTTTCAAGCGGATCTAGCAGCAACAGGGGATGTCCGAGGTTTCCACCGCGGCTTCCTCGCAAGGATGCGTAGCCAGAACCTGAAACGTCACAAAGAGCATGGGCACTTTGGGAGGACTCAAAGCCGGACTCCAATGTCAAACCCCTGGCGATGAAAGAAGACGGTGCTCTTGCATGGCTAAAGTCTTGCAAGCACCTGCGAGTGTTCTGCTCTGGGCATCGCTGATAGTTGGCTTTGGCACCACGAAGGCAGCCTGCCAAGACAATTGCAGCTCGTGCGGTTTAGGGTTTAGGGATTAGGGTTGGGGGTTAGGGTTTAGAATTTAGGGTTCAGGGATTAGGGTTTAGGGCTGGCAATCCATATCACTCTGAGACGCCTGGGACAGCAGGGTCACCACCCCAACGGCAACGCATGCCGTGCGCAGTGCCCAAGCCTGCAGCTTGCAAGCAAAGTACAGATCCATGGAAGTTTCAGTACCTTTCAGTACATTTCATAACAGTGCTTGGGCCAAGCTGCAGATCGCCGTGTGGCAGCCATCACCTAGGCAACAAGCGAACGCAGGTACAGGGGTCTTCTGAGACATCTCTCTCCAGACTGGCACAGGTGTCAGTGTTGCAAGTGCCGCATGTGTGTGTGTGTGACTACGACCGTACTCTCACGGAATGGAGAATGCCAAACAACTAGCGCAATAATGCGCGGAGAATGTCTGAAACATCCAGGTGACCTCAAGCGCCGGGAAACGGCCCACGTGAGCTACCAGCTTGGAACGCTCAGGAGCCCAGCAGTCCCGGGAAGTTGACTCAGGAAGAAAGACGCAAAGCAGCGCAAAATCAAGTACATTGAAAACCATGGCCATGGCCCAACAATCCAGGTGTTGAGTTGAGCTCGGAGGCTCTGGCTTTTGGCGGCAAGGCGTGCTGTCGACCCTCTTGCATGGCCTTCATGTGAGGTCGCAAGCAAGGAGTCCTTCACACAGACCGCCAGTTGCGCTGATCCAGTCTCGTCCGCAGCAAAGCATAGCAACCGGGCTCATATCTCTGTACATTAGGCTCTGTTGGCTCTGTAAAAGACAGCATCAGGTGGCTGTCAGCTTTCAGGGAAAAACCGGTTGCTTTACGTAGTAGTGAACATTGCCACTTCCAATATTTCGCTTGAGTCCCAGCTGCCTTGGAACAGTTGACTTGGCACCAAAGACAGAATCCAAAGCAAACAAACCATCACACGTGGCTTAAGTTTGGAACGCATGGCAGACTTGAAGTCTTGGCCCGGCCCGCAGTGTGACCTGTCCACCGGCGCAATGTCAGTGGGCGAAGCGACCCTGAAGCGGCAACCACACCCGCGCCTGAGGTACCACACGATGGCGATGGAAAGGCCGACGGTAATGATCTGATTTGAACACAAACTGCCAATTCGTGGGGTTAATGAGAACGAGCATCGGGGGCTCAGTTGATGTCGGAGCGAAGACACACACCCTTCCCTGAGATGCCCACTGGCAGGACAAAGTTCACCAAGAAGAAGGACAAAAGTCGAGCCTCCAAAGGGAAAAAGCAATAAGGGTGCCTGGACAACCTTCAGTCCCCATGAGAATGCCCTGAGGTCGCGGCGCAGTTGGTGGAGGTAAACTCCACTGCCGGCATCCTTCAAAGATCGAGGCCACCCAAAAGAAGCAAATCAGCAAAGAGATCACTTTCAGTACAGCACTTAAAGGAAACAAGACTGTGTCACCCTTTTGCAACGAAAGTTTAGACATGCCGTGGTCCTGCGCAGATTGTTCTTGACGCTGTTTGTTGTGAAGGCACTGGCGAGAGCACGTGGAATTTGAGCAACTCCCATCATACCCTTTCCCTTCGTTCAGGAACATCCGACCCTTGCATAGGAAGCCCTTCCCTTCGCTTCCCTGTCGTCCCTTAGTCCCCCCGAATTTTCCGTGAAGAGCAGCTGTGGGATCCTTGGACTCCTAGGGCGTGGAAAGCGTTTGTTCAAATCCCTAATTATTGCATGTGATTGCATGACATTGGCAGCCGCGATCAGCTGGGTGAAACTTCGCTCTTGTAAAGATGCCGGCTGGACTGGAACATAAAGGTCCCGATATCGCTGATGAACAACGCCTTAGAATTCGACCGGCGCTGGTAAATCTTCTGCTCAGCAGTGTAGCTAAACATCAGGAGGAAGATCGCTTGGGATCGCCCTTGAGATGCCTCCAGTTCCTCCCATCGGGCTTTGCTTAAGGAAAAGAATTTTGAGAGTTTACTTGTAAGACTCGGGAGTCGGTGGGAAAATGCCCAGACTCTGCGGAACGAGACCGCGCTACTGTGGGCATAGGATAGCGGCTTTAAGAAAGGTGGTCGGGATGCTATTGCGTGGCAGGCGATGTCATTTTCCCTACACCTGTAAACCTCGAAAGCTAAGGGTCTTCAGTTTCAGTGTGAAGATCATGCGGAAATAGGAGGTGGGGTAGAATGGCGAACGTGTTCCCATTCCTTCGAGTGCACAGTTTTTTGGACGCCCAGCAGCGCATGCATATTATTGGGATCCCTGATCACCGACGTGTGTCCCAAGGCTGCGCCTTCCATATGCTTGAAGCCAGCAATATTAAGGGAGGTGAAGGGCTCAATTCAGAGTCCAGAAAAGAACCGGCTCCTCGGGAGGCAAATGTCGACGCGCAAGGTCCACAGAGTTCACACAGCGCGGCCAAGTCGCAGCAACTGTGTCGATGACCATAGACTCCTGGTTGCTGGCTCACGCAGCTCCCAAGACGCCCTAAACCCATTGTATGCTGCACAGAATGCGAGCATCTGACAAAAGCAGAAACAAAAACGACAGTACTCGTCAACAATTCTAGCAGTCTAGTGAGTGCAGCATGTGTCAGAGCAACAATCGGCGTTGTTTTTGGCTCTGGAGCAGGTTGGGAAGGTTGGAAAAGGAAATTCCCGGTATCGCCGTGGTTTTAACCGGCCCTTCTTGTGCAGAAAGTCTTGAACCCTCCTCGTTGGAGCGTGCGATGAAGCCCGAGGCAACCTTCAGCAGGAGCAGGCAGAGGACAATGCGCGGCAAGGCGACCTTGTCTCAAGGGCCGAGGGTGCACCGCTACATACCAAGTTGGCTGTTGTAAACAGGCAAACCTTGCATGAACTTCGTCGTTCAATTCGCAGGTGTCTCAAGCAGCTTCCCAAGAGACTGAGCAGCCATTGAGGGTGCCGCAAAAACGATGCAAACCATCTTCCACAAGTAGGTCATGGACCTGTCAACTCATAAAGCCATCTTGAACTGGCATCCGAACACTGCCCCACCCAAACTTGAGGCTTGTGGCCTGAGCACTCCGCATGCCGAAAGTGGAGCATGCACAACTTTTTGCAACGAAGCCAGCGGCGCCCCAGTGACCAGATGTGGTCTTTCTGCTCGCAGCGGTAGAGTCGCGCAAGCTTAAAGAGTCGATCCTCGGGAGCATGTAGGTGAACATGATAGGGAACTGGATTTGGGGGGGAAGGGAGGGGGGAACAGGATGTGAACTTTTCCTTCGCACTCTTTGTAGATTGGTGATCTGGCACTATTCGCATGTGGGGACTTCGGATCATGTCGTCGAACCAAGAGCACCTTGCCCGCCGTCCCTACAGGATCCCAGTTATCATCACGTGTCTCTGTAACACAAAAGCAGGTTTTTTGGCGAATTCTCAACCTCCCCAGCTGAATGCTTTCCTGCACATCTCGATGCTGAGGTCCGGACTCTGAAGCCCGCAGATTGCTCACCTCGAATGTCAATCACGCATCTGATACTGACCCTTGTGGTAACTGGCGCTGCAACTTCTCATTCCTCTTCCGACTGGCTCGTTCTTCGGCCGTCGTATTGGCGACAAGTATTGTCTGATGCTGGATTGCTTTCTCAGCATGAACACCCAGCACACACCCCTTTCTGAAGCCCTTGTGTATGCGAAAGCTTGAAATACAATCATGCAATCATAGTCTTCCCCCACAGCCGGGAATCGAACATTCGCCATGCAGCACAGCCCCATGATTGCCCTCCTCGGCTGTGGCAGAAGAGGGGGCCACACGATGTGTGATCAGCTGCCTGAGATCCCTTTAAGTGCGGTTGTTTGACTGAAACGGCTTGGTCATAGACACTGGCTGAACTTAATCTGCCTCGAGTTGGACTTTGGCTTCCAGAAAGCCAAGGCCGCAGCGCAGCCGCCAACACCCACACGGGTGTACCTGAAAGGGGAGCCACGTCTTCTTTACCGTGCTCGCCATCATGGAAAATCTGAACATGAACCTTTCCATGACTACATATGCCAGCTGCATTTTTTCCATGAGTTACGCGATTGTTCTGACATGTCAGGCCTGGCCGGGCCGCTTCATGTTATCAAAACCAGCTTGAAAAAGCTTGCGCATCCTTGCCGTGGTCAGCGGTGGAAGTCGTGGAAACCAAAAAGTCTGTGGTGTTTGCCCATTGTCGTGGAAGGTTCGCTGGTTCGCTGGTGGTGGTGCTGGCAGCCTTCCGAACTTGCACCGTGAAGACAGACGATCTGTGTACAGCTGTCGGTGATACCAACGACTGCTTAACTTGTAGTGGAAGGTTGGTTCCCTGCCACTGAGTACTTTCCACTGTACTCTGTGACGACCTACAGTTACGTCTTCTTGGTGTACTTTTGACCTGAGCCTGCACATAAGGAGAGCAGCGACGGTGAGGAGTTTTGCAGGCAGCTTGCACTGCTTGCACCCCCACTTTCACGCCAAACGTCTCCAAAGCATCTCTCTGAGCTGATACAGTGAACTCCAAAAAGTTGGAACATCCTTATCCCCCTACCCCAATGGTATACTCAAGAGAATCCCAGCGCTCATCATGCTTAAACCATGTTCCAACTTTCTGGAGCTTACTGTAGGTCAAGCATGAAAAAAGTCGTCTACATTTTGTCCTTCCTGAGAGCCTCACCCATCGGACTCCTTCACCGGGCCTCGGGACGTGTCGACACGATGATTTAGAAAGCCACGCGAAGTTGCCCTGCGCTCTATGTCCCTGAGCTCGGCAAGCACAAGATTTGGCATCCGCGTGCAATCCTCACAGTCCCGGCGCTGAGGATTCTACACCTGATCAGGAGGTCCAGAAAGTCGGTGCAGTTCCGCAGTTCCTGCAAAGCTGTTGAAGGCAACCAGCCAAAACTGGAAGTGGCCTCTGAAACATTAATGTTGGCTGCACTCAGAGCAGATATGCTCCATTACAGTCCTTGAAGATGCTTGTGGCAAACACGAAGATACAGACCTGCAGCGACACTTCACACCAGCAATCTTGAGCAGACCACATCCTATTCACCAGGGCCATCCAGGGCCCCCAGCCAGTTGCAGATAAGCTTTGCGCGGTTCACACCTCATCCGCAAGTGTGGTGACGAAGACCAAGCTTGCGGCGCTGGAGATTTAAGTCTGGAGGCTTAGGACGGGGGACCAGGCACTCGAGAACCACGCAAGCCCAGGCAGAACCGTGAAAGTGCAAACTTCACAAATCCACCTCAAGTCCCAAATCTGGGGCGGACGCTGAGAACCTTCATTCTGCCTGGCAGGTTGTGCAAGACCGTGAGAGAAACCCATCAAAACTTCGCAAGTTTGATGACAAGCGAGAAGGTATGCAGCATTCTCCATTAATTCATGATTGGCAGGGTCTCGGGCCTGTTGATCTTGTGAATCCTGGTCACGTACATCAGTTGTATTCCAAAGTTCACCTCAGCTACAACGACGAAAGACAAAGCCGCAAAGCGGATTTGTTTTCGCTCATGCCTTGAGCTGAAGAATGCTGGCAAGAGACAGCAAGAAAGAAAACTGTGCGAGTCATCTCCAGAAAGAAGATCACGTAACCTGGGTAGGCACAGAAGAAAAAAGCCTTCAGCAGCAGCAGATTCGTCAAGCACAACACCAAGTCTGCGAAACTGAAACCACTTGAAACACTTATCGATGTCGTTCTGACACTTTGGGCCCATGCCATCGACCCGAACATTGAGCTGCAAAGGCTCCGCAACCTGTCTTGTTCGTCTTGCTGTGCCCTTGCTTGAAAGATGGTAGGACTGGGAGGACGAACACGTAAGAGGGCCCGACGAACAGACCGTACAGGTCGCAAGGAACCGCCAGTGTCTCAGTGGCTCCACCTACTTCCTTGACAAAGCAGCTGAGCAAGCTTCAGAGACTCGTTCAAACAGAAAGACCCTCAGAACTAGCGCTTGATAGTGCTTTGATTTCTTGAAGGCATCCGAGCTTCTATTGACGATGCGGTCGTCGATGCCGTGGAAGGTGTCTCAGACTTGCGCTGTGGCATTATGGCCCTCAATGCCGCCGCAGACATGGCAGGGTCTCTGCTAGGGATAACTCAGGGTGCAGTTGCAGCATCTTACTTTGGTTCTGGCATGTGGTTGAATCCGTTAAACCCCAAGCACGTAGAGCAACCGCAGCCGTCGTTCGGAAGCATCCAACAGCACAGCAGTTCATTCCAGGTCAAGCTATTTCCAAGACAATGGCAGGCCAATGCCTTGAGCAAAAGAAGCACAAAGCTTGGACCATCACATTGCCTGTAGTCGTTTTGGCATGCAGCGTGCTCTCAACTTGTCACGGCTTTTTCCTTCGCTGAACAGCCTCGGAGCTCTAACTGTCCGGGAACACCTTCTTCTTCTCTTGCTCCAATTCTAGTGCAGTGAAGGGCTTGTTGAAGATGCCTTGGGCGCGAGAGACCGGCGCATGCAGTCAAAGAGGCAGCCGATCAAGCTGGAGAAAACAACAGCTGCGTGGTGCATCCGCGTTCATGGCAGCTGCTTGGACTTACCATGTTCTAGAAAAATCGAGAACTGCTGTCGAGGTGCGATCCTGGGGATGCCACTGTCCTTTCTGTAACCTCAGGCGTCCAAGTTCCGACGCACGTGCATCTCTAGCATCGGTTTTAGGCTCATCACCTGGCCGCAAACGTCTCCGCCACAATCAACGGCACGACCAGCGTCGCTTCTGCGTAGACCTGCCACCGTAGTCGCACATCATTAGCAAGACAACACTCCCGAGGCAATGCACACAACACAGGGACACTGCCTACCTGCTCCAATGGCGGGCGGGGCAGAGTGCGGCTGCAGAACAATTTTCAAGGTAACCACTACCATGATACCCATTTTCACAGCACATGAACGGCACACACAGACACACAATGATCGTCTGTCTGTGTACTGGCAATCTACGAGAATCTGAGGAGGACGACTGCGCCAGAAAGAAGAACAATCCCTCAGTCAGGAAAAGTCATCACCTGAATGTTAATCACCAACCTGTTCATTCAAATTGTAGCGTATCGCCGGTACTCCGGTGTCATTCAGATACCTGCGTCATTGCCAGTTTGGATTCTGTGCTGCCATTGCAGCGTGTCCCATAGACTCCGTAGACTCATAGCATCTTCCGCAGACACCCTGCATTTGAACTGTTGAACAGCAGCTTCATTCCTGACTCTCTTCAAAACCAAGCACCCAAAAAACATTCCCCCTGTCGCCTTCCCTGACGCGCCTTCACAGGCCTGGCATCCATCCGGATCTTCCCCCAGCTCACCGCCTCGTCCGGGCGCGCACCACTATCGGAGCCATCAAACTCCTGAAAGGGCTGAGGGTCCACAAGGTCTAGGGCATGCAAAACAGCGCCTGGTGCAATCAAAGTTCAAAGTATATGGCATTTCAGCAAATACGGAGGTCTTGACGTGTTATGACGTGTTGAAAGTTGCTGAAATTTGAGAAACCTCACCTCGGATACTTGCGACACACCGGATCCTCGAGACAAGTGGCTCATGCGCGTCTACATAACCCCAGGACCCTGCAGACCCTTCACGATGCCTCTCAAGATTCCCCAGACATCTTTAGCAGCATTGCGCAAATTCGCAAAATGTACCATTCCATAAAGTCGGCATTGTCACACTGACAAGAGCCCCTCCACTTATACTGATGTCACCTACAGTACTGCCCTCGGGTGCAATATGCTCTGCCAGAACCCTCTTATCACTTTCCTGAGGCTTTCCTCCCGCCTGGGCAGTGTTCACATACACAACGAAGTCGGCCCCATTGCCTTGTGACGTTTGCCAGCACCAACGACAACAACAAGAGCATAACTCTCGCAAGAAAACCCTGGACTGTCAGCCCTCACACACTATGTAAGAACTTTCCTGGACTTCTCCAAAGGTGTAAGCTGGCATCACGAAAGTCTTCCTGCTCATCCGGGTAGCGCATGAGGTTCGCATTCATGCAGTGGTGCTTTACCAATCCTCCTCCTTAGGTTCGGCGTCCCTTTTTCAACAGCCCAGCACATTGATGTGCATTGGTAACGCTTGGAAAATAAAGGTCGTTACTTCATGATGTTGCGGAAAGAGAAGAGAGTTTTCTGCTACCAGGCATCCAAGAATGATGACCCCAGTTTTCCGAGCTTTCATGGCCTCGTCATTTACTCTGCGGATGTCTTGCACCAAATCGACGACAAAGCCTTGGCTTTCAGGATAGTAACCGAATGGTGGTGCAGAGTTGGGCTACAGCTCACGAAAAATGCTGCGCAAGACCCATGTCCCTGCAAAACGATCCAACGCGCTTTAGGGGAAGATGGGCGACCACTTCGCTTGTAGCTGTGGAAGTAGAGCATGTCCCCTATGGAGCCATCTGTGATCGCTGGGCAGAAAAGTGGGATGTTGTTGCCTTGGACAGGCGGTAAGAAAACTACCACCTCCACCAGCACTCCTACCAGTACAGCTACCACCAGCACCCCCACCCCACTGCCACTACCACTGCCCCTGCCCCTGCCACTTACCACTTACCACTTACCACTTACCACATACCGCATACCGCATACCGCATACCGCAGACCACATCCCACATATCACATAAAACATACCACATACCACCACCACCACCACCACCTCCACGACGACGACGACGGCGACGGCGACGGCGACAGCGACGGCGACGGCGACGGCGACGGTGACGGCCACGGCTACGGCCACGGCTACTGCTGCTGCTCCTCCTCCTCCTCCGACTCTTCCTGCTCCTAGTCCTACTCCTACCTGGACAAATTCATGATGCATCCGTTACAAAGACAGCGACAATATAAAGGAATGTCGGAGCACAAGTTGCGATATGCCCAATAGCAAACCGAGCTGGGATTGTTGATCTCCTGCTGGGAGGATGATCACGACATGCAGGTGTTTGACGGCTGCAGTAGGCGCACTGGATACTTGGACTTCGGGACAATGGGCTCGCGCAGTGGCCTTCCCGAAGCGATGAATCATCGTTGAAGGAGACCAAACAATCCCATCTTTGTCCTGTGAGCTGCTACAACTCTGGGAATGCTGTGAAGCAACGACTATCGTCGTCTGATGAAAGACTCGTCTGATGAAAGTGGCATGACATGAAGATGCAAACGCTCCAAAGAAGCAGTGGCCATGGGTTGGTGAAAGAAAATCTGTACGGCGAGTCGCTTGCTCGTCATGCATGGCATCGAAGATTTTCATTATCCAGTCCTCAAAGCATTGAAGGCACAGAAGCAGAGGGTTGCTATGTGAGAAGCTTGCCGAACAATTCTGGAACAGATTGTAAGGAGTTGTTGCTCCTCAAACAAGCAGTAGTTGTCATTCGGTGCTAGAAGGTTGCCTCGGTGCGGGTCACTTGCGAGGATGCAGCCGGTGCAAAAACTTTCGGCTACAGAATCGCAGGGCTTGCTTAACCAGGCAACCTATTCGATTGATGCCTCGCCGTCGAAGATCAGTGCCTTCTAGCGCGAATTCGCCAAGGTGCGTGGGAGCCAAGCATTTTATGATGTCCTGCACACAACACACAAGAAGCCTCAGGCTCGCATCGCTTGTTCGAGTTGGCCACGTCCTCCTCAATGCCACCCGCAGTGGATATCATGACCTTGGAAGACAAGAAAACATTCACACAACGGAACATGCGTGCTCATCGTGCTCTAGTCATCCCTGGCACGGAATGGGCTTCTGGGCGGGCCTGAACCATGCTGTGCTGCGCCAGGAAGCGAAGACTCTCTCGAAGGCCCGAGCTGGCGAGGAGATGCGACAAATGTCTTAACTGCATCAGCTTACGCAGCTTACGCAATGATTTTCCAGGATCGACAACTTTACGTCCTCTTGAGGTGACGTGCAAGACTCTGGCGCCAGGGCGCAGAGAGGATTTGGCTTCGAAATTAAGTCGCAAAAGCACTCATGCCCAATCCTTTTGCATCGGGCATGTGCTGCCATGGGGTATGTGAGATGTCGGGCTGTAGGCACGGCTCAACCCTACGCGTTCTGAAACATGGCGAGCCTTATCAAGTTGGATGTGTAGGAAAGCCAGATCTTTGTCCGAACTTGTTGCCGAGCCTAGCAGGCGGTGTTGCTAGGAGGAAGTAAACCGAGACGATGGGCTGCTCTTAAGCAAAAGAAGGGAATGTACATTGTACCTGCGAGACCCATATGTTTGCTCAACCCCCTGTGTAACAGGCAATGCCTCTACTGAATCGTATTTCTGTACTCGCATGCTTCCCCATGCTTGTGCAGTCTTTCTGGGCTTTGGGACTTTGGCTGAGACACACACAGGCGATCCCTGTCTTGAACCCTCATTCCATAGCCCATAGTTCATGTACTCCTTCACTCCGGGACTCCTCAAGTAGCCCTTCAAAGTGATCCGATTGAAAAACTCCCTGAAGAAAAGCACTGTGCACTGGAAATCGTTGTCCTCCTTGGGCTTGAACTCTTCATCCTCCCATGAGAAAAGTCAAATCTTCAGGAAGGACAGACTGGCAGCGCCTATGGTGCCTAGCAGGTATTTGCAGGAGGAGCACATATCATCAACGCAGCTGCCGTCTGGCCTCGTCAGCAGGTACTGGATCGTCTGCAAGGGACCAGTCCAGCATACGATTGACCTCTTCAATAGCCTCACGGCCCATGTCAAGTCACTGTCAGTCGCCAACCTCTCCGAAACTCCTACGCCCAGCGCCTTGGCCAGGCTTGTTGCCTGGAAGCCTTGCACAAGTGCAGCTGTGGCTGGCTCCAGGATACCCCCCCGCTCCCCGTTGTCTGAAAGGCCTGTTCTGCTGTAGGATGATAGGATTGCGCTGTAGTCGACACCTGCAGGCGTGCCGCAGCTTTTTGCAGCAACATGCAACAACCTTGACAGCATCCGGCAGTGACGTCAACATGTAACGTCAACATGTAACGTCAACACGACAAGCAAACCAATGGCAAGCAAATCGAAGCTAACCTCTGCAATCATGGCCTTTATTGAAATCATAGCCCTCCACCGCCGGCGATGTCAACTTCTCACTGCTTTGAAGGACATATTCCTGGCGGGTGCACTCACTCTCGGCTTGACACATGCTTTGAGAAAAAAAAGGCGTGCAATGGCGTGCAGCATATTGCAACCCCAGTTGGAAGGGACACCCTGAAACTTTGCATGTTTATCAGGCGCGTTCTTCAGATGCTCCTGCGTGGTCTTTTTCAAGTATTCGGCATCAGCAGCCTGCTGCTCAGGGGACCATATTGAAGGAGAACAGCTTCACAACTTACATCCAGCCTCCTGGCTGTGATAGCCAGCAGATGAAGCCATGAGAAGTGGGAGGAGCTCAACCAAGACTAGCGTCTCAACATATATCGTCTGGTTATAAGACTCGCTTCTCAGCTCTTATTAGGTGATGTCAGCTGTGCAGCTCGATCCCGGCAACAAGATGCAGAATCTCAGTCAAGCTCTGAATCTGAACACAAACAGCTGACAAGCTGGCCAGGGCTTAGGGGGCCCTTTTGCTAACATGGAGACGACTGCGAGAGGACCGGACGTTGACCGCATGTGACTAAAGCTGAGGTGAAACGAGCAAATTCGGACATCCAGCTGGAAGGTCAGCGTACCTTGCAGGAAAGCTCAGGCAGAGAGTGGAGGCAGAGTGTGTGGCACAAACGGGCCCAGGGAAAAAAAAAGGGAAGAAAAGACAAAACGATTGTTCCCCCCCCCCCCCTCGCCCCCGTTTCTTCTCCGAGGTGCCTGCTCGTAGGCCTGGTGGAGCAGCTGCTCGAGGCGCTCTTGGGCCGCCTTGTCCAATTGGAACGTCTTGGCAAAGTTCCGCGAGAGCACTGCCAAGTCGTCGCCCTCGTGCACTCCGATGCGCCCTGTCCGTCCAGGCCCGACCTTGACATCGACGTACACCAGGGGCTTCTCACGCCCGCTGCGCTCAAAGGCGCAAGAGAAAGGCTGCATTCCCAGGCGTCTCAAACGCTCGTAGTTCTCGCCGCTTGGGATGTGGCTGCTCCTCTCTCTCTTCTCTTGATGCTGCTTGTGAGCATTCTTCATTCGAGCAACCGTCGCATCGAAGTTGCGAACCTGCGGCCGCGGCGATGGGCGAAACGACCGGAAGGATGCCACCAGCTGGGGTCTGAAAGTACATTCCCGCATCTCCTCCAGCTCCTTCAGTTGCTTGATCTCATCCTCAAGCTGCGCCCCTTCGCGGGCGGCAAAGATGGCCTGGTGGTACAAAAGATGGCAACGGGAAACTGGCTTCCGAGCTGACAAAGGTCTTTGCGGACGTTTTTGAGGCTGTGGAACCTCCTCAGGTGCGGCTCCTTCATGTTCTAATGCACGGCGATGGCAGGATTGCGTTGTGGCACGACAGTGTCTGTTTGACAGCATTCTTGTAAATGCTCTGGACAGTTGCCACTCGAGCTGGTGGAAGCACTCATCCTCCAAGCTCAAGGGTGTCAATGAAGGCGAAGGCCGATCTGGCTGGTGAGCCACAGTGTCCAGAGCTGTCAGCAGAAACTCGAGCAGCCTACCAAGTTGGATCATTCCAGTCTCTTCCCTGTCCAAAAGCAAGGCCAGCTTCTCACAAAAGACCTGTTCATCACGTGCCGAAAGAAAGTCCATTTCTTCCAGCACAGTACCCAGCTTCACTCTGGGGATTGCAAGCATGTGACTTTGTGCCGGCGACTCAATGTAACATTGCGGTGCACATTTGCAGAATGCTGCACGAAGTTCTCGCTCCAGACGAGCATGACAGAGTGCTTTGGACGTGCGGCCCAGCTTCGGCTGTGACTGCTGCAGTAAACTGAACCAAGCCTCTTGCTCGCGAAGTTGCTGTCGGTGTTTTCTTTCCTCTGCCTCGCGGTACAACGCCTCGTCTAGCCCTGGTAGGACCGTGGGCACGCCCACAGACACCACGGGTCCCGTGCCCGCATCCTTCCATTCCTTAAAGGAATGTCCACAAGGTCTCATTGCATAGCGACACCATGTGACACCATTGATGACACCACTCAATTATACGTATTTTGTACCAAGAGAGTACAAGTTCGTAACCAGCATATTGTGCAAGAACCACAAATGGATTGTGCAGCTTGGAAGGTTTACAAAACCATGAACCAGAACAGGTACAAATGATGTGTTGCGATTTTTGGGATTCGACTTGCATGCTTGCGGTTGGAACATTGCTTGAACTTCACAACCCCCGTGTTAAAAAGCTCGACTGCAAATATAAATTTATCAACCACGAAAACGGCACAGGCACGCATGTCCACGAACCAACCCACCATGAACGGGTCTGCCCGACTTGGTGATAACCGCGCAGCCTACAAAAAGGACCACAGGACGGTCTAAGGCGACTGTGCATGTCACAACAAGTGACAAACTGTTTCAGACACCTTCATGAGCAATACGGTTCGCAGGTGCTGCAGAAATTGGTTGCACAACATGCTGCACCCCGATTTTGCAAAGGGGCAATCAAGCATGCCAAGAGATTTCTTCTAGGGGCAGGTACATTTTGAGGCAAAAATGGCACTTCATGAGGAGCGGCACAGCGTTCTCCAAACACGTCGACGAAAAACATGCTTTTGGAGGTGCAAAACATCTTACTTTGCATCGGTTGGTCGGTTTAGTCGTTTGGTCACACATGCCGCGCGAGTTGCTAACACAAGCGGAAAACATGCCGAGCATGTGTCTCCAAGATTCTCCAAGGTTGAAAAGGATTTCTGCTGACCGATCTTCTGTCCGCATGAAAACAACACTACAAGTAACGACACGTGACTAAGTGGTTCACAACACCTCCACAAGAAAAATCACGGGCTTTAAGGATAAGCGTTGGTTCCAAAAAACTTTAAAACTAAAACTTGAGCCGGTAACGAAGTAAAAAGGTCTGTGCTCGACTCGGACTGCATCTTCTTTCCCAGCGTTGATTGTGGGAGTGTCTGCTTGAAGTCTCAGGCACACGGCACGGCGCACCAAGAAGCAGGTAGGAAGGGGCTCACAGTAAAGGCCTTCGGGCCGCTGTAAGCCGCTGTGTTGCTCCAAGGCCGGTTTCCTCTTGCTGAGGTTTTGTTCAGGCCTTTTGTGCTTTTGTTGCTTCTGGCAGAGGTGTGCAGGTATCTTTCCTGCGAACAGGGGACATTAAACTTAGCACATGACATGCTTGCAAAGGCGAGTGTAGGCCTTTTCCTTTGCTGGTGCACTGGTAGGTAATCCTGGCTGTTTGGGCGGCCTTTGAGAGGAATGTCGCTGTCAGCCTTCAGGGCAAACGGATGGGGTGATTTTCCGTCCTAGAAGCCGTGCCACTAGCCGAGCCCTCCTTCGGCTTCAGGCCTTAGGGCAGTGACAGGAAGTGTCGCTGACCCTCTGAGCAGGTAGCAGGGAGCTGGAAGCATCGAGGGGTTCCCTTTTTCCGCCTCGTGAAGTTCCTGCGAAAGAGTGCTCCGCATTTTTCACGACCTCTCTCACTTTGACTCTGGGGTCCTGTTTAAATTAGGTGCGCGACTCGAACAGCTTCGGCGACGCGAGAGAAAAGTCATGTCCGGCTCAAGTTTCGGCTCAACCCCGGTGAGATGTTGAGGTAGCTGAGTGGTAGGTAGCAAACCTGGGTTCCGAGGCCGCCAACCTGCTTGTGGGAAACAGGCCTTTCGTAATCCCAACTTTAGCTTCAGTGCCATAACTACCCGTGAGGTGTATCCTTTGAGGATTCTCCTCGACCTCCGTGCGAGGTGCAAAACGTCCTCATCAGATAATGAATCTCCGTGCCCTGCATCCCTGCCTTGAACTTGAGCCCATAAGCCCGAAGCCGGACTAAGCATAAAACTGCTTCGCTTGTGCACTGAATGGTCCAACACCCTTTACGCGGTCGCCCTAGCCAGGGGACTGTGGGAATCCTTGCCACAACCAGGGGAAGACCTGGCTGCTTGTGCAGTGGCTGTCCTTCCACGTAGGGAAGGGTTGCTGCAAGCCTTCGTGGTCCGAGAGTTCCCCTGATTGCGTGAGTGTGAGTGAGCGAGAGAGTGAGTGTGAGTGTGTCCCTCACCGCTCTTTTAGTAACTTTAGTATCGTGCAGGTGCGGGATTCAGGGTGACAGCTTCGGGCTGGAGAGGATTGAAGAGTTTCGGGTTCGTTGGTCATCCGGCATGCGGATTTTCAGCGAGGTCTCTTGAACTTGTCACGGCAGAGATCCACCCACCATGTCGTCAGCGAGCCGGAGAGACCTGTCACGGTACACTTATCGCAGGCAAAAGTGGAAGTTTGAACCCGAGTCTGAGTCTCATCTACAAGGTGTGCAATGTGTATGCAAAGTCAAGCAACAAGCACAACCGTAAGCTTTTTCGCGAAGTCATGCGCATGTTTCTCCTTGCGCCGGCTGCACCTGCCAGTGCGAACGACCTGTGTCGTGCCTGCCAACGCGTCTTGGCAGGGCCCAAGCCGCAGCCTTCTGTGGTTGTCGAACAGATGATTTCTGTGTGGGTGGCGCCGAGAAGGGATCAGGCAACAACAACATCAGGAAAATGTTCGATTCTCACAGAGCGCATGAGTATTCAAAGTATTCCAAATCGAAGCATGAACAGCCCAAGTAGGACAGTCACAGAATGAAATCACGCGTGTTTGTCCAAGCTTACGCGCCGCCCCCAGTGCGAGAGCAGGAAAAGTTAGTCCTTGAGTGTTTTTGTTTGGTAGAGTGGGAGTGTAAAAAAAACCATGATTTTCAACACGGTAGCGAAGCTCCCTGGATCAGACCCTTTGGGAGCGATGATGAAGTTACCAGAACTAGAGAGAATAGCGATCGCAATGGCTGCCCTGGTTTTGGCCTTTGCGCTGGCATTTCTGGCGCGAGACCTGACGAGAGAGAAGAGATCATGAAGGTCAGTACAAGAAAGAACCTGTGATGGAAGAAGATGAGCTGCCGAAGCTCTACTACGCCCCCTCGGGAGAGCGAACTCATGCAAGAAGAGATTGCAATGGTTTCAGAATAGCATGATCGTGAACACAGCGATCCCCTGCAGAGTGTGTTGTGCCCCGACAAGATGTTCCTCCTGGAAAGAAGAAGACAAGAAGAGAGAGCAACATTTGTACAAGCTGCAGGAAGATGGTTGTGGCTGAAGGTGTTCCTAGCCGGAGTCCTTCTAGCAACCTCCTTCACAGTGATCTTCGTGGCGAATGAAAGAGATGGAACTTCCATCGTCGAGAATGTCAAAAGGATTACCTCGGTGGATGTAGTGCCTGCCGGGATGAACCAAAAGAAGATTGCCTCGGTGAACCAGTATGAGACAAGTATGTCGACTACGAGATTGAAAGAAAAGAAACAGAAGAAGAAAGCGATCAGACGGAGCTGGCGAGTTGGTTAAGCATCCTCAGAAACCCCGATACGAAAATTCGAGAAGTATGTCGAGACAAAGTTCGACCATGGTTTCCTCGAGCCCTACTACACGATCGTGGACAGCGTGGAGTACAAGAATGCTGGAAAGAGAGAGATAAAGAATGACAAGCTCGGGATGATTCTCCACTCAAAGAACAGAGACATTGTCAAGTGTGTGAAGTACCTTGCATTTTTTGCAGGAAGAAGCCTTGGGCCCGTGACGAGCTACGTCGCGCGCACGTGTCACCAACATTCTACTTGTCACCCGGATAGGCATGGTTACATGGATCAATCTATAATTTTGGGCCAAAGTCAAACAAAAGAAAAGAGAGAAGAAGGAAAAGACAAACTCTCAACCCTTTGTCCACACAGCTCGCACTCTTTTTCTTTTTCTCAACTGGCGGTAGGCTGCTTCTGTTCGCAACTATCCCACCGTGGCTACTACCCCCCAAGGTCTTGAGCCTAGCGGCACAGTAGTGGTGAAAAATGTGCATATTGTTACACCCTCAACCGAACATCATTCACTTTGGAATGTGCGTCGGTTTTTCTTAAAACACATTTTTCTTAACAAGGCATGTGCCTTCAGCTCGCTCTTCTCAGAAGCGGCCCGTAGCTTCGGCTCTTTAGCCTTCATTCCTTTCTCGCGTTTCCGTAGAACAACTTCTCAACACTTCAAACACAGGAGGGTCTTTGTGAAACACGATGCAACATGCACCTCGTCTTGCTGCCTTTTCACAAGCTTGTTCTTTCTTTCCTTTTAGATGCTTTCATGGGCGTTATCGTACGCCCTCACGGATCTTTCGAATTCCTTTTCTTTTTCCAGCGTCTTCTTCACAATGGCTCGCTCTCACCATCTTATATTCATTTCTATTAAATACATAAAATTCTTCATCAACAATTTACATACTCTTCCAATTATCACTAATATATATATATATATATATATATTCAATATACAAATATATAACGGTACAATACAATATAACACAATATATACCAGTAGTTCTCCATGAATTATACCAACAGGACCTGCCCAATCCCATGGATCATCAACTCCCCACTCACGCATACTATGCATAAATTATGCATACTAAATGCAAAAATATATAAAACATAAATAAATGAATGAATATATATTGATAATCGACTCAATATCCATATTTTTATATTATATTCTAATATACTTAATGACATTTCAAATGCAAAAACCAAAAATACAATCCAATATTTTCAAAATAATTCATATAAACTATATGTGAGGCCAGTTTCCTCAAAAAATAATGGTATAATTAATATCCATAACATTGATGCATCCAAAATTTTTTGACAATAAATACAATGACCATGATAGTCTATATTTTCTCGTTGTAAACACCCCTAAAATTGGATATCGATATAAGTAATAAACCAAACAAAAAATATTACATATATATATATATATATTACCTATAATTGCATTAATTACTTCATTTGATTCTCTATTAAAATCATCAATGCCTTCACCCTTAAAATAAAATAGTCTTGTTTCATGCACTAACATTAATTTCCCATGACCAAATGTTGCCATTAATATTGTGTTTTGATTATTAAATATTGGTCCAACATCAGTAAG